GAAGTCTGGAAGCTCCACGGCTTCCCAGACACTATTGTCTCCGATCGAGGTGCTCTCTTTGTTTCACACTTTTGGAAAAGCGTCTGCCCTATCCTTCAGATATCACTCAGCCTCTCTACAGCCTTCCAACCTGAGACAGACGGCCAGACGGAGATTGCGAATAAGTGGCTTAACCAATTCCTCCGCCAATACGTCGATTACGCCCAAACCAACTGGAAGAAGCTCCTGCCAATGGCAGAGTTTGCAATGCGTAACGCAGCTAGCTCTTCTACAGGCATGTCACCCTTCTTTGCAAACCACGGTTATCACCCTCGAATGTCTTTCGGCTCACCACGTTCTATCCCTAGGGATTCTCCTCAGCACCTACGATTGCGGTACAACGAAGCACTGGAGTTTACTCANAAGTGGCTTAACCAATTCCTCCGCCAATACGTCGATTACGCCCAAACCAACTGGAAGAAGCTCCTGCCAATGGCAGAGTTTGCAATGCGTAACGCAGCTAGCTCTTCTACAGGCATGTCACCCTTCTTTGCAAACCACGGTTATCACCCTCGAATGTCTTTCGGCTCACCACGTTCTATCCCTAGGGATTCTCCTCAGCACCTACGATTGCGGTACAACGAAGCACTGGAGTTTACTCAAAAGATGGACGATATCCTGTCCATGTTGCGAGCTAATCTCAGTGTTGCCCAAGATAAGATGGAAGAGTTTGCAAACGCTAACCGACGCCCTGCTCCGGCCTATAGAGTTGGGGACATGGTTTTACTAAGAACAAAGAATATCACCTCAGCAAAACCTATCCCAAAGTTTGATCAGAAGTATATCGGACCTTATCGAGTTACTAGAATCGTCAACTCCCACGCCTACGAGTTACAGCTCCCGTACGAGCTTAGCGGTATCCACCCAGTATTCCACACCAATCGCCTGAAACCAGCACCTGGCAAGCCTTTACCAGGACAAAAGAACCCCCCGCTACCACCTATTTCAGTGGATGCTTCTGGCCAACCAGAATATCTGATCGACAAGATCTGTGACAGCCGTCGCACAAAGACCCGCGGCTTTGAATACCTGATCCGTTGGAGGGGTTACGACGAAGAGACGTGGGAACCACTAGTTAACATAATAAAGGCTTCCGGGAGTATTAAAAAGTTCGAGAAAGACTTCCCTCGGAAGTTGAAACCGAGTAGAAGGGAGCGTTTAGTGGCAAAAGAACAGGAAATTCGTGGGCTAGAAGAGACAGGAGACTCCGAAGAAGACCCATAAAGCACTACTACTAGTAGTGGTGAGGGGAATGATTTGAGAGATACAGACTGGCATCCAGGGGATTAAGGGAGGACCTTATGTGACGATTTTGATTTGTGTATAGTGAATGTGGTTTTAGTCACGTGAGCCACGAGGCGACGAGCTCAACTTCAAATAGCTTCAGGTCCTGGGACCTCTTTCGCTCCTCGTAGTCAATTTAATCTATCAACCTGTACTGTCCTAGACGTGCATTCTCACACCTAGGGGGTATTTATAGTTTAGTAGGGGCGTTTAGAAAAATAGTTCTACTAAATTAATTAAAAGGCGTAATAAGACGGTCTAGTTTAGGCCTCTAATTAGCTTAAGGGAGTAGGCGTAGTATAATAAAAGAATAAGTAGATAAAGAGGTAAATAGAAGGTAATAATTAGCTAAAAAGTCGGACGAATAAGTTAATTTAGCTATAAAGGGTAGGATATTTACTTGTTTATATACTAGACGCGCTCTAAATACCTAGGAACGCGTAATTTTCAAAACGATTAGCCGGTTTTACCTTATTGTACCTTAAAACATAGGAGTTAATAACAAAACAACCAATAATCTTAGCTAAGGCTTATTGCATAATAGTGGACCTATAATAGAACGTCGATCTTATGATCGCTACAGTGTCCAGCATTGACTGTCCACCCCCTTTACTTTGAGGATTTTGATGTTTTCGTACTCGGCATGATTAAACAATTATTTTTAGATTCTTCACACACATATTTCCCGTGAGTGCCTATCTCGCTCCACGGTTAATTACATCGCTTAACTATTAACTAAAATCAACAAAAGAAACCAGCACCGCCTCCCCAGCGCCAACCTCCACCGTCCTCCCACCACCCACCAGCTTCTCCGTCTTCCTCGTCCCAGCAATCGTGCCTCCACTTGAAATATGCTGCGCAGCCCACGTAATATTATCGCCTTCTCCACGCCCGGAGCCGTCAACCTCCGCACTCTCGCATTCGAAACATCCACATCACTCGGTAGCACGAAATCCGTGATCGGTCTATCCTCCTGCTTCATCGTAGTGTTAAAAATCTCAAGGTTAATCACCGCGATGGCACTCAGCTTTGCAGGCGAGGCTTCGTAAATAGCATAGGCCGTGAACCTCGTTTCATTCACGAGGAGTGCGACTGGTTTGTTTCCTCCTGATAGAGCGGAGGCGATGAACCAGCTTCCGTAGAATATGGGCTTCGCTTGGGCGGGCGCGGTGGAGCTCGCGATTGGTTGCCAGGCGGAGTAGCGGTAGGGCGTTCCGTTGTGGGAGTAAATTCTTGAAATTGAGAGGGTGGCGACGTAGAGGGTGTAGTCTATTGACCAGAGTGAGGCGGCGAAGACATCGGAGAGGCCTAGCTGGCCTTGACACTGGGACTTGTTAGCTGGGTTGCGAGAAGAAGTGAAGGGGGAGTGACATACGGATATGGAATTTGTTTCTCCTATTACGTATGGTATATTCTGGGAAACACTGTAGTTTCCGAGGACTTCGTGGTACCACATCAGGGAAGTCATGCGTGCGTGGTTTAGAATGTTCTTGACGAGACTGTTGGTATTTGTGTCGCCACAGTTGGAACCCATATACTGTAACATCGTCAGTGTATCCTATCTCCTTTACTCACTCGCTAAACTTGGCGAGGTAAGTACGAATCCCACCAATCCTCAGAATAACTCACATTATGATCCGAAATAGTCTTGACCATCCCCGTACTAGCAATACCCTCCTTAATCGCAGTGGCAGCCGTAAAGCGCGAAGCATCCACCAAATTCCTCGGCGCCTGAAAATTCCCCGCCTGAAAAAGCGGTTTATTATTCGATCGCCCAAGTTCCTTCTCGATAGTAGCCGCATACTCCTTCCACTGCTTCACATAATCTTTGATCCCCCATGTTGTCGGTCTCCTGGTCCCAGTGTTGAAGCCATCAACTTCATCCCCGATTTCGAAGGCGTAGAGGTTATCTCCGATGTTATCAAAGGCTGCGACAGCTTGGAGAACTGCTTGTTCTGTCCCGGCATCGCCGTCGTAGAAGTTGAGGCCGTAGATGTATGGCGTTCCCGGTGGGAATTGTTGGAAAGATTGCATCCAGGCTGGGCCGACGGATAGGGAGGAGGGCTGATCCGCTCCGGGATTGAGTTTTTGGATGAGGGCTGTGGTTTGGTTTTCGTAGAAGTTTGCCCGGTTTTGGGTTGTGCCTCCTGCGCAGATAATTGGATATGCACCTGAGATGTCTTTGAGGCTTTGCAATATGTTGTAGGAGAATTTATTCGGGTGTCTTGAGTTCTTAGTTGTAACTGACGGAAAAGGAAGTAGAGAAGGAGTGCTCACGTGTTATTGCCGGCATAATCTAGCATGTAAGAGAATTCTATGGAGAATGAATGGAATGCTGCATCGATTACTTGTCGACCAGCTGGGGCAGATTTGGGAACTTTAGCATTGATTGTCCTGACTACTGCTCGCTTGTCTATACCCCGCTTGTTGGGGCTTTCAAGATGGAGAAGACCAAGTACAGAGGCTGTGACTTGGCAGGTCCATAGTCCCATAATAAAAATAAGAGGCTTCATATTGGTTAGGAGATAGTGTCAGAACACTGGAAATAGACATGTTGGCCATGAGCGATATATTTGTACTTTAAACTACTGGCCTAGGTTCTTCACTTGAGCGGAGGCTCCATGGGACTTCGTAACCCGAAATCAGACATCGTCATTTTTACACCGGCTTTTATTGCCCCGTGATATCATGGCGTAGAATGAGGCTATTCGGGCCAATCCCGGGGTATATATACCATGTCTACCCCGCTTATAAACGAATTGATAGGCAAGTTCCGCAAATCAAAGTTTGGCAAAGAGAAGAGAAAACACACTTATTACTGGCAATCCTAGTCAACATAGTTTCCAGGATAAAGCTGCCCTGAAGGAGAACTACAGTAGAAACTTTACCAAAATCTACCCCTAGAATGTCCAATGTCTCTAATTCCTCGGAGTTTTGAGGCCCTAGAAATCCCCCAAAGTAGATAACTGCGTGGAAAGTCGCCAACTCAGAAGCTGGAAGAGATCTAGAGTATCTCGGCGGAGTAGTAGTCATTATAAATCACGAGTGTTGTTCAATTTATATCTAAAATGCTCTGTTCTAGGATCCCTCACACTGAGGTACAAGGACGGACCTGCCCAATTCGCAACCATGTGGGGTATTGTACTGTCATAGCCGGTTCCCCACCCCTCTTTAAGCGAACTCAGGAGGGTTCCGAGTAAACGGAAGATTTCTTGGGAGATGCGGGGTTTGAACGTCCGGGACGACTCTTAATGTTACGGCATGGTCTTAGCTAGCCGAGACTCCTGTCTCTGCTACCTGACCTGTCTCGGTTGCCTATGTGGATGCCTAGTATTCTAGTAGCTTCCACTCGGTCAGGGTCGTCTTATAAAGACTCCCTACCCCCTTAGGTAGCTTTCGACCTTATGCTTATCCTATTCTACACTGTGTCCTATTCGTCTTCTGACACTTAACTTGTTGTAATTCTTCTAATATTTTGGAAGAGCTGCGTTTAGTCGCGTTTCTGGTTGTAGTAAAGAAGTTAGGAATAGCCGGCTTGTCCTTGGATTGATGAGAAATAGTGGAATCAAAAGTAATAAGTGTATTTTGGATGATAACTGATGTAACACAAGAACACATTCTACTTTTTCCTAATAGAACTATAACTGAAAGCCGATTTCAATTCTGGCGATCTTTGAGATAATACATTGTATGCAAAATGAGATTTTGAAAACTGTCATCGAAAGCAGGGACACAAACAAGCTTCTTCGAGAAAAGCCAAGTTACCGTAAATGGGAAATAAGATCTAGGATCTAGGATCAAGGAACTATTTTCTGACCTGCATAATCTATGAACCTAGAAGGACGAGCGAAAAAGATTTGCTAATTGTAAACAGGCTGAATTTGGCCCCAAAAAGAGAAAATTGGAAAATAAGGAGATCTAAGAATTAAGAATCAAGTTCTAACTTCTGCGAAACTAGGCGTAAGAGAACAATCAAAACTAAATCTCGAATGAAATAGTTTCCTCTATAGACAATCCGACTTAACTATATATCTAGAATCTAAGAAATATGAATTCTTCTCAACTTTATTAAAGAGGACCGGAGAGTTATAAAACAATAGCCGTTACTTGTTATAATAACTTAACAACTTAACCTAATAACATGTATATGCGAGGAACATTTCAGCAAGACATTATTTAATAATAATAGAAGTGAAGGATATTATAAATATCACAGCTTACATGAGGTGAATGATTATATCATATGCAATTTAGAGAGAGCAAAGAGTAGTAAAGTGGATTTTGTACATATTAGACACTTTGAGCCCCTACTTTCAACTATCAAAGTATAGAATTCAAAGACTATATACATTCTGTCTAAGAGCATAGGCGTATCACCAACACATTTCGATATTTCCCTCTCTTACTAGGACACCTATTATTACCTTCAAATACCCCAATCCCAGCGAGTATTCCAAACGATGGCAACACAACAATCACCATTCCCCAACCCAGCAATATCAGAACATACACCGCCCCAAAAGCAAAGTATGTTAACCCACGCCAAAAATTGCCTGCTATGCAACAGCGAGATATGACCATCACGTTCCCAAAATAAGGAGGCTACAAAACTGAACGGCACATGTAACCTCCTTCCAAGCGACCTGGTCTCCACCATCATGAACATTCTCAATCCTCTAGCCTCCCTCTTCTTGGGAAATAGCTCCTAATCTCTCCTAAAAAAAGTCACCCATCGCATCCACCTCCTTCCAAATACTTCCAAATATTTACTTATCCTATCCATCCAGTAAACTCTCTACGCCTCTACTGAGACCGCGCCTACCCGAAAATCAAGCGCTCCATCGGAATGCCGCACTAGTACACAGGTTACTTCACGCCTGTAACATAAGTTGATGGAGCGCTCGTCGTAGCGGTTTGAAGTGGAAGTTGGTTTCAACGCCTATGGTGCTGAAGCTGGGATGTATTCATCGCGAGAGGGAGGAGGTTTTCGAGACAGCGTGGATATAGTGTATCAGGTCTCGGATAGAATGAGGATGTTAAGCTTTGAGAGGTTATTTGAGGTGCGCGGTGGGAGCGTCCGATGTGAATGCTTTGGGACAATGGGATTGGAGTGTTGTGCGAGGGGTATGTTAGATGGAGTCATAGACGGATGAGTCGTCTTTGGGATTTCATATAGCACCATTTTCTGAACCTGAGTTATGAAAATTGTTCTGGGAGGAAAATAAACTGAATGTCTTGAAAGGGAAAAATATCCTCCATGGCAAGGCAGTACAATTATCGAGAATTCAAGAACCAAGAGTCTGATTACTGTACTACTTTCCCCAAGCAAGAACCCATCAATCGTATGTTAACTAGCCGAGGAAGTTGAAATATATATAGGATCTATAATCTAGGATTCTAGAACTATTCTAGGAAATAAGATCTAGGAAATAAGATCTAGGAAATAAGATCTAGGAAATAAGATCTAGGAAATAGGATCTGTGATCTAGGATTCTAGAACTATTCTAGGAAATAAGATCTAGGAAATAGGATCTAGGAAAAAAGATATAGGATCTAAGAACTATAATCCAGAAACTTAGATCTAGGAAATAAGATCTAGGAAATAGGATCTAGGTAATAGGATCTAGTAAATAAGATCTAGGAACTAATATCTAAGATCTATGAACCTAGATCTCCCTTTCCTAAGTTGGTAACCTACCAACCGACAAACCAATAAATCTCAGCATCTAACCAACATTCGTGACTTCCCAACTTCCAACACCTATAACAGCCAATCAAAAGAAGACAAAATATTTAGGAACTACGACATCAAATCCCAGATCTAAGAAACGAGAATGCATCTCGAACATACCTATACCTTACTAACCACAAACAAACTCCCTCACAACCCCCCATCAGTACCATCAAATCCCGAATCACATTCCAAATCTGATTCCAACACTCAACAAGATCAACAAGAAGAACCCACACCACAACACTAATCTGACCTATCAATTCAAATCAGTTTAACACCACCCCCAAAGTCTCCTAGCACAAGAGAAAAAAGCATCAAATCCACAAAATAAAAATGGAATAAACTTAAAAAAGATCCTCATATAGCCACCAGGCCCTGAGACTACAGAATCCTAGGAGCGAAATGTGATCGTATGGGGGTAAGGTATTATAACGATGAAATAAAGACATAAATCTTTTAACACCTGAAAGCTGAAAGCACATAATCACTACACATACTGTAATATAATCCTGATACTAAATCCATCATCTACAACTCTTTCGTCCACAATCCACAATCCTTACATATAGTACCATCATATCCACATTGGTGAAAACTCAAACCCCCCAAAAAATAAGCGAAAGAGAAATGGAAACAAAAGGCCACAGGAAAGAAGATAAATAGATATCAAGAATATAAATTTGCATTTTCCCATCCGCTCTCCTACATATTTTCCCCACCCCATCCACATCCACATCATATTAACAAGAACCGGACGAAACCGGACAAGCAAAGCTTCCATCTCCAGCGAGTGACTGAATGGTATATATAAAACTCAAGCTTAAACTCAACACTCTCACAAGAAGCTCACACTCAAAAAGAGAGTCCAACCTCAATACCCCCCAACTCCCCCAAGCAAAAAACCCAGCAAGCAGCAAATTCGCAATCTGAATGTGCATATATAAGCCATCCGTACCCTCCAACCATCAATACCAATATCAAAAGTTTGAACAAAAGAAAAAAAAGGTGGTCGTGATACCTCAAGACCTCCTCTCCCACCCCCTAGGACTCGCGGGCGGGCTCTCAGCCCTATGTTCACTAGTAACCGCCACACCCGTCTGCGGCAGGGCATTCAAATCCCCAAACGTCGTCTTCGTCGGCGCCGGACTCTTATACGCCCCGGGAATCGGCACACTCTCATAAGTCTGCTCCCCGGGGGCGGCCTCGACATGCTGCCTCACAGGCAACTGGTGGGGTGTATTCGTATTCGCGAAACCACCCTGTTGCACCTTTGGCGTCGCGCCGTGGATCTTGATGGGGGGTGCTTGGAGCGTGAATTTCTTCTCGCTTATAGCGCCGGCGGGTTTGGCTTCGACGAAGCGCGCGCCGGCGAAGCCTTCTTCGGCTTCGGAGGGGGATTGGTAGGTGGAGGGTGGGAAACGAGGGGATTTCATGTGGGTGGAGTAGGAGGGGGACATGGGGCCGAAGCCAGGAGTGTTGGGTGCGGATTGGGAGCGTAGTTGGGCGAGGTACAGGTCGGAGCGGGCGCGGTCGCGGACGTCCATGGATTTGCGGAGGCGTTGCTTGGAGTAATATCTGTAGAAGACGACGGCGTAGAGGATGATGGAGATTAACTCGAGGACGATTTCGATGACACAGCAGACGAGGGACCAGGACTGGATCATGTTAGTCTTTTTGTACGAGATTTGGGGAGTGAGGCAACATACCTGCATTCTGCAAACCAATCCATAGTCAATCTCCTGCTCGAAAAGTTGTCGTCGTTTGTTATCGACACATGACCATCCCCAGATATCCTTGTTGCTACTATTGTTCTTAGAACCTTGAAGGATGCCAGCTGCCAGTCCCCACATAACTACACTGAAGATGAAGAATGCGACGGCGAATAATGTGTAGTAAACGGCAACCTTCTCTGCTCGCTTGTGACCACCCCTCCAGTAATTCCAAAATACGACCAAACACAATGCTAATGATACGCAAGCAACAACAAGGACGAGAATCTGAGGCCAAGTCTTGGTTCCTACAGCCCAGGGAGGAAGATTGTTTCGTGGTGGTAAATGTTGGGTGGCTCTGAAGATAGAAAAGGTCATCGAGACCATGGCGAGAACGATAAGACTACAACTGAAGCTGACTCCACGGAGAAGAAACTTTGCCATTCTCACTCTTGTTTTTATTTTCTAGAGATCCATTAGTATGTTAGGCCGTCATCCTGTTGATGTTAAAGCATACCAAGTCCTTTGCCTGCTCCTTATCCGTCATCTCCTCATGCTTTTCCAAGATCTGCTCTTCCCGAAACGTTGGACTCAGAGGATTATCAATCTTTCGCCCCGGTGTCCCCGATATTCTCATCGCGCTCTTCAGTGGTGACGCTGGCATCTGTGGAATTTCGACTGGTACACCTTGATCCTGTCTCGAGGAATCATTCTGTGATATGTAGCCGAAGCCAATATCTGAAGGTTGTGATTGAGCCATGTGGGATTGCGTTCTAGTTCCAGGAGGATCGGCAAATGGTGATTGATTACTATCTGGTGGATCTATTGGAGAGTATACAGTCGTGGCTTCAGCAAATCGTGGTGTCCTTGGAACCTTGAGTGATTCTAAGGAAGAGTCTGATGTAAAGCTGGTCGAAGTTCGGGTGCGAGCCAACGGCGGTGGCCGTCTCTTTTCTGTTATAGCTGAACTTGTCAGCTTCCTGTTCTTCCGGGTTAGATGACTAAACTCACTCGACATGATGATGAAGGAAGTAAAGGAAAGTAAGTTCTATCAATGTAGTTGAGGAAGAAAGTGCAAATGCGTACGAAGACACAATTAAGAGCAATCAACCAGTGTACAGAGACAGAAAACAGCTATGAAAGCCAAGGTGGAACTTTTTGACAGATAAAGAATTACAGATAGAGCCCAGCTACCAGAAAAGAAAGAGAGGGGTGAAGTAGTAGCGGGGGAAGGACAGGTTTTGTGCCGACGCGCGCGCTCCAAGATGTGATGGTCTAATTTGAGACGGTGGTATTGAGGCAACTTCCAGAAGTGAAAGAGACTCGGGAGATCAACGCAATTGAGAGACGTGGATACTAACCAGGGAAGGGATAAACGTTGGGTGGTGGTGGCACCAGTCAGAAGGCGTTTTCGATGGGACGGACCAATGAATGAGGAATGCTCGAGTCGAAAATAGACGCCCTCGACCTTGACCTGCAGATACTGCAGATATGTGGGTGAGAAGCAGTATCCTTGTGGTTCGATGGGTTACTAGTACAGGCACACTTGGTGCTGGGTACAGGAGGAGCTGCGAGTGCCGGGTGTTGTGCTGCTTAAGAAGGGGAGAAAAGAGGGGATGTTGGATAGTAGATGAACGATATTCTGCCAACGAGGCTGAGTAGCGAGAAGCGAGTACCGTAGCGAAAATTGAAGGGGAGGAGGATTGCAGTCGGTTACCACAACAATGCAACCACTTTCTCAGATACGATATTTCAACGACGATTTCTCCCTTCAAGACCGAGAACAAGAGGCTCATCAAACAATAGAGTACTCGACACGCAAGACAAGAGCAAAAAAAGAACAAGAGAGAAAAATGGAATTGTCCACCCCGGGCGCCAACCACAGGCTGCTCACCTCCACCACCTCTGAGATGCAGCAGGCATAAAGGGTATCAAGCGGGGTGAGGATGGATGAGAAGGGTGTGGGAGCTTGTGATTCGCCCATGACCTACCACAACCGCTCACTCAGCGCTTGCATGCTGCAGCCATGCAGTGATCACGGAAACCACCAACATGATTGGGCTACACCTCGAGCCGCCAGAGATATTTAGCAGGGTGGTTGTGCCAAAGGAGGGGAGCAAATGGTGGTGGTTGGTCCAGCACGCAGCAAACAATCACACCCTGAATTTTAGCGAATGAAAGCGGCACCACCAGCCACGATCCGGGAGTGGAGGATTTGATGGAAATCCGTCGTGTCAACCTTAAAAGCACGGTTCGGAAGGCGTCTTGGGGCCCGCTGCTTCAACGATGTTGCCTCTTCCCCCTGGCAGCGCCGAGGCTCACAATGGAAACAATTCGCTTGATTGGCTGTATTGATTGATGGTCTGGCGAATGATGTGCATCGTCGATCCGCTGGTGTTCTGATTTTTGCCCCATCTCTGCGGTTAAGCTAAAGGTGTGGATGAAAAGCCACCCACACACCCGTGAACAACTTCTCACTTCTTGGTCGTGACAGCGGCAAGAAAAAAACAGACGATGCTGAGAAGAGTCAAGACCACCGGTCCATCCCGCTGCCACCGTCAGCGCCAGCGCGAGACGAAACTCTCCTCTTCATCAACAACAACGTCAACTCCCATATCTACCCATCACTCACCCCCTCAAGCAATCAAAGAAATCCAATATCTCTATCCGCCCGGCAGCCCAACTCCGACTGCGTCCCAAGTTTGATGGTCAATTTCACAAACGAGCCCTCGCAAACTGCAAGATCACCACCTCGTCTCGCGCCAGCATTTGCACTTGCACATGCACATGACATTTCCCGTACAGCAGTACCGTACAGTATCTTCCTCGGAGTTGACTGACGAGTCGCCCCGTGGATAGATTGAAGATGACCACCCACACCCAACCCAAGCTCTTAATCCTTATATAAAAAGAAATAGAAGAAGAAAAGGCATGATGACTGCAGTAGTCCACTGATGACCAAAGATTACCCAAGAAAACCCCGTCCGGAGTATTTACTAGTGCTGATGTGCCACCCTTCATGATTCTATCACGACGGTTATTCTAGCCGAGTAAGCGAGTCGAGGGCTATTTAAAGATCTGATGCGCAACGTAAAAAGACACCGGAGAAAAGAAATCAAGTCACGTAAATTGGCAGGGTTAAACTCCTCTTTCTGGGGAAATCTCTAGAACTGGCTTATCGTGGATAAGAACTACAGTGAGGGGCTCCGGACGGTGTATAGAACGGAGAAAATCAGGACTCGAGATACCCGCTCAGCCGCTGTGAGGATACACTGTATGAGGACAGTTTGTACAGGTAGACAGGTACTCGGAGTAAGTCCCCAACCTCACCATGCCATGCTCAGGACTCGAAGGCCGGAGAAGTGGAGAACCATATACTGCATATCCTACACCAAAAACAAATCGTCACACTTCCAACCAATCGCGCAACAATACAAGTGAAGAATCTAGTACTAAATCCATCTCTCATTCATCAACGTGGACTCTACTTGAAAGCGGACAACGGGGGATTAAGACTGGCAACCGTAGCCTTGGGATACCCTCATCATGCCCTTTGGTACAGTATGGTTAGGTGGGTTACATCGAGCAAGGATACAGCCGTTGATTTTACCCAAAGTGAGTAGCGGAGCGGACTGGAGTGGAGTGGGTGGACTTAACCGCACCGATATATGCAAGTAATATGCAGCTCCAATCACATTCTGGAGCCGAAATAGTATGGGAAGGTCTTAGAATAGGTTAGGTCCTCTGAAGATTGAGTTCTGGGATCTGGGAACTGAGATATGGGATCTGGGATATGGAAGTTGAGAATCAAGAAAATGGAAGTGATATTTAGGAAACGGGAACCCAGAAGTGGTACCTCAAAAACAAGAACTGCTTATCAAAGACCCAAATCAGACTAGCATACGGTTTTGGTTTCCAATTCTGGGAACCAGGAGTTTAGAATCTAGATTTCGAATCCGGAAAATGGTAACTAAAAAACGGGAATCAAAATTTCTCTTCACTGACTACCTAGCCAACTAAGGTTACTAGGTTTCACATTGTGTCGTTTCTATGAACCCAAAAACGAGAAATAGGATCTAGTACCTAAGAACTAGGATCTAGGATCTTAGAACTAAGAAATAAGAAACTATATCTAGAAAACGAGAAATATAATATAATAATTGGAAACAAGAGACAAGATCTGGTATTAGTATCTATAATCTAAGACCTGAGAACCAAGAAATAAAAAACGAAAACGATTAAAAGAAAAACGGGAAATAGGATATAGCATTGTGAGAGGCCAGACCTCGAATAGCTCAAAGGTGTGGTTTCGAATATTCAATTAAGAAGTGCGTGAAGACTACATACATGCAATCTCTTCCTCTATATAGAGAGAGGAAGAGTTTCTGGAGTCTTCCAAGAAACTGTTTGACAAATACGTGACGTCAAAAGAATAGAGTAGAAAAGTGTAGAAAAGGAGAAACCAATTTAGCAGTGGAGCAATGGCCAATGCTGAGCGGGGACTTTGGTCAGTGCTTAACGAGGGCATGGCCCGAGCCTCCATCATGGGTTCCAACCCTCACAAGTATCTAGGATATAAGCGATAAGAGTTAGTATTAGACATTGAAGATCTAGGAACTCGGAACTAAGAAATAAGTATTAGTAACTAGGAAATAAGATATAAGATCTAGTATTAGTATCTACAATCTAAGATCTTAGAAATAAGAAATAAAAAACAAAATCCAGACAATAAGAAATAGAATATAATATCTAGGAAACAAGATCCAAGGACCTACTAACAATCTCCACTAAATCATCTACCTATCTAGAATTCCCAGGTCTTACATTCTTTAGCTTCTAAAACCCACTCCCCATTATCCATTTCCCACCCCACCTCCCAGTCCCTACCAAGTATATCCAAAAACCCCCCCAAAATTCAACCCCAACAAGTAAACCACTACCCCCTAACCCATAACACCACGACTCGGACCTCATAGGTTACAATTCACAACCAAGTACCACGATCCAAGAACCAATACGAGTAATATAGAATCATAGATATAAGATCTAGGATCTCAAAATTTAAACCGTAAACTGGGAAAAACCAGTCAAAAGAGGAGGCTATATTCTTTCTTTTCCGTATGGTATCTAGGAATTAAGATCCAAGATCTAGGATTTGGGAAATTAGATATCGAATACAGGAACCTTAATCCTCTAATTACAAACCTAGTCACTCCCCATTTCCAAATTCCGGTAAACAATCCCCAAAAACCCCCCATCACCATCATCTCACTCAAAGAACAATCTTCCCCAAAAGAAAACCCCTAAAACAAGAACCCCAAAACAAGAACCCAGAAACAAGAATTCGAAGACCAGAACTTAGCAGAATACAGGAAACCAGAATGCGAGCCTGAACGAGCACCAGGAAGTAAGTTCAGAGTTATAATGAGAAACTCGGAAAGCAGAACGTGGATGGAAAGAAGAGTCTAGAATCAAGTACCAGGAAGTAAGGAAGCAGGGGATGAGAACCTAGAAGGAGGATTTGAGAACGGGAAGTGGGAGGTGGGAAACAGGATTGGCAGATGAGAAAGGAGAGGAAGGGGGATCTAGAAATTTAGGTACGGGCCACCAATACCTAGTAAATAGAGCCCGTACTTCGTCTAGTCCACGAGAAACATTATTAAATCCACGCTTGAGTATAACAAATCTGATGAAGGCATTTTGATGTTGAAATACTTTTTTGATTGCTCGAGAGAATGTTGAAAACTCTTCCAAGATTTTCTTTCCTCAACATACCAAAAGCTCATGATGGTTTTGTGATTCCCTTCAAAGACCAAGCACTCCCTCAGAAGCAACATTTTAAGTAAAATCGGGGTATCTATTTACAAGAAATCAAAGGAGGAGAAACAAGTAGGCAAACATCTAGTGGTGGAAGAGACGAATGCTCTGCTCCACAAAGGTAATGCCCAATTTCTCCGCCGTCTCGAAAACAAGCGAGTCATTTTGACTGCCGGTTGGTGCTGCAATGTACTTAACTCCGGAACGGCTTGCGCGGTATACATTGTCGGTGAAGGGGAACTATGATATTGTTAGTGAAATTATATCTTTTCGGATGGGAAAACGTACGAATGCATCACTTGAGACAACGACATTCGTGAGCTTAGAGAGCCACTCCTTTCGCTCTTCCTTGGTGAATGCAGCTGGAACTTCGTCGAAAAAGTCCTCGAAGGTAGCTCTCTCAGGTCCCTCCTCTGGAAGTTCACCGCTGACCAACAAATCGATTGCGTTGCTCTTGTCTGGTCGCTTGGTACCCTTCTTCCACTACAGTACACATTGGACGTTAGTAAAGTACCAGGCTGCCGCTGTGATTAGAAAAACATGATAAACGAACCTTGATACCCAATACACGGGGGTTGAATCTCAACCACCAATTGTCTGCCTTATCACCTGCAAGACGAGTACAGTGGATACGCGACTGTTGACCAGCTCCTAATCCAACAATTTGACCATTGTAAGCGTAGCAGACTGAGTTGCTTTGTGTGTATTTGACAACGATAGTAGCAATAGTCAGGTCTCGAATAGCAGCCTCGGAGAGCGAGGAAGAGTTCTTTGGTATGATGATGGAAGTGAACGACTTGGCCCCAATCTTAACATCGTTTCGGTGTTGGGTCAAGGTAACCCCATACAGTGTTCTAAGCTCTGTTGAAGATGGCTCATACTCAGGGTCAATTTGCAAGACGAGGTACTTGCCGCCCTTCTTCTTCTTCAAAATCTCGAGTGCTGCATCTTCATAACCAGGAGCAATGACACCATCCGATACTTCCTTGGAAATGATCTTGGCAGTTGGTACATCAACAATCTCACTCAAAGCGATCATGTCACCAAAACTGCTCATACGATCGGCACCTCTTGCACGAGCATAAGCACAAGCTAGCGGTGAGTTCTCCAAGCCTTCAATATCATCCACCATGTAGACCTTGCGCTCATCTGGGCTTAGAGGAATACCAATGGCAGCACCAGCAGGGGAAACATGCTTGAAACTTGCAGCTGCAGGGAGATGGAGAGCTGCCTTCAATTCTTTGACCAAGGGCCAAGCATTCAATGCATCCATCAGGTTGATGTATCCAGGAGCTCCACAGAGAACCTTGAAAGGCAGTGGTGCTAATTTGTTATAGGCCGCAGCAGGCTTCTGGTGAGGGTTTGCACCATATCTCAGAGCCATTTGTTGAGTTCCTTCACCTGCATACTGCTTGCGGAAGAAGTCCGAAATAGATGCATCATAATCGGCTGTGTGCTCGAAAGCCTTCAAGGCGTATAGGTTTCTGCTACGCTCGCTGACCTCTCCCTTCTCCAATTCCTGCAAGAATTCCGGGTAATCTGCTGGATCGCTCAAAATTGTGACACGGCCATGGTTCTTTGCAGCAGCACGAATCAAAGTAACTCCTCCAATATCAATCTCCTCAACAGCCTCAGGAATAGTAACGTTGATCTTGGCAATCGTGTCCTTGAAAGGGTATAAGTTGCAGATGACATAGTCGACCTTGTTGATGTTTTGCTCGGCAAGGTCCTTCTCGTCGGAGGCAAGATTGCGAGCGAGGATACCGGCGTGGACGGCTGGATGGAGGGTCTTGACTCTACCTGCCAACATCTCAGGAGCGTGTGTAATGGCAGAAACATCTCTAGATTGAGGTTAGAAATTGGCGTGAGGTAAAGATAGATGAAAAGAGATATTGCAAAGCAGAATTGACCAAGAGGGCATGGCGATCGATCGAGGGGAGTACTAGGAAGGCATGCATATACCTTGAGGGAATTGTCCCAATGCTACTTTTGATAGTTACAATCAAAATTGATTCTCACTTTCTTTCCTACTGACTTCAGGGAATCGAGAATATGGTGCAGGGAGGAGTAGAACGAAAGGAACTTACTCCACAGCAAAGCCAGACTCTCTGATCATCTTGGCCGTGCCTCCAGATGCAAGAAGCCGAACATTCTGCTGGATCAGTCCCTTAGCCAGATCCAGCAAGCCTGTCTTGTTGTAGACTGAGATGATCGCTTTGGGAAAGATTAGCTGGGAGGGACGTCGTCGGGAGAGATCGAACTGGCATACCTGTCTTACGAGTTGCCGACATCTTGATCTTGACCCAAGTTTTGATATTCAACTCTGAACCAAATTGGTGCTAGGTAGAGATGTTGATAATCAAAAAAAAAATTGAATGGATGTCGTAACCTTGGCGGGGGTGTTCAAAACTTTAGGTACGAGTACCCCGCCATTTTTTTATTTGATCCGGGTCCGATCGGACGGACTGCCGCGGTAGGCGAGGGCAAGCGGATATGCCTTCCTTACGCCATCAAGGTGTTAGAACAATTGTTTCAATTTTCTCAATTGTTCCGTTTGGGCCGGATAACCAAGAGCTACAGAATCGCAGTATTCTAAACAACTCACACAATTGACTTGAAGAATGTTAGCCATTATGGGACGACCTCGACTTTTGTGTACCCAGAGCAATGACTAGGTAGTATGCCAACTACTCTCAAGACGACAATGGAACTTGAAAACAACTGAGTCTGACTAGAGATTGTGTACATCACAACCATTAGGTAGGACACTACGAATCCCAAAATATCACTATCGGATATTGTACCTGCGATTATTATTGTAGGTCATCGGACTGTGCGACTACCGGGTACCTATGCTGTCCAGAGCAACCGTTCACCAAAGAGCCTTGCCGCTTTTCCGTTGGTACCTACGGAGACTGGAGTCCGAGTATGGTCTGCATGGCATCAATTCGGTGGATGCCTCGGGCAGCAAGTCAGGCGTCGACGCTAAAAATTTTCCTACATCTTGAAAAGTCAGAACCCAATTCTCCTTTCTCCTCCAACAAAAGAAATTTATTTCTTTTCAACGCAAAAAAACACGTTCGCTCAAAGCAATCAGTTCGAGAAGCCCGTCGTCCTCGGATGATGTGAGGCTCCATGACAACCGGTTCGTCAGTAGAAACGGAGAAGAATCTTGTTCGATTATGGGTGAAGCGTTCTCCTTTTCCCTATGGAGAGGGTTTCAATGATTGACCATACATACCACACGACCAATCCACCAACTGTTTGTGCTTGATTCAGATGTAAAGGCCCGGATAGGATTCGATGGAGTGAGGATTGTTGGGACGATACCAAATGGACCTAATGAAATATTGTCTACAAATCCTAGGTTGTGAAAAATGGGAGACGCGACCCGAACCGCCTTTCGTTCATGTTTCGCCCTGTCGGTGCTTTTGCACTCTCACCCTTTCTTCCATCATGACGTCCATATTCCAAAAATGCATCCAAAAAGTCCTCATGAATTGTGGCCGAAGCGGTTATTTATGTACGCCTTGTGAAATCACAACTGGCAAAATACTGCAAATTAAATCCGTCCGCAGCGGGTTCCATCTACAGATTCCCCACAGTTAATCGCCATTCACGCTTCCACATTTGAACGATTTTTCGTTTGGTCTCCATCGGCTTGCGACGCGGCTAACATGATTAGACGACATTGCCTGGAGCGCCGCGTGTAGAGTCTCCACCGAATGGGTCTGTGATCTCCTGCTACGAGTAGAACGATCGGCGAACGTGCAATTTGGCAGCGGTTAACTCGAAACAAAGCTCATCATCCAGTCCCTGACATTCATTTTGGCCGCCACAGCCACGATTGTTGATCATAGCTTTCGAATTAACATTTTTTTTTAGGTCCTCCAAGAAAGGTCTTGGTGGCAGATTAAAACTAACACGCAATCTGGATAAGTGAGTAGCGATGCAACGTCGACCAGGTATTCAGCCTTCCAACCGACGCCTTCCACAAGACCAATTCCTCTATTTGAAAAGTGACTGATTGAAGATGTACAAATGTAGGGCGGTAAATAACTCCGTACTTGAATGCCAACAGTCTGGGTGCCAGGGGTGGTATGCAGGTACCTTGATATCGTACCCCCTTTCAGGAGAAAAGTCCTCGGTTGCAGAACCGATAGCGGAAATTATCCCTACCTTGTATCACCCATATCTTGAAGGGGTGATATCTCGCTCAATTGAGCTGGATTGACGTGCTGTTTACTTGGAATCAAGACTTGTCAACCGTCCGTTTTCTTACTTCGTAGTGATTTACTCATGTGTTTACAGGTTAAGCCTTTCAAGATTCGCTTGCGGCTTGTCGAGCGATACCAGCCTTAATATCGCTTTAATCTTCGGGTAACCCCACAGAAGCTTGGATGCCACATCTCGACCCTCTCCTTATCCCCCATAGAAACAGACGGCTGAAGATAAGGTTGTACCTGGGAAATTTGATGTGGCGTCCTAACGTTGCACATGCAGACCCGGAAAGTGAGATCAAAAAAGCCTCATTTTATAATGTGGGGAATATGTCTCTCTGAGAGGGTGAGTGGACCAGTTTGTTAAGAGTCCCAAGGACCAAGGACGTTCACTCCCAGGTTGACAAGAGGTTTAGGGAGGGTTGTGCGTTCACGTTATCAAAGACAAGTCGACGCGAGTGTGCTACTTATACCTCAACCCTCGCTCCCTCTCCCCTTTCCATCCCCATCCAACTTCAAGTACACTCTTTTGATACTTCATCATCTAAGCTCCTCACACATCTCCTACTATCTCAATCCCCTCACTCAAAACAAACTCTCAACCTTCAAGATGCAATTCAACGTCGTCGCCCTTTTCGCCGTCATGGCCGCTGTCGCCTCTGCTGAGAAGTAAGTCAGATCAGGACCAGTACATACGACCTATCTCTAACAAGTACCAGGACTGTCACTGTCTACGAATGTGGACCAGCCCCAACCGCTGTCAAGCCATCAGGTGTCGCCGGCCCAACTGCCGCTGCGGTCACTTCCGTCGTCGGCGTCGCATCCACTGGTGTTGTCACCGCCCCAACCGCAACTGGCTCCCCAATTGCCCCATTCGAGGGTGCTGCCGCCATGAACGGTGCTTCCGCCATGGCCATGATCGTCGCTGGTGGTGTTGCTCTTGTACGTTCCCACGAAGCCAGCTCTTGGTATCCAAATCGTGTACTAACTTTAACCCCAGCTCTTGTAAACAACTCCAGCTTTGAATTCCGAATTGCGTCAATACATTTAATGGCGTCCCTTAATATTTAATTACGGTACCTCAATGCTCCCTCTTTCTTCGACGGACACATCTTGTGGGAGAACATGGCGATCGAAGTCCAGGATTTTGGGTGTATCTGGTGTTTGTGAAGATGTGTGATGAGCTTTGACGTCAATAGTCTCCTGTACATATGAAGGTTCACTGCAAAAGATATGAGATAATACCTAATATTGAAAAAAACTGTTCTTGTGCGTGTGACTTGTGAAGAAAGGCGGAAGAGTGAAATGATTGTGGTACTCTCTTAGAGTTAGATATAGACCTATCCATAACTCTCCCGTGGTAAATGGACTGTCTCCGTTCAGTCATCATTTCCATTGGATATGGCCTTAACTTTGGGCAAACAGATGATAGAAGCAAACCTGGTCTTTTGCCTATCCCGCCAACGGCGAACGTGTAGTTTTTTATATAGTGAAAAGATGTGTGTAACATTGACTCGAGGGTACCCTCCATGAGTTCCAAAATGCCTGATGTTAATAGACCCGGCCAATTCTTATTCTTGAACTGAAACTTAAAAAGCGTCCTCGCGTAGCCTCTTCCTGGTGAACAAAGTTTTTGTAGGGCTAAGAATGCCGAGAAAATAATCTTGGTAGCTGATTTACAGCCAAGTAAAGAAAAACAGAGAATAGAAGATGTGCTGTTGAGTATTTGTTTGCTTTCAGTAATGTTCTGTCAAAATTGGTCAATGCCGACTGGAGAAAATAAAGGTTGCGCGTCACGCATTTGGTGCCTCAAGCTCGGCAAATTACCTAGGTAGAACAGTAACCTTCATGCTGATAAATCGGACAAGCAACAACAACCCACGATTTCCCTACACCACCCCACGCCATGTCAACAAAGACAGTAACAATCGCCTCCCCGGCGCAATTTTCAGGGCTTCTCAAGTCCTCAAAAATTGTCGTTACAGACTGTAAGCTCGTACCCCACCTTACCCCTCGTTCGCCACGGTACCTCCAATATATCAGAGCTTCACAACACGTCTGAAGAGTCCAGACTAACTCGACATAGTCTACGCAGACTGGTGTGGACCATGCAAAGCAATCGCCCCAATCTACGAGCAGCTCTCGGCCCAGCTGACGCGACCGAACCGCATTACTTTTACCAAGGTCAATGTGGACGCACAAAAGGAGATCGCAGCGAGTTATAATGTCACGGCCATGCCCACCTTCATGATTTTCAAGGACGGAAAGGCCATTGAGAAGATCCAGGGCGCAGATGCTAGGAAGTTGCAGGATGTTATTAAGAAGTTGGCTGCTGAAGCAGATGGGGCGGCAGGTTCCTCTGGGTTTGGAGGCTCGAGCAGCAGTGGTGATTGGCGCACAGGCGAGTTGCCAAAGGGATATGGAAATATTACTGATCAGGTTGATGTAAAGGGATTGGAGCTCCTCAACTCGGATAGCGAGTTTGGCACTGTGCGGGTTTTGGTCGAGAGTAGCAAACCTACTGGTCTGCAGAAGGGCAAGGCTTCTGGAAATGCTGTCAAGGATTGGGTTGAGAGTGATACGGATGAGCAGTTGATGCTGTTCATGCCTTTCCAGGCTCTACTTAAGGTTCATACTTTACAGGTATGAATACTGATCCTGCAAGATTACACCACACCTAATCTGAGCAATAGATTACATCCTTACCACCCACTGAAGCCGAAGACGACGAGGAAACTCCTATGCGACCAAAGACTCTTCAAATATACACCAACCGCCCACACATCCTCGGTTTCGAAGAAGCAGACGATACCCCCATCACCCAGAGCATTACCCTCTCCGCAAACGACTGGGACGCCACAGGTACCGCGACAATCCCTCTGCGCTTCGTCAAGTTCCAGAATGTCACAAGTTTGGTTATCTTCATCGTGGATGGCGACGGAGAGGGAGAGCGGATTCGCATCGACAGACTTAGATTAATCGGCGAATCTGGCGAGAAGCGCGATCAGGGCAAATTAGAAAAGGTCAGCGATGAGTAGAGAGGCTGGGGCGTATCGTATACCTGGGCATGAATGAATGACTGGCATGATTAAGGTCTCGTGTAATTGGGCAAGATGATAGATGGCTTTGGGCCTTGGATGATGAATTATGGTATGCGCGTAGACAGTAGAGAACAGAACACGTTGCATGTCCACAAATGAAGACTCTTGATTTCTTGAACACCCTGAATTGATTTCTACCGCATGCACCTTACCTCCCACTGAAAAGCAGCCTGCCCACACAAAATAAACCACAGCGCCTCTCAGACCGCAAACACCTTCCCGCCCAACCTTCCCCCTTCCAATCCAACATCCCAATCCCTCTCCTCCTAAACAACACAACACAATAAAAAAAGGGAATGTCCAACCCTCCCCCCCAGCCCCGCATCCAGCAACACCCCACGAGCCCATGACAGACAAATCGCGAAGCAGGCGAACACGACACAGGAGCCATTCTCAGGAGAAAAGTCGTCTTTGCAATTTGGGGTTTTCTCTGTGATAGGATTGACGCTCGACTAAGTGAGATTTGACGGTCTCTCATCATGGGACACCCGATAGCAAGTGGTAGCAAGCTAGGGGTGCGGATGATCGAGTAACACTGGGGTTTTGAAATCCTATCGCCGCACGAAGAGGGAAGAGGATGTTGGGCGTGTGGATGGGGTTTTATGGGAGGGAGATTTTTTGGGGGTGGGGCGCGCTAGGATGGTTTGGGATGGTGGGGATGGCACGTGATGGTGGGGGGGAGGGAGAAAGTTGGGGGAGTGAGTTGAAAGTCGGATTGTTTAGGTCAGGAAGTGATGTATGGTGTGAGTGATGTTTGATTTCAGATAGTAACAGTAGCTGGTAAGCCTCACAAGTAGTGTTCTCAAACAACAGTCGACCGACCATGAGAGAACCTTGATAAATGTGGAAAACCTCAATACTTTTTACTTTGGAGTTATAAATATTGGACCATCAAGTCCTAGGATAATTGAGATCTGTATGATATTATGAGACTTAAGTGATGGTAAAATCAACTAGATAAGCATTCAACAACTGGTTATTGGTCTGCTACTTGAATACTCGCTTACGAGTACAACTCTGGAATCATTAGCTTTTCTTTCTTATTCCTTAAGACTGATTTCTGAAGATCAAACTAGATCTTGGCCCGCGTAGGTTTGCATTCTGGTATACCAAAGTAGTATCTCTGTCAACTTGGTAAATTGTCATACCAAAGCGAGGGCTACTTTGTATTTCCTGTAGAAGTATTATGGTTACGATTTAATGTTTATCATACAGAATCGATATCTGGATATACCATACTCCGTACCAAAGCGCGAACTTTGTCTTCGCGTCAAGTATCTTGATTGTCTTGGATAGTCTGTTCTAGACCCTTGGATGGTTCAATATTGATTCTAAGGATATAGATAGGAACAATGAGGTTATCTCCTGCTACGTTTTTTGTGTATCGCGTGATACTAACATGTCTCTTCTGTCTCCAAGATCAAAGATCTAACAGATCCAACAAATGCAGCTTTCCTTTCGATCTTGTTTGAAACTGTGGTCCACCCTAATCGGAAAATAAAAGAAGGCTTGGAACACGCGTTTCTACAATAGCGTTTCGATCCGTCTTGACAGTTGAGTCAGAGCATTCCACAAGCCGGGGAAGGTTTCTCATTCTGGCAGGTCAGAGTTGCTGCCAGTCATTCAGAGTTCCGGGATTCCTATGCACCCAACTCCCGTACTGTGGTCAGGATGTCCCGGAGAGAAAACTCGATAGTTGCCTGGTATAGTTCTCGTATCATAGCTTGTGAAATGAATGGTGACGTCGATTTTCATATGGCAAAAGAGTTGAGGGAGTGGGGTATTCTCCGTAAGTAGCAGCTGTGCACTGATTCGGTCTTTGTAGTCAGGTACGGAGTGCTGTACTGCTTGCCAGATTGGGATGGAAACATGGATTCGTCCACTATTCCTACCGGTAGATCAAAGTATAATAAAAAAAAATCATTTGAAACGAATATCATCCGAGGTTTCAAGCAACATTCCAGACATACCGTAAAGAGACGGTGGATATAATCGGGAATATCTTCAAACTCGCGTGGGTCTCCAAAGAGCTCGTTGAAAGATACGGCCACAAGGGCTACTCTATTCATAGGTACAGGTGGATTGATGATTGATCGTCCACACAGAACGCTAAACAATGTTTGCAAATAGGAACAAAGATTCGTTGAATCGCAATCGCCTACATTTACTTGCGAGGTTAATTTCCGATTGGACCACGAGTTCGGTTCGTCACAGCCGAAAGGCAAAGCAAGGGGGGAAGGTGGGGATGATGGCTGTTCAGTGCATGATTTGGAGAGTGACTCCGTACTTCATCAAAGCAGGCACTCCTCCCTCAGTATCTTTAACTCTCACCAGAAACACGATCCAACGTCACGGCCTCAGAAGATCCCAAGAACGACATCAACGCGTTGTGACCGCAGTTGCCGTTGCCGAGCCAGCACTGGCCAAACCAATATTTTAGGTGCACCTGGTGGACTGAGCTTGCTGAAGAAGCTGGGGTGTTGACCCTGAATGGTGGTTGTGGTGGTGCTGGGGCGACGGTGTACCTGACCGGTACGGGGGGAGAATATCAACAAATAGCCCGCACTCTCGACCAACCTTGAAATGGCAACCCAAACCACTCCTCGCAGACAGCTCCGGCCGCGACAGGTGAATAGCACCGCCTCGAGCCCGAATCTCAACTCGGCCTACATAGCCCAGGCAGAGCTAGCAAAGAACCCATTTCCGTCCTCACTTAGTAAGAAAATCTCTCTTAGCGCTCTCACGCCCAATAGCCTGGCCACGACCACGACCCCCAATGGGACCAAAGGATACGGCGTGAGCACAGTGCCCTACACAAACCGGACGACATCCAGAAATATGGCACCCACGACCCCTTCCTACGGCGACGGCGATGACCTGGAGGTCGGCGACACGGTCGATGTCCCAGGGAACATGTACGGGGTGGTCAAGTTCGTTGGGACGGTACAAGGCAAGAAGGGTCTCTTCGCAGGGGTCGAATTGTGCGAGGAGTTCGCGCGCCGGGGCAAGAATAATGGCGATGTTGAGGGGTGAGACACACAAACGCTTCACGGTCATGTCATGTTATGTCATACTGATCAAATCGCATAGAGTATCCTACTTCCAAACCCAGATACCTGGTGCCGGTATCTTTCTCCCGATCAACAGAGCGACCCGACGCGCATCTGCCTCTTCCCGCGACGAATCCTTCCCCCTCACACCTTCGACGCCTTCGGCTGGTAGCAGCTTCAAGGCCAGGGGCCAGTCGGCAACCTTTACACCACCCACCCCGTCATTGCCTAACTTTAGCAAATCCGTTGGCGCAGTAAGAGCTCCAAGTCCTGGCTTCAAGAAGACTCGTCCCTCACTCTCACGTCCCGAGTCTCCCCTTCGTAAGCCCCAACTTAGCGCGTTCCCCACGATCCATACACCAGGACAAAAAGTACCTCCACGATATGGAAGTCCTGTTCCGACCAAGTTTGGGCAGAGTGTGGGAGGTACAGCCGACTCGGGGGATCCAAGGAAGAGAGGAGCGTATCCAGGGAGAAACGGAATGTCAACACCTGGGACAAGAAGCGTCTCTGCTTTAGGACAAACTCCCATGAGTATCAGCGAAGATGATACCACCCCTATTGGAGTTGGACGTACGCCTACAAACGGAAGTCTTGGCTCTGTATCCTCCTTCGCCTCCAAAATGCGACCAGCATCGCGGGCCGCCTCTCGAACAGCCTCCCGGACGGGTTATAGAGTCAACAATGAAGATGAAGTCGATCGTTTGCGAGGGCAGCTAGAAGAGCGGGAGAAGCAACTTAAGGATCAAGCAGCAAGCTTGGCAGAGATGGAAGGTGCCCTGGCTGAGGTTCAATCTTTGATGGGAGCAGCAGAAGTGGACCCTAGCCGGAACAATAGGAGGGGTAGCGTGGAGGACAAAGACGCATCACAATTACGAATGCTACTGCGAGAAAAGAACGAGAAGATAGCAATGTTGACCGCAGAATTTGACGCCCATCGAGCAGATTTTAGAAGCACAATCGATACTCTGGAGTTAGCAAGCACGGAAACTGAACGGGTCTACGAAAAACGTGTTGAGGATTTGCTACATGAAGTTCGAGAATACCAGGATCGCACTGATGATGTCGATAGTGTTGCCAGACAACTCAAACAACTTGAAGAACTTGTACAAGAATTGGAAGAAGGTCTAGAGGATGCTCGACGAGGAGAGGCTGAAGCGAGGGGGGAGGTGGAATTTCTACGGGGAGAAGTCGAACGCACAAGATCTGAGCTTCGTCGGGAACGTGAAAAGGCTGCTGCTGTGCTCAACGGCAATGGAGCGAATGGAGAATCAAAGTCTTCAAGTGCGCAATCTAAAGAGTTGGCGCAACGGGATGATGAAATTCGGGGGTTGAAAGCGATCATTCATTCTTTGAGTAGAGATGCCATACCAGATACTTCCAACCCACCCTCAGAATTTGAGAGGACACCAACTCAGCGTCAAGGAAGCTTTCCCGGGCTCCAAGGTAGCATTAGTGGTACCTCTTCCCAGGATATAGCGGCCCGAGAGAAAATGGAGCGCGAGCTTAGGGAACTTCGAGCTGTCGTCGAAGCAAAGACAAGCCGAGAAGATGAGCTTGAACGTGAGCTTGAGCGCGCGCGCAGAGGCAGTGCTGGTCAAGTCAATAGCCAGCGATCGAGTGCAATGACCCTTCAAGGTAGCGGTGGAATCATCACCCAAGATTACTCATCAGGATCAGCACGGGATTCCAAGGGAACGATTGCCAGCTGGCGCGAAAGAGATCTACCCAGATCATCAGGAGAACATCAAAGAAAGAGCACACTGGATACCATGCCCGAAAGCGATACATACTCTTCTGCGACCGAAAGTAACTTTTGCGAGCTATGTGAAACTACAGGACACGATATCTTGACATGTACCAACATGTTCACCACCAACGGCAATGGTAAACCACGTCCGCAAAACGAGCTGAATGTTCAGAAGAGAACCAGCAAAGATGCAGGGAGGGAAGGCCTCAATCTTCCTCCTCAGGATTACAAGCCGGCCCCACTTTCCCCAATGAAGAGACCTCCTCCACCTGTGGAGAAGACTCCGACCGCGGCGATTCCCAATCCGATGGAATCGGGACCATGTGCTGGCAAGGAGAGTGGTGTGATTAACATGGATAAATGGTGTGGTGTCTGCGAGCGAGAGGGTCACGATAGTATCGATTGCCCGTTTGAGGATGCATTTTAGGGTTCCCACTAGCGATTTTCTTAATTGAGGGGTTAGCGAGATTCATTGAATCGGTTTATTAATTCGATTTTTTTTCTCCCTCTCTTTTGGCTTTTGGCTACGTAGCGTTTTCTTCGTCGTTGGGAGGGAAAAGATAGGCATTTTGCATGGCGCGTGTTTTTTCGTTCAATGCTCGTTAGTGTATGCGATGATACCACTCTTTTTTTCTCTCTCCTTTCTCTTCGTGGATGTCTTCTTTTCTCCCTTTTTGTGAACTTCTTCTACTTCCTTATAATTCCCTTTTCTTCTTTTTCGGTGTGTGAGTCTATGTGTGAATGAGTAATTAGGGAATAAGCTATAGTAGTCTAGTCTAGTCTACTTGTAGTCTACTAGTCTATGAATCGGATTTGGAAAGGAATGGAAATTAATGGAAATGGAAGCTGTTATGTTATATTATAAGTAATATATAATATTAAGAGAGTTTAGTATAATCATCCTTTTTTATAGTAAGAGTGTTACGGAACGTGCTGGATTTTACCCCTTTGTTTACTTAGCATGTGACTCCTGTATTAGGCTAGACGACCTGTACGCCATATAGTTCCAGAAGAGTCAAGGCTAGTCTTATATAAGTCACGCTAGTCTTATTCAGGAAGGATCTATAGTATAGGAAAGCTCTTATATTAGGGTACTGCTTTACCTTAACTATCTACTTTTTATAACTTATTCTAATAGTCTTCGGTTTTATCCTTAATAATTAGTAGTATTAGTAGCTCTTAATAACTAACTATCTTAATAATTATTTACTTTATCTTACCTTTTAGAATACTATTTTTAATTACTATATTAACCTTCTTATTAAAAGACCTTTAATACTTAACTAAAACGTTTTCTTAAGTAAATTAATATATCAATTCCTTTACTCTAATTAACTACTTAATAAGCTTTTTTATAATTATTCTATTCTACTCCTATAAGCTAAAATTTATAGAACTTAATAGCTTAATTAACTTAACATATAGCTAACATATAGCTAACATATAGCTATAATAGTAGAATTATAGGCGATAGTAGCTAGATAAAACTAAGGTAATATATAATTACTACCTAGCCTTACTCTACTTATATAAAAGAATAATAACATAGTGTCACAAATCACGTGCACACGTGACAAGTGAAGACCAGGCGGCGTCATGACAAGTCAAGCACATATGGGCCTGGGAGCTTTATGTGTTCTGGGAAACCAGAGGGAGTTTTCTTATGTAAGCAGGAGCCGTTAATTGGTTGGATAATGGATGTATACCTTTACCAACATGTTGGTCACGTGATAGTCGACTGGTCGACTCGTCGACCTGTCGACCAACATTCCTTAGTAGTAGTATTCTGAGAACGAAGGTTCTATATAAGACTGGCACGTCTGCCATTTAGATAGGAGCTTCGTGCTCAACTTAGTTATCAATCTTATCATATTAGTTTGACATCTACGTCGACCTGTCGACCAACATTCCTTAGTAGTAGTATTCTGAGAACGAAGGTTCTATATAAGACTGGCACGTCTGCCATTTAGATAGGAGCTTCGTGCTCAACTTAGTTATCAATCTTATCATATTAGTTTGACATCTTTGATACAAGTAACGAGTTCACTTCCAAGTGAACAACCCGATAGTCTTCTTCTTATCATAGCATACCAACCAGCGAACACCCAGCCAAGTTTAGTTAGCCAGTTTGAGTATTCGTTACACATAGGTATTAGTAATTAATAAAATAAAGAGAATTTAGAATAATACTTTAAAAATAATAGATTTAGAGGATTTAACTAGGAATAAGGAACTAGTAATAGAAAAGATAATAATAATAATTATAAAAAATAAGAACTATATTAACTATAGCTCTCAAAGAACGCTAAAGTATAAAAGAAGCTAAGTAAAAAGGATAAACGATTTAAGAGATTAATAGCGTTTATTATTAATTAAAATAAGAAGATAGAAAAACGCTATTAGAACCTAATAATATAACTTCTAGGAAACTAGAATCTAAGATAAAATTTAGTTATTCTAAAAGAATAAGAATAATAACTATAAGAGCTATATTAAATATAAGCTATTATTAAATATAAGTTAAGATCTAAAGATATTAGATACTTTAACCCTTTAAATAAATTAACTATAATTAAAAGTAATAGTAAGTTTACAATCTATTTAAATGTTTTTATATTTTATAATAAACTTAGGTAGTGCCACGAATCACGTGCTAGCGCATGAAGAGTGAGTCCAGGCGGAGTCCTGACAGAACAAACACACCTCGAAGTAGTTATAACATATTGGATGGTTACTCAGGCTAGCTGAGTATCCAAGGATTTCATAGAGTTCGTTATCACGTGATTGGATCAGTCGGATCAGCAGGATCATCGAATGATCCAAGTGATCCAGTAGATCCAGAGGAACGGATCAGTAGGATCAGTAAGTTGTTACTATGATCCATATGATCCAGTGGAGAACAGAGGTTCTATATAAGACTGGCACGTCTGCCATTAGATAGGAGCTTCATGCTCAACTTAGTTATCAATCTTATCATATTAGTTTGACATCTTTGATACAAGTAACGAGTTCACTTCCAAGTGAACAACCCGATAGTCTTCTTCTTATCATAGCATACCAACCAGCGAACACCCAGCCAAGTTTAGTTAGCCAGTTTGAGTATTCGTTACACTAAGGCTAGGTTATATAGGTTTTAGTAGGTCTAAAATAGGTCTTAAATATGGTAGTAAAACAGGTGGAAATTAGTATAAATACTACTTCGAATATAACTAAAAACTCGCCTATATTATAACTAAAAGTTCGGGATCTATTAGGTATAAGGGGGTTAGCGTTTCTCGGGAATTTAGCGTCCTTTTGTGACGACACGTACGCAAGGCCCACGGTGTAGGTTGTGGAATCGTAGAACTGTCAATTAAACAAAGATTCTAAGCTGAGGAGAAGAGGAGAGCTCGAGAGAGCTTCGATCTAAATACTTGGTGTGGGTCGCTAAGCGAGACCACGTGATCCGAATGGTGGTGACGGTTAGAACCGTCACACCTTTAGCTTACTTAATTCCTCTATTAAATCTACTAAATAATCTACTATATAATCTATATATTCTACTATATATTCTACTAAAACCTCTCCTCTTTAATATACCTAGCCCTAACAATAGAACCTTCTTTGTAGGAATAGACTTCTACGTAGTATAGCTCTCTCGGCTACGCCTATACATTACTTAGCGAATAGTAATAATCCTAATTTAAGACTATTCCTAATACTCTTATAATTATAACCTCTATTTATTAACGTACTAGAATCTTATAAGGAAGACCTAGTATATAATAACCTACCGGGTATAGAAGATAACGCTATCTTAATATCTTCCACCTTAACTTTTTTATATAACCTTATCTTTCTACTTTATTTTAGCCTCTCTTTCTTACTTCTCTTCCGAATCCTACCTCTCCTTATCTACTCCTTTCTAGATAAGTAACCTATTCTCCTCTCCTTCTCCTAGCTAAAGATATAGATCTCCTACTCCTCTCCTAGTAGTTAGGAGAGGAGAGGAGGGGAGATTCTAAATACTACTACTACCTAACCTTATCTCGGTTACCTAGGTAGATACCTAGTATTCTAGTAGCTTCTACTTAGTTAGGGTTATCTTATAAAGACTCCCTACTTCTCCTTTAGCTAGCTTACTCTATAATCTACTTTTATAGCTTATTCTAATAGTCTTCTATTTTATCCCTAATAATATATTACTACTAATTATTAGAAAATAAATAAAATATAGTATAGAATAGGATAATTATAAGGAGGGAAGCTAGCTAAGGGGTAAGTAGGGAGTTTTTATAGGACTACCCTGTTCGAGTAGAAGCCTCTAGAGTACTAGGTATTCTCCTAGGTAACCGAAACAAGGTTAGATAGTAGAGATAGAGGTATAGGAGTCTCGGCTAGCTAAGACTATTCCGTAATACTAAAGAAGACGAAGTAAGAGAGGAATCTAATCTTAACTATAAACTCTATATCTAGGTAGCTATTAGTTATAATTATAAGTCTAAATTAGTATTTATTGGGTTGAAAGGGTATTGGGTACTGAAGTTCATGGAGAATTGATTGCATTGTAAAAGGTAGCTATCTAAGGTGTTTATATAAAGAGTGTAAGGTTTAGGCAGACATGAAGCATTTAGGCAGCAGAACTATAAGTGGATCAAATAAGGAAGTGGAGCAAAAGAGAAAGTAGACCCAGCACAACAGTATTTTATAATACTAGTAACTCTAATAGAAAGATAATAGCCGAGTATTATATTTCCTAAATCCTCGAGCTTTATATTCTCTCCCTTATTAAAGAAGAAAGAGACTTTATAATAAAGGAGAATAGAGACTTAGAGTACGGCTATAGTAAAGGAAAGAAGGGTAATATAGTACGAAAATAGAAGTAAGAGTATAAGGTTAAATCCTATAAGAACTATTCGAGTTGTGAGAGGCCAGACCTCGAATAGCTCAAAGGTGTGGTTTCGAATATTCAATTAAGAAGTGCGTGAAGACTACATACATGCAATCTCTTCCTCTATATATAGAGAGAGGAAGAGTTTCTGGAGTCTTCCAAGAAACTGTTTGACAAATACGTGACGTCAAAAGAATAGAGTAGAAAAGTGTAGAAAAGGAGAAACCAATTTAGCAGTGGAGCAATGGCCAATGCTGAGCGGGGACTTTGGTCAGTGCTTAGCGAGGGCATGGCCCGAGCCTCCATCATGGGTTCCAACCCTCACACGAGTTTACTAAATATTACTTCTATTAAGAATACCTAGTTAGTTCTAAAGGTATGTATTCGTAAATGCCTTTATAATAATATCAAGACTCTTAGAGAGCTAGCTCTAAAGGGGTAGGCGAAATTATTATAAGAGACTATAAATAAGTAGGTAAACGAGATACTATAAAGGCTTTAAGATATAATCGATACTAAAGGAAAGATAACTAGCTATTAGAGGGTTAGGAATAGCTTTAATTTATATAAGTTTATAGATCTAATACTATTATATTTATATTAAATACGCTATAAAAATATATATAATTTTAATGAATTAGTAATATTAACGTACGAATAAAAAGTCCCGCCAATTTTGTTTACCGCGTATTCGCGCTAATTAAGGAGTACTATTATTAGGTACTAAGACTAAAAGTAGACATCTTAAACCTAAAATTTAAAATATATATACGGGGCATCGAGGAGATAGTACTACTAGAATTAGACTTTTTTAAAACTCTACTAGTATATTTAAGAGACTCTAATAAGGATAATATCTAGGTTATATATACTCTAATTCTAGAGTAAAAAAATAAGAAACCTAAGTTATATATTAGTTCTTATAAGTCTTACTAGTAGTAGCGATAGAGTTTTTAGAAGAATATAAAACCATAAGCACAAGAACTTCCTTCCTACGCTAGTAGAGGTAGCTTCGTCTAAGGGTTTTATCTAAGGGTTATATAATCAAGTCTAAGGGTTATTTATATTGGGCCCGAATTCCTTAGGAAAGCTCTCGTTACTACCTACCTACGCTATTTCTTTTTCTAGAGGCTTTTCCTTGTTCTAGAGGCTTTTCCTTGTTCTGGAGCCTATTTTTTCCATCGCCTCCTAGTCTATAGAGTCCAAGTCTAAAGACTATGGAATGCCTAAACATCTCTGTAACTTCGAAATCCGGACCGCTGGAATCGGCCGCTTGTGCTCTCATATGCCTATTATTAAGTGTGTCCGCGATCAGTATATCGGTTTGACTGGAGACGAAATCCTCGTAAAGAAAGCCGAGCAAGCTGAGCGAGAGAGCGATACAAAGAAGGCTCGATACTATAGGGCAAAAGAACGAGACTAGGATGCCTGGAAAGCCACGTGAAAGCCACTCGTCGGGTGTACGAAGCTAAGCGAGAGAGCGATATAAAGAAGGCTCGCTATTATGGCGCCAAGGAGCGAGACTGGGAAGCTTGGAAAGCCACTCGTCGTATGTACGAAGCCAAGCGAGATTTAGTTGAGAAGCGGGCTTCATGCAAGGCTTCAAAGGCAAAGGCAAAGCGTGAAAAGAGGTTCTTTTGCGAAACATGCCAATTGCCTTTTGAATCTTCCACACTTCTAAACGCACACAACCAGACTATACGAAATAACGAAAAGATTAATGGCATAGCTCATAGATTTGCTAAGAACCCTGACTACGCTGTATGGGCTGAAGCGAATCTACAAGCCAAGAAGTACTTTTGTCAATATTGTGACTATAATGCCTCAACCTCATCGAAGTTGCAAATGCATTTCACGTCCAAGAGACACGAGAAGGCGGTTACCGATTCAGGCAAGAAAACTTTGGCTCAGAGCACTTTGGATTCAATGATTCCGGTATCCAAAGCCAATCCGGTATCGAAACCGCTAAACCTGGTGGCCAAACCGGAGATCAAAACCGCAACCGCCAGTCTTCCGACCAAGACCGGTCAATCCAATCCGGTCAAGAGTAACAAGCGCACCTCTCAGCTTCCAGATCCGAGGACCAAGAAACAACAAAAGTTAGACCTCTCATCGTCTAGCCGAGACAAGCTCGAACTATCTAGGTAAATAAAGTTAATTATACGAAATATCTAGATAAATTTAATTCATTATATAAAACATCTAGGTAAATAGAAACTCTAAAAATACTATTGGTTTAGAGGATTCAAAAAATTAGCGTAAACGGACAAGTAATACTCCTAACCGAGTCTTTCACTCACACACGAGTTCACAATAACCACATGTATACAAAACGGTGTTTTAGTTTTTGAAGACAAAAATTTTCATAGGAAGTAAGAAGTCTTAAATCATAGGCAATTGCAGCCAAAGCCATTGTCACTCCTCCCCAACTCCACCAAGCTAATCGCTCCAGATTCTTGACTCAGTGGTCGTCATCATTCTACCCTTCATCAAATCCCCAAAAACCATGGGACAACCTATAGTAATTTCCCTTTCAAAGCCAGTGCGCCAAAGCTTCCTCAAAAAGACAAAATCTTTCACTTCTCAATCTTACAGATGAGGTCTGCGCCTCCGACGGAATCTCCCTCCTTGACTTGAAGTTGTCCGACCTTACCAGCGTGTGGTGCTGAGATGACCATTTCCTAAGAGTGTTTGTTAGATACGTTATAATTCAAGGAGTCCGAAAACTTACCATTTTCATGGCACTGAGTACCGCAATTGGGTCACCCTTCTTAACGTCATGGCCATCGTGAACACGGATCTCGACCACAACACCAGACATGGGTGCACCGACGTGGCTTGAATCGTTTGGATCAGCCTTTGGACGGCTGGTGTTCTCAACGGCGGCCTTGTTGTCATCAACAGTAACTTGTCGAACCTCACCTGGATGATATTAGCAACAATTTTTATTATCAAATGTAATGTCAAACTTACCATTGACTTCGTAGAACACTTCACGTTGACCAGTAGTATCCGACAAAGGTCCAACTGCGAGAAGCTTCAAGATCAAAGTCTTTCCCTTCTCTAGGTCGACGTGGAATTCCTCTCCGATCTCAGGCTTAGACAAGAAGTATTTGGTTGGCAAAACACTCAGATCACCATACTTTTGGCAGAACTTCTTGTAATCCTCAAAGACCTTGGGGTACATGGCATAACTGGAAACATCACATTCGGTGACACTGCCCCACTTGGTGTGAATTTCCTTCTTGATCTTTGCAAGATCAAGTGGCTCCAATGACAACCCGGGTCTCTTGTCAAGCTTTCTTCGGTTTCGGAGAGCATTTGTGCGGAGTGGCTCAGGGAATCCTCCGTACGGTTGACCCATCAGACCCTCAAAGAATTCAAGGACTGAGCCAGGGAAATCAAGTTCAGAGGCCTTGGCCTGGACATCATCGTAGCTGAGTTTGTTGGAAACCATGAATTGAGCCAAATCACCGACAACCTTGGAGGTAGGAGTGACTTTGACGATATCGCCGAGCAAGTCGTTTGCTGCCTCGTAGGCCTTCTTAGTCTCAGCCCATTGAGCACCAAGGCCAAGCTGAGATGCTTGGAACATCATGTTGGTCAATTGACCACCTGGAATCTCGTGCTCGTAGACTTCTGGATCAGGACCAGTAAGACCAGCCTCGAATGGCGAGTAAAGGAGACGAAGCTGAGCCCAGTATGTATCGATAGCTCGAACGTGGTGAACATTCAACCCTGGGTCGAGGCCGGAACCTTCCAAAGAGGCAAGAACGGCTCCGACACTTGGTTGAGAGGTCATACCAGACAAACTGTCGGTGGCAGTATCAACGGCATCAGCACCTGCCATGGCACAAGCAACCATGGAAGCAACACCAGTACCAGCGGAGTCGTGGGTATGGACGTGGATGGGGAGATCTGGGTACTTCTCGCGGATAGCACCGATCAAGAGAGTGGCAGCCTTTGGCTTGAGAACACCTGCCATATCCTTGACACCCAAGACGTGAATCTTAAGAGCAACAAGCTTCTCCACCAATGAAAGGTAGTACTCCAAGTTGTACTTCTTCTTTGGGTTGAGCATGTCACCGGAATAACAAACGGTGCCCTCAACAACACCTCCAGCCTGGTGGACAGCCTTGATACCGACCTCGAGTTGATCAATATCGTTCAAAGCATCAAAGACTCTGAAAACGTCAACACCATGCTTCTTAGCCTGCTCACAGAAGTGGAAGATGGCATTGTCAGGTAGCGAAGAGTATGCAACACCGTTGGCACCACGGAGCAGCATTTGGAATGGAATATTTGGAACAAGCTTGCGCATCTTTCGGAGTCTGTCCCATGGGTCCTCGTACAAGAATCTCATGGCTACATCGAAAGTAGCACCTCCCCAGCATTCGAGACTGTACAAGTTGCTGTAAGCGTGACTGGTCTCCTTGGCAATGTTCAAAAGATCAACAGTTCGAACACGGGTTGCGAGCAAAGACTGATGAGCATCGCGCCATGTGGTATCCATGAGAAGACAACCTTTGTTGGCCCGAATGGCCTTTGCATACGCCTCTGGACCCTTTTCAACGAGGATATTTCTCCATCCCTTTTGGCAAGGCTCAGATGTGTCAATCTTCTTTCCGGCATCATCGTAAAGTGATGGCATGATGATATCGCCCTTGAATTTTGGCTCGCCCACTTGACCAGCGATGCTACTGCCATTGACGGCGAGATCACCAAGGTATGCCAAAAGTTTTTGAGCACGATTTTGACTGCCGACAAGGTCAAAGAGTTCTGGAGTATCGTCGATAAAGGTGGTCCAGCACTCGCTTGCAATAAAGGTGGGGTGGGTGAGTAGGGTTGCCAAGAAAGGAATGTTGGTCTTGACTCCACGAATACGGAATTCAACCAACGCTCTCAACATCTTTCGTCGTGCAATTTCGTAGGTAGATCCCAAACAGGTACACTTCACCAACATTGAGTCATAGTGCGCTGATTAGATAATTTGAGTTAGTATATGAACTATGGAACAAGTGAGAAGCGAGTGGGGTTGGTGGAGAAGTACTTACGAGTGATGATAGCGCCTGCAAACCCGTTACCACCATCCAAACGAACACCATTACCACCAGCTGATCGATAAACTTCAATCTTGCCAGTATCAGGAGAGAATCCCTGGGAAGGATCTTCTGTGGTGATACGGCATTGGATAGCAAAACCTTTGGTGGAGATGCGATCTTGAGTGAGGCCTAACTGAGCCAAAGTGGCACCGGCGGCAATCTGAATTTGTGCGGCGATAATATCAATACCAGTGATTTCCTCAGTAATAGTGTGCTCGACCTGAATACGAGGGTTGATCTCGATAAAGTAGTATCGGTTTTGTTGATCAACCAAGAACTCGGCAGTACCGGCATTTCGGTAGTTAACCGACTTTGCAAGCTTGACGGCATCGGCAAGAAGGTTATCTCTGACATTGAGAGGAAGATCTTTTGCCGGGGCCAATTCAACGACCTTTTGATGTCTACGTTGGACAGAGCAATCACGCTCGAAAAGATGAACCATGTTTCCCTGGCTATCTCCGAGAAGTTGCACCTCAATGTGCTTGGGTTTGTCGAGGAATCTCTCCACGAAAACGGTTCCATTTCCAAATGCCGATTTGGCTTCAGAAGTGGCTCGGTTGAAGGAGTCTTCAAGGTCCTTTTGTTCTCGAACAACTCTCATACCACGTCCACCACCTCCATATGCAGCCTTAATGATGATTGGGAAACCATACTGGTCGGTAAATGCCTTCACATCCTCGAATTTATCAACGGCATCTGGGGTACCCGGAACCACAGGTACACCCGCCTTGATGGCCAATTTTCGGGCGGAGACTTTGTCACCTAGTGCATCGATGACATCGGGGGAAGGTCCAACGAACTGTCACATCAACTAGTTAGCGGGCGAACTACTCGGGAAGCGAAAGTACGAAGCGAGATTTAGGGGTAGAAGAACGTACAATGAGGCCAGCCTTCTCAACGTTTCGCGCAAACTCAGCATTCTCGGAAAGGAAACCATATCCTGCGTATGAAAATTAGAAAGATTTCCGGTTCCCGCAGTGATTCAATCATACCAGGGTGGATCATCTGTACTCCATGCTGAACTGCAATCTTGATAATCTCATCTCCAGCCAAATATGCGCCGACTGGTGTGTATTGACCTCGCTTTCCGATAACATAGGCTTCGTCAGCTTCTAAAAAGTGGAAACCTGATTAGCAGACCGCTCTCTGTCTCTGACTCTGCTACCCCGCGGGCAGTACCCACTTTGTCTGTGCATGCTAAGACGGTCCTCATAACTACCAGCTGTCAGCATCCCCGCACGACAACAAACCCAAAGCTGGGATTCGAGTTTACCTAAAGACTGCGACAGTTTGAAGGGACAATTCGTGTGCCTATAGAAAGTCAGTAACTTTCCGCACGGATGGGTCCGGGGAAGGGCTCGCTCACTGTTCGGAAAATCTATACCACACCGAACGTTAGCAAGTTCAATTACCCCGCGTTAACCGCCCATTAACAAGACATACCCGGATAGCTACACTGTTGTTAGCCAGCGAACAATTCAGAAGTGAGGGAAGGGATACTTACGGATTTCTCCTCGGTTGGCCACTATCGTTATCAAACCGTGTTAGCAATCTTGTCTTCCATTTCCCCGAGGAGAGCAAATCCGGAGGTTGTGTTGGAGAACTCACCCAGCAGCTTCTTCAATTGCATGATACTGGAGTTGGCACGGATCCGATGGATGGTTTGAGGGTGTTTGACATCGGTGTCTTCAAAGACCTCGCTGTATGCGCCATTAGGGCCATGGTGTTGGTGGTCCTCGTCAGCCATAGTGGGAGGTGTATGTGTTATGCGAAAGGATGGTAAGTAGGGAAAAGGTGAGGGAAAAGGGGAGCGAAGCTCGAGGAGGGATGAGGGGGATTGGAGTTGGTTGGAGTTTGCAGAAAGCTGCTAGAGCGTATAAATGTGGACAACGAGAGCAACCGTGGCCTGCGGGAGCGATGGGTGAATTCCGAGCTTCACGAGCTACTTGAGGGGGTGCACTGCAACGATTCGCAGTCAATGATTGAGTGGTGATTCGATGTAAGAATGGAAGTAGGCAGAATAAGAAATTTTGGAGGGGGACCGAGGGGTTTTGATAGCAACAGAGGCCGAGAGAGTTCAGATGGTTCCAATTATGCTGGCGTGTCTTACCCTTCGGCTTTCTATGACATCGGCTTTTCGCTCAAGCTCAAGCTCAGGGCAGAGCTCAGAGCTCTGGTGCAGCGCTGCGGATGAAAGGCTGTTGGTCGCACCCATGTCACTCTCTCACTTCATGCCCCCTCACCCCCTCACCCCCTCACCCCCTCACCCCCTCACTCGCTGCTGCCTTTGTTGTCCCTCTGATCTGCAACTCTGCCTCAATCTGCCTCAGTCTGCCACCTTTGGACCTCCAGCATGGTGGGGGGGTGTATGGTGTGTCTGGGGGTGCTTGCCTTAGGACTTGGCTCGCACTTCACCCACCAACCTACGCAGTACTTCGAAGTCACCCAGCCCAGCGCCCCTCGGTGCAAGTCCCCTGCAAAAGAAAGACAAAGATGGTTGAATTGAGGTCTCGAAGCCAATCACCATGCCACGATATGGTGCTCGGACTTACGAGTGATAGTGCCCAGGCCTGCCCAGGCTCGCGTACGGGTAGTTTCGTCACTTGGCGGCACATAGCTTGCTAGCGTCGATGCAACTCAAATGCAGTAGAATGCAAGCCGATCTCAAAGATTCAGGCTCGGCAAACCACTTGTGAAAGATGCCCAGAAGTTTCAGGCCCAAAAGAACCACCATACTTACGGGCCTCGAGGTCTTGGAGGCTATGAATATAGCAGGTTGCACCCAAAGTAATGCCGAATAGCAGCAGTACACAGTTGGCCCTGATTGTGCTGTGCCATGGTGTTCTGCCTGTGACGCCTCGGCAGTCTGGGCATTGGAATTGGCATCCCAAAAGAAAAGCACCGGAACGCCGCACATACTAAAGTACTGTACCAGGTAAGCGTGAGCAACGCAACAACGGCAACGGGTGCGGCTTCGAATATTTCCTACCTTGTAACCTTGGTCAGATCTTGAGGGTCAGGGAATTGATCTTGGTACCGAGCAATCACGTCTATTATTGTCGAAGACTCGAGGTGACATCTCAACGTTCCCCGACGACACCATATCAACGCCCAGCTTCTTGGAAATCCGCTGCATTCCAATTTCTGCCCTGCACTGCACTGCACTATGCAAAATTGAACCACATCATGTACACATGTCATTTCTGCTTTTTTTGGCCTTCCTTTTCTGCCATCATCCCGTTTTTCTTCAGCAAACAATCTCTGTCTGTCAAAAAAGCCTCACTTTTTTTGGTTCAGAACTCGGCAACAGAAATCAAGCATTTTCCGGAAGCTCATGGGCAAGGGGTGAGAGGGGTAGCTGTCCAAAGAGCTACCCCTGTTCAACCTCTATTCCACCCAGATACCCTGCCGAGGTTTGCCTTACGCATCGGTGGCATTGGTGGCATCGGTGGCATCGGCGGCATTCAAAAACTCACCTCCACCAAACTCTTGATCCTGAGTCTTGGGCTTGTCTTGGAAGATAGGGCAGAAGTAAACCCCGTATCTCCAAAGGCAAAAGAAGCTCCTCCCAGAAGGAAGTATCTACGGGAAAATGACTCGTCATACTATGGTCTACCCCACAACCTCATGGCTGTCGACGTGTGTGTTACACTTATAGACTTGGAGGGGGGGAAAGGCGACGAATCATCATGCAAAAAAGTCGGTGAAGCTATGGATTTGTGTTGGACGAGGATGACCTGTCCGACTCCAATCAGACACATAAAAACCTGAGAAACTTTGGGCATTGTCAGAATGGTACAAGCAAATTTGGGGTCTTATTGTCTTAAGTTTTTATCGCTAGCTCTCAGCCTGAATCATTCTTCAATAGCTACGAGAATCATTCAGCGGGAGCGGAGTGCTACATTAAAGAGAAGATAGTTCTTCAGCACAGACTTAGTATCTAGTTTTACTACAGATAAGTTCCGAAAGTTCAACTACCCCGGATTTTATATACAGCCTTATTTACGTACACGTTTCATTTCTTTCCACTTCGGGTAGTTTTTCTGCTGCCCTCTTTTATACTACTTTTACCTTTCTTACTACTCTTATTACTACTACCTTTCTTGCCTTTCGGAGCAGGTTCAATATGAAGAGGGCATAATTTCACTCCATCGGACGTTGTCCAGATTTTATTTCGACAAGGCCTTCCAGTTGCAGTTTCCCCTTCACAAGGATAAGAATCATATTCCTCTTCCTCCTCCTCTTCATCCTCTTCATCCTCAGAATCCTCAGAATCATAGTTAACTACCCTTTTCGTTTTCTTCCTCTTCCTCTCATCATCTGTAAATTCAGCGTCTGATTCTTCCAAGGAATCAAGAATTTCAACATCATCTACTTCTACCTCCTCATAGTCCGGATCATAATCTGTCAATGATGATGATAATTCGTCATCCGAGAGAGGCTTTCTCTTTGTTGGAGGTTTTTTTGGGGTAGGTGCTGGTTTTTTTGCTGGAATAACATCTCCCTCGGCTATTGTGTCAAGGGCGAGTTTTTTCGGTAGGCGGAGGGTTGTCTTCTTCTTCTTGATTGGAGATTTCTTTGGAGCTTCTGGAAAAATATCTGCTAGTACGGGGTTATCTGGTCTATCATTATCGTCGTCGTCGTCATCGCCATCCAATTCCCCAAAATCACCACCACCTCCCCCTTTCCCACTGCCACCACCATACCCCCCTCCATCTCTTCTACTTCCAGCACCAGTTCCCCCAGGTCCATCCGACCTTGCATCCGGATTATCAGGCAAAAGCAAAGCCGCAAGATTAACAAAATACTTATCAAAGTTCTTCTGATACTCGCTAATCACCTCCGCCTTCTTCCGTCTATACTCAGGCAACTGGCTCTGCACCACCCCATCATCCCGAATCGGCGGCGTATCAACCACCCAAACAATCTCCCTAACCCACCGCGCATCAACATCATTATCCCACTCCAAAATCTTCTCCCACTCCAAAATCTTCTCCCTCACCCCCCGCAATCGCCGCCCGCCACGGAAACGTATCATAACAGCCCGTTCCCACAACCGGCAACACCAACCTCCAACACACATCCTCATCCAAACTAACATTATCCAACGCCACTTTATACAGCAGCGGCATATTCATCAACACCGCCTCCACGGGATCCCGTCGCGCCTTACCCGTCGTATATCGATCGATATGATCAATACTACTCAGGTTCGCGATGAAATTGACCGTCTCCCTCATCCGGTAGCTCGCCGTCGTATGCAGGAACGAAACATGATTTCGTGTCGGAGCCGCGAGGAGGAGCTCGGCGTATAGCTCTTGCCCTGTGGCGGCGCGCACCCGTGGGTCGCATTCGAAGTTGGGGAGCCGGATGGGGGTCATGAGGGTGTGGCATTCGTAGCGGGTTATGTCGGCGCGGATGAGGGAGAGTTGGACGGAACGGAAGATGGTTTGTGCGAGGGTTTGAGGAGCCCGTCGGAGCGGTCTTGGGAGTTTGTCATTTTGTTTTTCCGGGCTGGCAACTTTGAGGGGATGGGATGGGGGTAAGGGATGAGGTTTTGTGAGGGGAGGTTCAGGGGGTTTTGTTGGAGCTGTGAGGGATGAAGATGAAGGAGACACTCCCGGTGATGTGTCTGGGTCTTGATAGCAAAGTGGTTGGTTCAAGTATTGGGTTCGAGGCTTCAAATGGAGTATTCCAGTCAAGTAGACAACTTGGTATGTCTGTCTATCTGTGTCTCCCTCTAAACTAGTAAACAAAGAAAGCAAATGGTGTTGACGCATTTGACAACCCTCTCTTCTTTGTCTCTCAACGCCATGTCATAAGTTCCAGACAACAAACCTAGTTTGATGGACAAAGGAGTATTTGCCTATTCAGAGTATCAATGATAGACGTGGAAGGTTTTGTGAGAAGTCTTGTTCTAGTAACTTAAGTTTCTTTCCTGTCTTAGCCACTTCTATAAGTTAGAGCCGTTATCCTACAGTACTACTCAGGTCCAATAAAACGTATGGTATTCATTTCTTCGCACGATACCAATATCTTATTATCGTAAATGAAAGAATCGTTAAATCCTAGATTGGCAATTTGGCGTTCTTGAGAGATGGTTTTAGGTGGTGGTTGTTGTGCGGTGGGATGTTACGTTATGGATGTGTATGTGTACTGTATGCTAATACTTGACGAATACAGTAGATATTCTGCATGCAGTTTTGGAAAATAATAGAGGTAGGCGGGGCGGGGCGTAATGGGTATTTTTGGGTTACGGTAGCAACGTTACTCGTACGTTGTTTTTTGTTAGGCGTGTGTAAGTATATATAACACTTAAAAGATAATACTTCCAAAATCTTTGTAAGATTACTGGTTAATCAGCAGGGAGCTCAAGTTGACGCTGGAACGGGGTGAGAGTGAAGAGGTACAGTATTATCTGGGAATAACTTCTTCTTCTTTCTTTGTAGTTAGAGAGCACCTAAGTAGCGTGGTGTTATGTTTTAGCTGCCTTTTTTAGGACTTCTTTGGCGCAGGTCGGTCTTCTCTATATGATAACTGTAATTCATTTACTTTAGCACTTTTTGAAAGAAACTTGTTTGTTAGTTATTACTCTGGACGCACCTGAAGAACTATTGTACTAGAAGTTACTCAAGCTATAATGGGTTCAATTGTCCTGAATCGCTGGTTTAACTATTTTATTGTAGTTGTGCGAGACTTTGGGATGATGTTGCGATAACTTAGGTGTATTTGAAGTAATTACGGCCTCCCTTGTAATTTTAGGAAATCGTGAGTGTTTTGATAGATTTATGCTAAATATAGTGGTTTAGCGAGTCTTTTGGCAAAAGGAATGGGTCTTCTACTGAGTTCTATTATCCTAGAGTAGATCTTGCTCGAAATGTTTTAATCAAGCTACGTACGTCAGGGCATAAATGCTGTCTGGTCTAATAATTACTTTACTTCTCTACCTTAATCAATACTCGTTTTTGCCATGTTATTACTCTAGGCTGCTACTGATATCTAAACCTGGCAATAAACTATGAGCGAGCATCTAAATTAAGGATTCCTTAAAAACATCAGGATCGAAAACGCGGTGAGGATAAGGTCTGAGCTTCTGAGTTCTCCGGTGACTCATGGCCGTGTTAGGTCCAACATGTATTTCATACTATATTATGAAGGCTACATTATACGTAAATGATGAAATTTAAAGCCACAAAAACCAACAAGTATACCTAGTCATCGCCGTGGGCTGCCGAGGAGGCTTCCTGAGTACCTTCTTATTGGTTAGCGGGACTGTGGAACCGCATATTTTGACATCAAACTACAACACCAATTTCTTTCACCGTACGACTCACACCGGAATCAAGTCCAATTCAATCCATCCTATTTCGTTCGTTTCTGGGTATAAAATGCGCGGTTCCCTTCCAGTTCGCCCAGCAGAGGCACTTCTGATCTCCACCATATCTCAACTCCATTTCCTCAAGACCAATCCATCTCAGAAAAACAATGGCAACTGAAAACCAACCAGTCACTGCCGACTCCGCTACCAATCTGCTTTCTCAAACTCTCACTTCTGTCACCAACATCAAACTTTCTGAATTGACAAAACAACGCAGTGATTTTGAGACGAAAAAAGATGAGTTATCACGAGCTGTCCAGAGTGAATTCGATCAACTACGCAAGTTACAATTACTGGTTGATTCTCGCATCTGTGAGAGTAAACTGAAGATAGAAGTGAGGCGCTTCTTGGAATTAGCAAAGGTCGATCCTAGTGTTTCAACAGAGGTGATGAAGAGTTGGCAGGGAGCTTTCGAGAAGGAGCTTCGGATCAGATCTGAGAAGTTGAAGTATGCAGGTCTGTATGGAGAATTGGTGAATGAATGGTTAGAGGGTGGGTTGACGAACACTTCAACTCCAAGAAAATTCGATACGATGAAGGATGCCGAGCGGGAAGAAATACGAAAGCAACGTCAGACTTGGGAGGCGTACGCCTTTCAACCACGAGATACAGACACAGCTGCCATTCAGAAATTTCTTGAGGAGCTGCTTAATACGGGACCGATCATTCAAACAGCATACAAGGAAGTTGTGAAGTCTACCCGTGACTTTGAAACTTTTCTCAAGACCGAAGAACTGGATGATTGCTCGATGACATGGATTATCGAGGGGATGCTGAGGACTGATTCAAACTCCTTTGCGCCCGAGAAACGAGAGATACTCACGACTTTCTTGCGTAACGATGCCGCTCTGGTGGAGCTCGCTGATGTTTTGAACATGAGACTGGCCTCGCTGGAAACACACGAGTGGCATTCAGAACCCATTCAAGTTGAGCAGCGTCGTCAATTGAGTGGAAAGTATCGCTTCTTTCAAGATGAGGTAAGTTAATATTTCGCAGCCATTTTTTGATTGTTTTAACTTTTGAGAACTACTTAAAGTCACTGCTAACATCTGTCTAGGATCTCCTACAGTCCATCCTTATATACTACATTGGAGTAGAGTGGTCTATTCACTTCAAAAGTACGCTTCGAACCTTTCGCTCTACTCCTTGGGTATGGAAGCCATCTTCAAAACCCATGGAAAAAGTTGATTTCGAGCGCCGGTGTGACTTTCTGGGAGTTTCTTCACCCGATGGTCGCACCAACAAGAAATCAGTGGAAAGTGCCCGAGAAACTCACTTCCTCGATGATATCTTCCTCGAACAATTGCAAGCTTCAAAAGACCCTGAAATGGAATCTTACAACATGGAATCCGACACCAGACTTGATCAAAATCAATCCCAGAATACGGTACAGCACCTTCTACATATACTCGCCGCCGAAATCATCTTGAAACAGAAACAAGGGGGCGATATGTCTGTGATTCGGAGCGACTTCCGTTGGTTTGGTCCTTCATTACCACATTCCACGATATTTGCTGTTCTCTCCTTCTTCGGTGTATCAGAGCACTGGATTGGTATCTTCCGTCGTATCCTTGAAGCGCCTATCAAATTCGTAGAAGATGGACCAGATGGAAAAGTACAGGTCCGGAAACGCGGAGTTCCAATTCAAGGCCAACTCGGTACCATGTTTGGGGAGACGTGTTTGTTCTGTTTGGATTTCGCGTTCAACCAATTAACCGATGGAACTCGTCTCTATCGTCCGCATGATGATATTTGGTTCTGGGGGGATAAAAAGAGCTGTGTTGAGGGATGGAAAATAGTATCCGAGTTTACTGAGTTGATGGGTTTAGAAATTAACGAGGAGAAGACAGGTGGAGTTATGATTGGGGGTCAGAGTGAGGGATTACCAGAGGGTGATGTCAAATGGGGATTCCTCAAACTTGATTCTAGTACTGGAAGATTTTTGATTGATCGAGAGGGGGTTGATCAACACATCGTTCATCTTAGCGGTCAGCTTTCTGCTTGCGAGTCCGTGTTTGACTGGATTCAAGTTTGGAACGTCTACGGTGCTCGGTTCTTTTTCAACAACTTTGGGATACCTGCGAATTGTTTTGGGTAATTCATAGTTCATCCTTGGTCGCAAACCCTGGTAGCTAACAGTATAACCACAGGCAAGCTCACGTCGACGCCATGGTCGAGACTTTTGCCTACATTCAAAGAAAAGCATTCTCTTCAACAGGAGGAAGCGTCACATCCACTCTGAAATCGATGTTACGTCAGAAATTCAGCGTCGAAGACATCCCCGATGGCTATCTATATTTCCCAGTGGCAGATGGCGGCCTCGAACTACGAAATCCCATCGCCGATTTGCTCGCCATACGCAGACACATCACCGAAGATCCTTCAGAATTAGTACAAAAAGCTCTGGACGAAGAGCAATTCGCTTACAGCAAAGCAAAGTCCAAATACGAGAACGTGACGAGTTTGAGAACTCGCCGCGCCTTCGATTCAGCTCCGACGGTTGAGTTCATGTCCTTTGAAGAATTTACAAAATACCGTGAACAGACCTCTGATGCTCTCGGTGATGCTTATAAGGACTTGACAGCGGTTCATTCGGTGAAGAGTGTGGGAAGTGTGTTTGGCGAGTTTTATCATGTGAGAGAGATGTATCGTGACGAGATGACGAAGAGATTTGGAAGTTTGGAGATTGTACCCAAGGAGATGCTTGCTACTGGAATGGTCGATATGTTTAGGAATAGTCGACTTCAATGGAAGGAGTGAGTGATGGGGAAGTCGTTTGTGTATAATTGGCGGATATGTACGGCAACCTGAATATACCCTTAGACCAATAACAAGATAATGGTAAATCGCAAATCATAAAGAACATATATTTACTACTGCTAATATACCTGTATCCCCAATACCTCCATCTCACTTAACATTAGAGCGTTTAATTATTCACATGTGAATACGCCACCCTAATGTTTTTAGTTGTGCGAGTCGTTTATTCCCAGCCGAAAACACCACCTTCCTAAAGAGGCTAAGCTAGCACGCGTGTCGCGCCAACGATTTCTACTTGTCTGTCCTTGCTCTTCTACTTTCACTACTTTTTGTTTATAACACTACTTGATAACAGTGATAGGGACAGCGATAGTAAGAAGGAGGATAGGAGATAAAGTGGCCGGACAATCGGTTAATCCACCCCAAATGCGGAAGTTTTATAGCTGGGTATAATCCACTAGTTTTCAATAGATATATACAGTTTTTGCTGTTGCCAGGCGATTTCAAGCGTTCTATAAGAAATAATTGGCCAAATTCGGTAAAAATAATATAAAATAAGCAACGATATCTGCTTATAAACCCTACTTATATTCGTTCCGCGTTTGGGGTGGATTAACCGCTCTGTCCGGCCGCTTTATTTGCAAGGGGAAATTCGACAGTAAGAGGGATTTTTGACGTTTCGTATTTTTCATAACGATTTTCGGAAATCTACCAGGAGAAAGAGGGCGTTCCTAACCTGACACAGGGCTATTCCTCTGGGTCCTCTAGATTTCGAAGCCAGTTCAGACGGTAACGCCAATTCTTTCGCTTAACAGTTTGCGTTATTCCGAACTAGTGGGACAATCATCACAATGGTTCAGAATTATTCGAAAAAGCACGAACAATAGCGAAACGCCGAAAAATCGCAATCATAACGAGTCTACATGTGGTGCTCAGCAAAGGTAAGGCGTTGCGGGATGTTTTGGCTACCATTCGCAACGCATATAGATTTTGTATATCGGTTTTTGGTTGGTCGATATGATCAGATATTACTTTGTGTACGGTATTACAGCGGTGAATTAGCAAAAAGTAGTGATTGGTGGCTGCTGACTATGCACTTTGGACCGTGCCGTGTTGCCTTAACGTAATAGACATCGTCGCTTACTTGGGGTCGCAGCACCATCTTGTCGTATTTCACCCCGGTCTTCTCCAGTCATAAACAAGACTCGAACTGTGAGAATACGAGCTTGTGAGACTTATGGCAGATGTTTCTGGCAATATGTAGTTAAGATAACTCCTTTCGGCTGTGCTCGATGTTGCTCAAGGGGGGCCGAATCTGGGGAAATACGAATGTGCGAAACTCCATGTAAGCTTAGCGATTAATACAGTATAGAATCCATCAAATATAAAAGCAAGCTCGATTCCAGAGACTTCATATCACAACGAACAACTTGATCTTCGCTTTACTAAAATTCCAATACCACATCGAATCACTTCTTGATCCCAACTCTTTGCAAAAATGGCAGCTCTCACGAAATCAATGCTTTCCTTCCTGTTCCTCACGGCTGCTTCAAATGATTCACCCCTCACACCCCGTGCTGATACGGTCTTCAGCCTCACAGACCTCGTATTCAACACCACCAACACTTACAGCTCACCGCCACACGTCTCCATTTGGTCTAGGAGCGTCTCATTCACATTGACCAATACCGCCATCTCCCGCTCTAACAAATGCCATGGTAAGTCTAATACTCAGCACCCATTAGCATCTCCACAAAACACATGCTAATTTGCCTTGTCTGAATAGTCGTCAGCAACAATAACCCGGCAGATATTTTCTTCGACGGGAATCAGGCATTTATTTGTGATGGAGGCGTTCCGAGCTTCAGATTCAAGGCCGTCTATATCAATGATGGTGTCTTTACTGTGCAAGATGATACGTAAGTTATCTTCTTATTTTGGGGGGGGAAGTGTTTGTTGCTAGGGTGGGAATATGTGTTGACTTTTGGTATATACAGAGGAGTCTCTGGAACAGGAACGCCGGATTTTACCTGTGTGTACATGGATGTTATTAATCCTGATTGGCCAACCACTTCGCCTTACAAGGTCTCCAGTAGTTCTTGTACTCAGACTGAGTTGTTGATCGCTGCTGCTTAGGGGTGGGTAGGGGTAGCTTGGAGAGGTAAGTGTAATGTGAGGGAGAGAGGGTTCTATGTTCTATACAGGCTGAAAGTAGAGGAGTCTATTTTTTTCCCCCCATTAACTTAGAGCAAATTGGCCAGAGAAATGATTTATTGTACTTGATAACGGAACGAAAGCCAATTTGCAAACACCGTCATATGTTTTGACCTTGTTGATGCTCGTCTAATTCCTGAACCGCTTTTGAACATGTAATGGAGACCTCCCACAACCAAGATATCAATCCGAGATAAGAAGAAAAGGACAGCAGAGCCATGGATTATTATAGAAATCTTTCACAAATCTAGCGTTTGCTCCACAATAAAAGGTCCTCCAGGTGAATGGAGCAAGCTCCAACATCCACAAAGACTCCAAGAAGAGACGCCATGATAACGTGCTAAATACAAACGAACAAAATATATGATCCTCCAACTGAGCAGTGATCTACCAATGATACCACATGACCCTCTACAAAAATCCAATGACGGCAAGCAAGGTGCCGCCCACAACACCAATAACGGGGACGTTATAGTCGCTTCTAGCAGCGTTTCTGAGAGGTGGTATCGAACGGTAACTGGCCAAATACTGAGGTATGAACGGCGGAGGCTTTGGACATCAGGTTATTCCACTGGTCATCAAATTGATCAGGTTCTCGCGGCCTCACAGCTGGGGGAGGAGTTTGTTCGGCGCAGCATTTCGTTGTACATTTGCGTGAGGTGTTTTTTCAGGTGCAGCATTTCGTTGTATATTTGCGGGAGGGCTGGAAGCAATGACGGAGCCAGCAAGGGCCACAAGGAGGACAGGAGAGAATTTCATGACGGTAATCTCAGGAAGAGGAATTGGTTTCGAGAACTTTGGGAGATTGAGAGAAGGAAAAGGTCGAAAACGAGCTCAACGTGACCGCAGATTAGAGTATGAGATGAATAACAAGCAAAACAGGTAGTCATGGAAAGAAGCTTGCTTTATAAGACAAGACCATAATCGGCCGCGTGTTGCTTGCGTGTCTTATTAGAAAGCTTTATTTTAAGCGACCCTTCTAGCCACATTGAAACCATTTAGGTCTGACTGAATCGTATTTAAACCTTCCATTTTGGAAGGTATTGCTTCGGACGACCACGCAAGCTTGGGTACTCTCCTCAATGACAGGCAGTTTCAGACACAACAGTTTGTATTGTAAGATTATGTCAATGCAGGGGAAAATCTTGCAGAGGCAGCTGAACACCGATGCGAGTTCAATTCTGAAGTCGGATACGAATCATTCGGATAGGTCAAATAAACTTAGATCTTCGGATATCACAAGGCACTCTATATATAAAAAACGTCTTTTCATCCGTCCTTGCCGGAGATTCCTGCGAATACCACTTCCACGATACTGTACTGCCCTAAGTTACTGCTTCGGAATAATCATGTGAACTGCTGTTGAGTGCATTAATGTATAAGAAAGGGCAGCATCCTTGCAAACGGCAATCATGCTGAGAATCCCTGGTCGAGATCTACGCTGGCGTTTCCTCGGCCATATTAGGATGAAGTTCGACTTCGTCTGATTATCTTGATAGGTGGAGAAAGCGAGTACCAACAGAAATTCTAAAAGGAATACGTCAGTTAGTTCTTTGAGTGAGTCGGTGTAGAACCTTCAGGTAGAAGATACTTGTGTTCTTTCACAGACAACGACTCGGAAAGGACCGAGATGAATCTGTTGAGGTTTAATTGAGCCTGAAGATTCGTCAACCTCAGCTCAGCTGGTACACCATTTCCCTCCAGCGGTGATCTCTAGGATGCCTTGGCTCTTGTATCGGGGTCGTAGTATCATTTTGTCACCCTATACAGGGCTTGTGATCGGCAGAGTTTTAGAAGAGGGAATCCTGAACAAATTGGCCCTCGGAATTGTTAGAGGGGTTATGCTGGCAAGAGACCTGAAGTTCGCATCGATTCCTGATGTCAACTGAGGCACAGCCGAAGGGATGCCGATCACGTGACATGTTATCATCGTTACTTTGATTTTGCGAGCAGGCCTTCGTCCACAGTGAAAGCCAGGCAAGGTTCTCCTCAAAATATACTTGGTGGCGTTATGTAGACATAGAGCGTGGTATTCCCCCATACTATTCTTTTCACGTGATGCTTCCTCGCGGAAAACAGGGAGGGTCATCTTGCTATTCGGCTGTTCGACGATATTGGTATTTGTCTATCTCTCTCTATCATTCTCATTTGTATCACATATCGGTTGTTAACTTTCGAAATCTCATCATTGCCTTTGACCTTCTACAAACACAGAGTTGGACCGTTAGGCTGTACATATATGCGATAGAACTACGCCGCCAAGAAGAAGCGTGGTGATGTTGAGTCCATCTCTTCTGAAGTCTTACTTAAACAACACTTGCCCAATTCTAAGATTGAACGGTCATCTCTTCGCAGTCTCCAGTCACCCTTACAATAGGATTTCTCCCCTTGCTGTTGAGGATTAGTTCTAACCACACGTATAAATGAACAGTTCTTCACCACAAATGCTGGAGACCCTTCTACGTTCGTATCTCACCAAGTACGACCAAAGTGGTCACGGAAAGGGAGTAAATGATCGTACCGGCCCGCCTTAAGGGCATAATATCGACCATAGCCTGTGTAATACTGTTCTTGATATCGAAAATTATTTCCAAAACCCCACACCGGCAACAGGTTTGGGCGACGAATTCGGTAATTCACTCGTCTGATATGGACGTCAACATCATTCCAATCAATGATATGTGATGTAAAACTTTGATTCTCTTGAATTGCTGCATTTGCTTGAGCTCGGATGTATCTTAGGGGGAGAGCCCTTCCATTTGGTATGCGGATTCGAAGAGGTGCTTGGAAGACGAACCCAGTATCTATATCCAGGAAGGTGAAAAGGCCTTGTACTGACATGTTTTCTCAGATTATAAGGGTCTTTGAATTATTATGTGGCTGTTGGGGATAAGGGATATTTGTGGAAGAGTAAGTCTGAATTGGGAGGATGAACATTGACTGGAAGGTGTTGGAGACTGCGTCCAAGTATTTATAGTGAGGAATTCTGATGAAACAAACTTACACATCTAATTCTGAAGGGATGGTGGGATCATATGACTAGGTTGTCAATAAAAAGCGTTTATTGGCTTTGGAGTTGTCCATGAAGCAAGATACCATAAAAGAAACGCGAACATTTATGGTGTGTTGGGTGATCAATGTATCAGTCATACCTACGGCTTTACAAACTGGTCCAATACCAGCAAATTTCGTCAATAACGGCATTCATTAGGAGGCTTCTGGTCAATACAGAAAGTCTTAATATCAATTGACAAACAGTCACAAGATTTTGTTAGTCACAATTGAGGCACACTCTATAGCAAGAGTTTTAGGATGGAAAGCATTTGTTTGAAACACAAACCCGTTCTGAAAAATAGCAAGTAATAGTAAATGATTCCTTTAAATGTATCCCCGAGTTTCAGTGCAAACCACTTAGCAAACCAATCTACCACTAATACTTTTGAGCTAATTGGGCTTTTCCTCATTATCGTGCAAACTCAAGTGTCTTCTCCTCAAGAAAACTCCCCTTTATGGTATGGTTAACATAGACCTGGGTACGATATTATCGATATGATATCGGGGGGGTCTCCGACAATTATTGTATCGTAGATACATTAACGACAATATATCGGATTCTTAGCGATAACCGATAATTTATTAATTATTACTATACGTAACATAGAAAAACTATAAATCCGGAACCGGACTAATTAGTATACTTTATTCTACCCCTTAATTCCTAGCTTGAACAATACTACTACTAACATTACTACTAAACGCTTTAAATTTAACTAAAAATACTAACACTTAGTTTTATACCTAGCCTCCCTCGTAGAAATACCTAGGGAGGTCGTAAATTATCCCTAAAAAGACCACGAGCTGATATAACAACTAACAAAGAGGGGAAGTCACGTGGTACTGTCTAAGACAGGGTATAATACCACTATATATTTAGTGTCCAGGCCTAAGAAGCTAAGTTAATATAGTTAATATAAATTATATAATTGTAATTTATTAACGTTCTTATTACTCTTTTATTTATAATAATCCTATTTAACTTAAAATATTACCAATAATTCAGCCCGGAAACCCCCCCCCCCAAAACACCTTAAAATATACTAAATTTAGGTATAATTATATCAATATTACTCGAATATTGTTACTTTTAATCCAATAATTATCGTATTATAGAATGATATATTGGCGATATATTGCAATATATCGCCAGGAATTTTTAGTAAATATTATATCGGTGCCCAGGTCTGGGTTAACAACACCCTCGGAATTAATGGCCATTCAGGCTCCAAAACACCACTGCCCACGAAATGAGACTGCGTGTAAAATGCTCGAGGGAGTACTCGGAATTCAGGGGCATCCTTCGCGAAAAGATTGCGAAATTATTGTGAGTAAAATTGAGTGTAGACATGCTATATCTCAATCACCAATCGTAGAATTGTTGGATTCTTTCTTGACTAGTAAAATGGTAAAAGCATTATATAATTCAAAAGTATAAATTGAAATTGCTTTCCAATTGCATTCAAATGATATTATCAACAACCCTTACTTTAGCCAAGTCCTTCAATAATCAATATATAAAAAGGTTGCATCATCCACACGTTGTTTGTTCACGTGACCTGGCATATAACCTTTGTACACTAGCTGGCTACCTTCTCATCTCTAAGCCATTAGACACCAAATTGAAGGACTAATTGTTTAACCTCTGATGACTTACTCTTTACGTGTACCAGGTGTACCGACAAAGGCTCTTATCTAACTTAATTTAATAACCTTTGTTGTAAATCAATATCACTGGCCAAATGTTTTGGGAATGTCCATTTGCTGTTGTTTCTCCCATATTATAATGTAGGAAGACTATAGACTTAATACAGAAAGAATTCTTTAAATGGATAAAGTGGGTGTTGCGAGAGGTGTTCCCCTTATTAACTGAAGTGGATTATATGGATCTTAGCCCTACTTATCTATTATCTCCATACCGATAATAAGCTATAAACTAATAGAATGGGAACAAAATTAAAAGTTTGGAGCGTAGTGCTATGCAATAACCAGAATATTTGTGATCTATGACTAGCTTGATGTAGATAGAATAAGGAAATAGAGCTGAGTTGAAGAGTGAAAACTACGAGGGCGGTTAGCTTGGAAAGGAAAAGAATGGAGAGAATTTGTTGGCGGCGCAAATAAAATATACCCAGTAGCAAAACCTGGAGAATAATTACACCTATCTCCTTCTTTACACCGATTCCTTGACTGATCAGTATGAAAAAATTAATTGTGACTACTATTAAGTTTCTTGTATTCAACTAATGCCCACACGGGTCGTCAATGTAAGACAAGCTGACTGTACAATATAAACCCCCACTCAGATTACGTGTGGCTTGACGATAAAAACAGTCCCGCCTCATGAGATCATAACAAAAGTCGTACACATATCAGTCATGGGATGTCGGAAAATCCAATGACTTGAACCAAAAAGAACTTATGACCTCCAAGCTCTAAACCGTGCTTACTTCTGTATTATAAATTCACTGAAAACGGGAAGAAAAGATATTCATGGTTCTTCCTAGGATCCATGCCTACTTAGGATTGGACCTCGGTAGTTTTGCAATACTTCAAGCTATAATATTGGCTCTAATGGTTAGTGCGTCTTCCTACTGCGCTTAGTCGCTTGTAGTCAGCGGAAGTAAGTGCAACGCGGAAGCAAGTGCAACGTTTGGCATATATATATCGCTCTTAACTATAATATAGCGCCCTATCTACCTTTCGAAAAGACATATAAATTTTATAGATTTACAGGTATAATTGGTTATTATCCTATACGAAAAGAGTACGTTTTTTCAATATAAATTGCGTACAATACGGACGAGTTTTCGTGTTCCTGTACTTAATTGATTTTGGTAGGGTGCGCACGTGTTATGACTTTTTGTGTGCGCACTCCTAGCCCGACATATGCCCGAGGACGTCCTCGAGTACTTTCCTTTCTTATCTATTATATTATAACACGCTATAGTCGTATCTAGCTTATACTTTAGTATATTATTAAGCTAATAAAATGCTTTCTCTTAAGCCTATATAGAAGCTTGTATATCTAAAAACAAATATAATATAATAACCCTAACCCCTTGCGTTACACTTGCTTCCGCGTTGCACTTACTTCCGCTGACTATAAGCGACTAAGCGTATAGGAAGACGCACTGACTTTTAATTGAAACAAGCTTTAGTTACTAAATTGGGCATCCTGGGTGTGGTCGATTCAAGTATGCTCGCAGCTTCCTCCTATATTCTACTCGTTTTCTAATAATTGCCAACAATTAAATTGATTAATCTAGGGTCTCAGGATTTTTATATTGCAGTAAAAATTCTTCTAAAATAATTATCCCAAATAGAAGATACACGGGAGGGTGATTACGGCTGCTGTTTCTGTTCACTGTTCACTGGAAGAGGGCTTTTCTTACTCAGCTTGCTTGCCGACTACCTGAACAACCTTAATCTATTTATTTAATGAAGCTTTCTCGGTTAATCGGCATGCGTAAGGTACCACCAGGTACCACTCTCGAGCTACTGTAACTAATCTCTCCAAGTCGCCATTCATCCGCACATTTTACGCCCATGCACCCTACTATCACCCACCCTTTAAACCTTCAAAATTAATTGCAAAAATATAATTTAAATCACAAAGTATTCTTTGATCTCAGTTTTATCAGGATATAACTTTTTAGTAATTCTGTAGAACTTTTCGTTAAGAAAGATAAGGCCTTGATCGAGTTTACAGCGGGACTAAAATGTGGGAATACTCCACTTTTAGCCTACTGTAAGCGGCTACTTCGGCAAGAGGTAAATCCTGGTGTAACAGCCCGCTCTTGAATCCACAGTCAATACCAGAGAATGAGTTAGAAGGGTTTAGGAGACCATATTGAAATACTTTGGCTAACTTTGTTCACATAAAATGTACTTCAATTAGCTCACTACCTCTTCTTGGCAATCTTCTATGTCTCAGATTCAACGAGCAGTATTTGTGCAGTGCCATTCTGCAATATGTATACCTCAAACGGAATACTGCAAGATCTTGTGCATGTCAGCAGCTTGTTTCTTGGTTCTCGTTACGGTTCCATATCTCATCCACACTCGTTACTTGAAAGATCACGTCACCCCCTTGCACTTGTCTTCATAATCATTATACAGTCAACAACATAGCGTGAGTGATTCTCATTACATGTCATTCTAATGTATGTACGCCCTTCGGATGCATACTTGCGCTTCCGGTAGTATTGTGAAAACAGGCCCTCTCATTGCAGGATTCGGTGACTTTTGAATGGGTCCGTACGTTCAATTTCGACCTGTCAAACGATCCCAGCCATGAGAGAAAATGGGACGGGATAGTGATTTGTGGAAGGATTAGTACGAATCTTTTGTGGCCCACCTTTTCCAACTATTGAAAAATATATAAGGATCTCATAGTTCCTCAATTGAGAATGATAAAACCATATCTCATCCTGCTCCACAAGCTTCAAGACCATTTCAAAAACCCCACAATGACGAAACTCCCAATCATGGCCAAGTCGTTAATTGTACTCGTTCTTATACCTGCAGTTCTCTCTTTACCAGCACCTCAGATTGGTGACTTTGGAGAAAATACAGGACCTGTAGGCGGGGTTGACCCTCCTACGCCAACAGTGACAGTAGAATCGGGATCTCTATATGGACCGTCATCCTTACTTGGAGAACTCGCTTCACCTTCCCAAGTGAGCGGCGGAGATTCGGCTATAGTACAGGACTTTCAGCTTGTCAATGGACAAGAAGCAGATGCTGATCTCGGTTTATATCTTGATTTTGACAGTATTGAGAAACCTCAACCGATTCGAGGCACATTTGGCCAAACCGACCCTGGTCCAAGTAAGTTGTCTTCTTAATAGCATTGTGTACTCAAAGCTCAGAACATTTTAGGAACATTCAACTACGACAGACTAAATCCCGATTCTTTTGCCCCTCCGGGGACAGATTCAGGTGATGTCCCTCAGGCAAAATGGCCTCTTGGTCTCAGTAGCAATCGTCTTGGGACGGGGAAGTTGTCTGGTTGGGCCCGTCAACAAAACGTCGACCAACTCCCGGCAGCAAAAGAAATGGCAGGGGTAGATATGCGTCTCGCTCCTCATGCATACAGAGAGCTTCACTGGCACACAGCAAACGAATGGGCCCTTATGCTTAAAGGTTCTGTTCGTCTTAGTGCGGTTAATGAGGATGGGGAGACTTTCAATGATGGCATCAGTGCTGGGGATGTTTGGTTTTTCCCAGCAGGTATACCTCATTCCATTCAAGCTCTTGATGAAGGTTGCGAGTTCTTGATTGTGTTCGATGATGGGTAAGTTCCTCCACTCCTGGTTTTCCGCTTCGATTGGGGGATGTATACACTAATGCTACCTATAGCTCTTTCACAGAGGATGGCACATTTCTTGTGTCCGAAATGTTCTTGAGAAATCCTAAGGAGGTTTTGAGCAAGAACTTACAGACACCTGTTTCGGCTTTTGATAATCTTCCTAAAGACCAGCGTTATATATTCCCCGGAACCCCTGCTCCCGCGAACTTCAGTGAACAAAATGTTACGTCTCCATACGGAGAACTTCCGGTCAATGAGTCTTACACATACCATTGGTCGCAACAAGCTCCTTTGACTGTTCCAGGAGGATCTGTCAAGATATTGGATACAACCACATTCCCCATTGCAACCGATTTAGCTGCAGCACTTGTCGTTGTTCAGCCTGGTGCAATGAGAGAGTTGCACTGGCATCTGACTAGTGATGAATGGAACTACTTCTTACAAGGAAGTGCTCGAATCACAGTTTACGACGCTCCACAATCTTCAAGGACCTTCGATTTCACAGCAGGAGACGTAAGTATCCAACAACATTTTCCCCTAAAAAATACTAGAAAGAACTGACACGTAGGGCCTAGGTTGGCTACATACCTGCTTCCAATTCTCACTACATTGAGAACACGGGTGACACAGATGTCATATTCCTCGAAGTATTGAAGCAGGGAAAATTCACGGATATCAGTGTTTCACAATGGCTAGCATTGACCCCTAAGCAGGTTGTTCAAGATACGGTATTTTTTCCTCCTTCCCTGTATGGAAAAATGCTGACAGCTTTTCAAGCTTGGCCTCCCTGACGAAACACTTGATAATTTACCTAAAAAGAAAACTTTTATCAAGTAGGTCCTCTCCAATTCATTCTGGGGTCTTTGGTAGAGAAGGTGGAGGCTTCATTTTCCCAAGAAATGATGCTCCTCTGCCGTGAACGTCTTTATCATTACATGAAACGCTGACTTCGAGATTCCACATAGACCTGGAAACAAAACCCTTACAGCTTTAGCTAGTGATCCAGAGGGAAGCGCAGCTTTTATTGGATAAATTCCGCAACCGCTTCTGGTTGCCGTTCAAAACCGAGACAAGTCTCCGAAGAAGAGAGTTTTCTTATGGGAGAGTTTTCTTATGGTTGTAGTTGGGCACGTGGAGTATTGTAGCAAAGGCAAAGGCAAGGACAGTGGTTAATATGTTAGATTGTTTACAATAATAGTCGTTTTTGACATTTCTAATATTGGTTCCTATTACATTTAAGGCGCATCGAGCTTCCAAATGTATTTTTCTTCCTCGCTGTCTCCCTCGTTGGCCTCATAAATCTTGCCCTCCCTTAATATGAAGAGCCATCTAGGGCAGGCCATGGCATTCCAGATATCGCTGTCCAGCAGCACAGACATACGATAGGAGCTTTCCATATGTATATTGATGAAGATATTTTACAAGCAATATTCTTGCAATTTCTAGTTGTCAAATGGGCTGTTTTGTTCAAGCAAGCCTTTACGTCTTTTTATGCATTTGACGGAGCAAGGGCTTTATTACGACCAGGCATTTCAGGTCCTGATGAAGTGCGACGTAACTACTTCCTCTGAAAGCAAGATAAGAGTCACAGCATTCAAAGCAAACTCCAGAGTCTCTACACGGGAAGATTCTTCATGTCACAACTTCCCGATTCCGAAATGCAAGTGGACTTAGCTGCTGAGGGAGAGGAAGAAGTCGATATTCGACAGTCGACCTCACAACAGGCTGTGCAGCAGATGGCAGTACAACTTCCACCAACTTCCCAAAACACAGCACGACAATCCTACGAGCCTCGTAAGAAGAAGACTTCGAATGCAGTTTTCAATCCTCTCAAGTCACATAATTTTTACGGCGAGCTCCCAAGAAACAAATCCAACATAGAGACTGACCATATTCCAATGTCACCAAACGCCGGAATATTAGGATCTTAGTTAAGTTGACGCCGTAGCTTTGAAAGCTCTAGAAGGCGATTCCGACATGTTTGGGGATGGGTATTTGAGGTGGGTGGCTCTTCTTTATGGCCCGGAGATCGTTGAGAAGTTTGGTAGTTTGGAAGTTGCGGATTCTGGGTTTTTGCCTATTGGAATGGTTAATTTGTTTAGAAGTGGGAGGGTTCAGTGGAAAGGTTGATGGTGTTTTTCGGGGGTGAGAGCCTTCGTTACTGTGTCGTTTCGTGTACGGCATTCTTTATTTGACCTTGATTCAAAAAGTACTCATTATCGGAGTATCATTCGCTGGGATACCTGACCTTCTTTTCTCTTTGTTCTATGAATCATTCTCCGGAAATACTTAAGTTTTCACATTCAATTTTCTTTTTTTTTGAACCAATTGGGATTCCAATAAAACAAACAGACTTTTGAATCAAGAGGTAGAACATAATATATAGCAGGTGATACCTTGTACAGAGAGCCTTCTTTTTAAACCCCTGTACTTTCCAGATGCCCCTTTTACTAAGCGAAGTAATCACGCTATTTTGTTCTTGATGGTATCACCAACGAAGTGAAGAGATACGTTATAATATCTTTTGGTTATTTTTCGTATGGGGTCTGAAAGAGTGTGGTGTTGTAGCTAAATATATGGAAGTGTGTGCCGTACTGTCTTAGGCAGTTTCACGTGACCGTCCTCCTTTCCACCCGAATGTACCGACAGTTCTTCTCTTATACCCACTGGTAGATGCATGCAAATCGAACCCTAAGCACTACGAGTATTACAGAAGTAGAGAGAACAAGCTATAGAAATGAGAGCAATAGAGCCAAATGAGTAGTATATAAGTATATAACCCGTCTTGGTCTAGATTCCAAGGATTTACTTGTAGCAAAACTTAAGTTAGAGGAAGAAGTTTAAATTCTACTAGTACCAGGCATCTATCAATTCATGTAGCTCCGGGTTCAATACATTTGCTCTTGGATATCAGCTTGTCAATTCTTTACATCTCGAACGCTGATAAACATAAACTAACTTTGCCTCATAAAGAATTTGGCCCTATTATATGGTGCAGTGAGCTCCAAATAACTTAGTATCTTGACTGTTGTCCTCAGCTCTGACACAGACCTGGATCATTCCAACGCTCCCAAAGACAAGACCAGTAGGGGTGATTAGGTCACTGGCTTTCAATTTTTCATTGTTGATGTCAATTGGCTTGGGCTATCCAACAAGAAACTTGGGCATATTTGGCAGGCCTATGCACCTCAAACCAGTCAGGAGCCTAAATTAGTGCATCGCCCATTGTTGATAGGCTTGAGAGAGAGAAAAAAAGAGAAAAAACACCCCCCAGAATGCAGGGAATGACAGGTAAAAGCCAGAAAAGGCTTGGAAGAATCCTACTATTGTAGATGACACAAAATAAATATCAACACTTTGAGGAGCGGCACAATTAGCTCTAGTCACTTCTTGTGGAAGGATCTCCTCCAAGCTATAACAAACCTACTGTATGTAGGTCAAAAATTCTTGGCCATAGATGAAACCCATGATTATCATAATTATCTTGGAGAGTAACAAAGCTCCTAGACATCACACAGCACATATAAAAGACGCTTATCTATGATGTCTCGCTTTCTGGGCTTGAGATCCAATCTCTCTGTTTGAATTTGGGTGTCTAGAAGGTTCATCAGATCCATTTTTTGGAGATGAGAGCTACCAATGGGGGCCAGGCTTAGCGATTGTAAGCACTTTAAAAAGGGGGGTGGAAGAGGTACTCACGTGTTAGCCAGGGGGCGATTTTGCATCAATGGATTTATTTTTTACAGTATTTCAATTACATTGTAAAAGCTGGCATTAAACGCTGGCAACAGTGCGAAAGAAAATAAATAAGTACAATAATGATATCATAATCGATTTTGCTCAGCAACAGTGCGACAAAGGTTCTGCTGCCTCCTTGTGCCGGAGGTCATGATGGTCCATCTGCTAACATTGCGGTGATTTGGTTCGTTCAAAAGAGTCTCACTTGGATTTTGCAATGAGAGGGGTGGTGAGATGGCACAAAGAGGAGGAGGAAGGGGTGGTTATGGGAGGTGGAATTAGGAGATGAGGGATTCCCACATCCAGCTGTGACGGGATGGGTTGCGTCACTTGAATGAGTAATCAACTGGCTTCTGAAACGTAGCTACCGTCTTCCTTTTTCTTCTAGGAACCATGAGATTACGCGCTAAATCTGCTGCCTGATCCTAGTCCTCTCCTACCACCTGTTTACTGTTCTCGCTTAGCTGTTCTGCTGGTAAAGCGGCCGGGAGTTCTTAACCACCACTCCACTTGAGCAGAACGCACTTCCTGCCAATCCATCGTGGGGAACCATATTCAACAAGGCAAATAGAATACATTGATTCACACGAAAGTTCTATCATTCTTGTAGTGCACTATAATTCGAAAACCAGAAAATGAAATGCTCCTGCCAGTTGGTGATGCGCCTTGGCAAAGCCCCCTTTCCCAAACCCAAGTCGCGCCTGCCTAGGGAAACCAATTACACAGCGCCGCTCTACCATCTCCTCTACGTGTTGAGCAAGTTTCTTATCTTCAAGGACAGGTGCAATGAACCAGAGATGCAACTGGAAACGGGAGACCCTTCCCTCGCCTCGTCACCCATCATTCTACTTGGTCTACTTAAACCCTCCCTTCCCCCCTCCCCCGCTCAACAATTCTTCCCAAACAACAACCACCACCATCACCACCACGACAACCACCTCCACCATACCAATTGACGCAGCAGCTCTCAACCAAGCGACCTTGGCGGGCTCAGAAGGAGAGAGCGCACACGCAGGTAAGTTCACACCCTGCAGCATTCTCAATTGGGACCTACTTCTTCGATCTTGTCAAATGGGGCTGATCAAAACCTCCTAGTCATTTCAGTTCCGCTCAGAAACCGCAGTTCTAATCTCCCTGCGCCCACCTGGGCGCTCACGAGGAATCGGTAAGTGCAGTCTCTTTCCAGCCTCTCGCCTACCCCTACCCCTACCACACACATATGCTATCCCAAACGGAGCTTTTTTAAATTCCTGACAGATAACATAGACTCTCTGCTCAAGGCTGCTTAGAGGTCGCCTCCCCAGGCCGCCACCATCCTACTCCTCTCATCACGTCCTCTACGCGAGACAGTTGATTTAAGGTGCCTCCCCATTGACAGTAAGTGACCCAACATATTCTGCGTTTCAACGTTGGTACAATTGGTCCTGATCTCGTCTGTTTCAAGAGGCCCGCAGCCACCAGAATGATACTCGCACGCGCAATGGCAGCTGTCCAACCGAACCCTTTTAACTCGGAAGAGTTAGAGCTGCTGCAGGTGTGCCCGCTCCTGACCGACAGTGAACGTCGGCGTCCTGTACTTGCACACTCCGGCTTCGAGAACCGTGGCTTGCGAGAAGTCTGCTGGGTAGGCAAAATGCAGTACTTGAGTGGATCAACAACTGCTAATCCTCCTTTTAGTACCATGTCAACAAGGAGTCAGGATGCCGCCTTCCTCCGGAAAACTGTCCCTATGTTCACATCAGGCCATCTTGTCCCGATGCCTTTCTCGATGCTGGCTGTCGCGATAACAGTGCCAAACACCAAAGGGCATTTGCACATAATGACATGATCAAGCAGCGTCGGTAGGTCCATCAGTTGAAGAATAACAACGTGCACTCCGAGTGTCGAGTTCACTTGCCTTCAATTTTCGACTACGGCTTCTTGCATCCGGTATCGGGTCTAGATCTTCAAGGCTTTCACGTGGAAGTTCGCAAACAATCCATTGTATTCAACACAGGACTCCTGCCCAATACCCGAAAGGACTTTGAAAGTGCATTCCTGACGACAACACGGGCTGTGGGTTTCTACAACCAAAGTACAGTACAGGACAAAGTCACGCCAAAGCTCACGCCATCATACCAGCTTGAGTATGGCTACCGAAATGCTCAAACACCAATGCAGACTGCAGCTTTCAAAGATTGTCTACCTTCAGCTCGGCACAAATACCGCCCCAAAGGCTTCGACCCAAAGCTTCTCAATGCACTCAAGTGGAACGATCAGGATCATAACGGGCGAGCGAATTTGGCATATCGACAAATGATGGAGCAGAAGAAGACCGTTCACATTTCAAATCTCGACAATGCAATCACCGACCAGGAACTTGCAATCTTCATCAAAGGCCTTGGTACCATTGTTTCCTGCAGAGTCGTCGGGAATGTCGAAAAGGTTGAAGGCAAAGTCGTTGATGAGCCACGCAAAGCATATGTGGATTTCAAGAATCACAAGGATGCGCAGATAGCGATTTGGATGTTGGACCAATACCCGATCTGCCGAAGGATGGTTCATACCGACTGGTCACCCAGGGAGATGGAAGTCAGCAACGAAAGTGATTTTGGGGAAGCTTGGCGAGATGGCGAGATCTTCTTGGCCAAGGCTTTCAAGGGAGGGCGTGGCTAGATCCAAGATGAGCTTGGAGGGTGGGATACCCGGGTGTATATATGCATAGAAACAGTTATAGGTTGAAATTGAGCAGATGGAAGAAGGGTGGTCATCACAGTTGCTAATAGTCTGTTTTGGGGGTCTCCTGGACACCAGTTTGGGGGGCGATGGGGTGGGTGTGCCACAGAAGGGATCCTATAAAGATTGGCCATGGTTAACAATCAGAGCTGTTACAAATCAATACTTCATTTTCTCGTCTCTTGTGAAGTGAAGTCTTGACATCTCCCAGATAATAGATGACCGAGCAAGAAACCAGAACAAGGACGTTGAAAACATGTACTCATAATACCCTCATGAGCCTGTTTATAAGAATCCAAAGTATCCGCATAAGTACAGTCCAGACAAGCCCGTGGCGGACGTCAAAGCCGTCTTAAGCTTTCGTTGTTCCACTGTTCTGGAACAACGAACGACGTTTCTCTAAAATACTAGAGCAATTAAATCGTAAACCTTGACCTTAGAATATGTAAATCTCATTATTCTATATTTTCAAGTTGATTTTGATAATCAACCCAGATATTAGAACCATTCAAGCACGCTGATTTAAAGGTCTAGGTGAATAACGTTAGTTTCTTGAATATTGGTGGATTATGAATTTAAGTTGATTGTACCAAAATACTAGATGGGGATGGAGGTGGGAGGTAGGATAATGGGATGTGGGTATTGGGGTGTGAGTATTGGCATGTGGGTATTGGCATGTAGAGATGTGGTGGAATTCAGCTTAAAGGTGCAGTGTGGGAAGTAGACTTGTAGATTTAGGGAGTGGGGGAGTGGTACTGTATAATCTGTTTTGTGTGGTATTTGGATCCATGGATAGATGGTATGTGATGTGTTGTTGTTGGAAGTGCTGTATGTAGCCTGGTATTTTCCGGTGGGAATTGTGATGGGTTGAGAGAGAGTGGAGGAGACAGACAGAGTGTGTGAGAGAGGATTGATTTCAAGGGGGGTTATAACCACTGTACTGGGGCACCTTCTAGATGCGAAGCTGGTGTCCCCCTATTTGCTTGTGTAGTAGCCAGGATCGCTGTGCTAGAATTCCAAGGATACTGTACAATAACTGACTGGCTTTACTCTGTGCGAGACACTTATCTATATACATACAGGGGGTAAGAATCCGTTACCCCAAATATTATTCAAACTTACATAGGGACTAGACTAGACAGAGACAAGACAGTCCAAGAGAACCAAAGAATCCATATTTTTCCAATGACCTACCCCCTTTGAATCCGCGCCCAGAACGCACCCAACCCCAAGCAAAACCCACCAGCAGCAGTAAAAACTCCCCCCACAGCCTCCTCGATACACATTACATTTTATCTACTCATAACATTCATAACATCATAACAATCATTACCACACCGTACGCACCCTTAATCAACCTCACACCTATAAAACATCTCACCAAGCCCATCATCCCCACCACTCCCCACATAACTCCCCCTCCTCTCACCAACCCCCTGCCTCGCAATCCCATACCCCAACTTCGTCTGGCCCACGCCCTTCGCCATCCTTCCATGCGCATCCGTCGTCCAATCGACGGAATCCAAATCGGGGCCACGGGTCGCGGCCACGATGGCCGAGAAGCGGTTCTTCTTGAAGTGGCCCTGGTTCTGCTGCACGGCCTTGAGGCCGAAGAGGACGGCGGTGATGGAGAGAAGGATGAAGACCCCGTAGACGAGCCAGAGGTCCAGGACTTGGTAGTGGAAGATGTTGAGGTTGCGGGATTTTTGGCAGGGCCAGGAGGGTCCGTCGGCGAAGGTGCCGCTGCGGTTGCTGGGGTTGGCGGCCCAGGCGACGACGAGGAATTGCGGGTTGGAGAGGAGGGAGATGATGATGTCTTCGTAGAGGTTTTGGACGCCTTGCATTAGGTTTGGTATTCTGGGGTGAGGACGTTAGTTTTGTGATTAGAAGAATGTGTCTCGAGAGAGAGTTTTTGTGGATTGGATGAGAATAAACATGACGAAGAAAAGAAGAAATATAAATGCAGCTATTTGGACTTACGGAAGAAACCCAACGGGATTTATAAGTTTCGTTTCTGCAGCCTGCGTATTCGAAATTGGAATTCCAGAGTCCGTGAAATTGACAGTCCCATTCAATTGATTTCGCAACTGAAGTCCCAAAGAGTGATATGCAGCCGTAAGTCGATATTTGTTCGTATTCTGAGGAAATAGATAATCCTCAACCGGTAAGGCGCTGACATTATCTTTCGTGCCATCATTAGCATCTACATTTGGTAAAAATGTTGTATTCATAATTGGTGCCAAGAATTTTCGGTTTGTGACTGTTGCTTTTTGCAATCCTGAGGAGTAGTTGAAGTTGACGGTATATTCGGTTGTGTGATGTATGCAAGAAAACATACTCGTATCGAACGCTGTGGCCCAACGAGGGTCCGAAAAGTTGTTAGGAAAGGTAGAATTCTGGTCTTTGAGGGTGGCGTAGCCAATCCAGATGATGGGTTCAGTTCGGAACGCTCCAAGATATGGAGACCATGGAGGAGGCGACTTGGGGATCCCACCTATATCGGCGTCAATCTGTGTTGGAGAATATTCGCCCTGCCCTGCATTTGCCAAGTAGCCAAAGGTTCCTTGTGGGATTATATCTTTTTTCGAAAAGGGCGCATCTAGAGCTAGTTAGAATCTGCTCTTGGAACGCAGTAAAAGGATGAGGATTATCATATCAATGATTCCATGGACTTACAACCATCTTCTCCATTCCCTAGGTACTCGAAGCATTTGTAACCCGGCCCGACAAACGAAATTTCATAGCTGCAATTCCAACCAGCACCGCAAATGTCAATAGCTACATCCTTCTTTGCTATTGGACTTTGTGTGTACGCAGTTAGAGTTGCTGCCAGACTCAAGGGAGAAGCAGCTCCTGTGTAATAATCAAAGCGATTGGGGTCACGATCGTTGAAACTTGTTGTGTTGAACAATGAAAGAGATCGTTCAATTAAACCTCCAATCTGCTCTGGAAAACGCCAATCATAAGTTGCTTCTGGCTCAAAGTTCAAAGTTCGGACATTGGTACAATGGGTACTGTTTGTGAGAACAGAAGGGACGACTGTAAGAGTTCCTGGCGTCAGGATTACAGTGAGAGGGGATACCCTGTATCGATCGTTAGCAGGCCTTCTTGTGGGAGAGAGTTGATAAGGTAAGCATTATAAAAAATGATTTGTGGTGCTTCATTTCTGGCCAAGGGTCTTCGAGGGGTAGGAGGAAGAAGCAAATGAAAGAATTAGAACCATCAACCCACCAAACTATGAAGGCTAAAAACATCGCAACTTTAGCAGTCTTAAGACTTTCCCATCTCACCACCGTAAGGTCTTCTATGATTGCAAAGATGGAATCAATTGCGTCAATAGAAAGTGAGTTCCGGCGAAAGGTAGCCCACATCTGTTGACGAAAAGCCAGAATTACACTCGCCATAAGGGATGCTTTAGCCACAAAGCTCAGAGCAGCGCCTGCAATTTGTTAGCATATGTTTCCATAGTAGAGTTTTGACAGGCGGGAGCTGGACAAGAGTGAAATGGCACACTCGACCACCTCTTTTGAGCATTTTTGAAAATCCAAGCGGGACGATGTGTGGAAGCACTCACCATAGCGAGACTTTTTGAATTGATCTACGGCCTCCGTGCCATGCAGTGAAGCATAAAATACGTGATGTCCAGAGGCCGCCACCACTCCAAAAGCGAAAAAGAAATACATGAGAAACATGGGATGCCACCAGCCCCACCAATTTTCGAAGGAACCGCCAGCATTTGACGTTTGATTTGGATCAGGAGAAAGAGAAGGCGGTGACCGAGGTCCCCAGAAGCCATAGGTGATGGGCTTATATTTCGTCTCAACCGAGACTAGCGAATTCTTCCTTGAGGGGCCGCGAAAATGATTTTCATGGCCATCGGGCTTGTCGACTAATGGTGAGCTGGAATTGTATTCCTGTAGATCTAGCGTAGTGAACACACTGCCTGAATCCTTCATTGCGCTCTCTCTGCGTCTCAGTGGGGAAGCCGCAGGCTGGACTGGTTGTATTTGCAATGTTTCCACATGCTTCAGAGGATAAGAACCCGCTTCTCCCTCCTGATCGTGGGCCATTCTTGATCTTTCAATTAGCGAGCGACCGTGTGTTGGATGAGTTCATTCGGAACGAGAGTGTTGAGCAGAGTTACGGAGTACTCTGCGATCGCAATACGCCACCACTACCGCGTACGGAGGTACTTTGCACGCAGTCCTCTTTCCAAGCTGATCAAAATGTGCCAAACCAATCCCCTGAATCGAATTCGGAGCCTGAAACTGGGCGGGTCTACGAAACAAGGAGATTGGGGCAAGTGTTGACCTTTTTACCGTGAATCTGCAGTGGCGTAGGCGAATAGGGCGTGATGATGGTCTGTCACTACTCCATGCACTGAGGTATCTGAAGCCAATGGTCAACCACGGATCTGCTTCCACCAACATCAGCGTGCACCGTTGCGTTTGCAAATTCCCATCCAATAACCACTGGATGCACTTATGGAAGGAGCTTAAATTGACACGAAAAGCTTGTATCTTCTCGGTGTCAGCGTCGTCCCGAGGAACAACCAGCTGGGCGTGGGCGGGCGAGTGCAGATGACTGATTTTGTCCACCATAAAAAAACAAGGGGGTTCTAGAATAGAATACGGAGGTAGCCAACGTCGTCGTCAACACTGCGCTGTGCTGCACTGCACTGCCTTCCGAGACCCGCCTTTATCCAATTGGACCTGCAGGAACTTCGTATGGGTGCTGTTCCCAAGGGTTAGGGGCAAGCGGGTTTGCCCCAGAGTCGACTCCATACAGTATGGGGAACATGACTTGCATACCTCATTCTTCGAGAAATCCTAGGCTGAGTTCATTGACAAGAAACCGATAGCAACCTGGAAAGTGATTCATGACTGTATGGGACGGGTCCGGTAACAACGACATCCCTCTGAGGTTCGGGTTCGGATTTGGGTTCGAATTCGGGGTTCCTTCTACAGAGATCATACAGTACTGCAGGAGTGGTCGACTTGGCTTTGATTGAAGAGGGTAAAGTCCTCCCTTGTCGCAACTGCCTTCGCTCACAACCCTGAGGGACGCGACAGCGAGCGAAAAAAATGAAGACGCGTCTCTGCTCTCCGCGAGAGTAAACATTCACCCTTCCCCAGTTCACATGCCATTTTTGGTGTCATTCAAAACGCATCGTGGGGATGGGCTATGAGAAGACCTATCGCAACTTTCACTGCGTTTCACGACCATCGACCCAACTGTATAGGCTACGGCTACATCTATACCCAAACGTATTCATCGTCTATGTCCGCCTCTGCTACTCGGGTTTCAAAGATGTCTTCGTCCTCTACGTCAACCCAATCCAACTCCTCGAAGCAGTCCAGATTCCGTTCCACGACCTTTTGCACAGTTCCTTCCCGCTGACATGATGCAGAGCTCTTCTGTATAGCATCTACTGTTCTCAATTGCCAATTGCCTGGTTCTGGATGGAGCTCCTGCGCTTGAACAGCAACAAATTCTGGTGTATCACTCGAATCGATTCGTTGATTTCCTTCTCTGCCTCTCCTTTTGAACGTACGCGAAACCATTGTCCTCTTCCTCCGAACGGCTTGCGCTCCCCTCGTCTTTCTTTGAGATATGCTTAAAATGTCGTTCACTGCCATCGGTTCAGTAAACCAGCAATACCATCTTGGGGCACAACATACCAATCTGAGACAAGAGGGCCAGGAAGCGTTGGAAATAGCTCCTTCCTCAATACCGAATTCCCATATTTGTGCCAGGCAAATTGATTATGTCGATCGCGATCCATAGCTGCTAGTTTGTGGTTGACTGAGTACATTCCTCGGGGCATCGATGCATAACATCGGAGAGTGTCCTGGTGGCTTGGTGTTGAAGTAAATACTTTGACGGAGCGTCGGTGGTTCCATACTTTTCTGGATCGCACGTCCGGGCTGTCATCTCCGTTGTATTTGCGGTCGAGTAATGGGGTATAGGAGAACTTCATCGCTGTGGTTTTCTCCGGTGTTTTCTGTTCTTGTGTTTCTCCCTTTATTTGGGTATATGACTTGATATCAACTTGTTTTGAATTCTTTGCAATCCAGTTGGGATTTTAACCAAAGCTACTTTGAGTACTTGATGTGCGACGTACGAATACCGCGAAGAGTCATACCGGTACATGTAACACTATACGAGCAAGGCTGACTAGCTGCGCCACCTTTTCTAGACTGGCACAGGTGAGAGTAAGGAACGCAATACTATAATCATATTTCAAACCAGTATGTGTGTACTTCTCCAAGTGAGTTGGTTGTCACATCTAATTGCGTCTCTAAACGAAAATCTGGACAGCCGCTAGCTACCGGAGGTGTGTCGTGAAAATGCAACCATATTGTCTATTTCAAATAGGCTTCCATTTTTGACCATCTTCTATGCCTCAAGAGTATGGTCTCTGCAGTAAGACTTTTGCGGATTTTCGCGGTATTACAAGTTGCCACCTCCACCACTTCTAATGTGTGTAGCCGTTACTCGACAAAACCTGGCCAGATATCTTGAGCTTCCTGAAAATCTTGATTAGAGAAATAGTGGTTTTCGCTTTACTTTGATGAGAGATAGCTTATTCGTAAAAGAGATACTACCGTATGCCTCTTGCCTCCTCATTGTCTAGATTTCTAAAATTGAAGGTGCTGCTTCTTAGCGAGAGCAATTCCTTGAGACTTTCTGGGAATACCATAGCTTTGACTGGACAATGGCAGCCTCATCATAAGTAAATTGTGAAGGACTCTAATCCCAGTAAACTCAGATGCCGCTAATTGCTGTAAGGATTAAAGTACCTTCGCGTAGGGCATAGGAGGGAAGCTAACTTGACAGAGTATAGGTACTGGTTACCTGAGCCATCCGTCATTTCTAATGGGTAGATAGATACTTGAATCAATCGATTGCATAGGCGTTGGAAAAAGTACTAAAAATAAGTTCCACATCTATTACTGGTGCTCACATAAAGTTGAACCATAAGGTTAGGTACCGCCTTCACGTGTTTTCTCTTCGCCTTTGACAAAAGAGGCTGCCCCACAGTCTACGTCATCAAGATTATCACTATTTGGGCAGCTGCACAAGCTCATATGAATGGTAGGGGTAATTGCACCACAAGACTGATAATCTCCTCGTCCCTGATTCACCACCAGAGTACTGTTGTGGAGGTAATTTGCCATAATCGCTCTTGATATATCTGCCAAATCTGACAACCAAACTCGCCTCTCAACCGCTTCAAATCTTCATGTCTGGAGCTTTGTTCTCTGCTCCTTGTTGACATCAGTCGCACAGAATCCTTCTAGGTTCTCCCCCGCCCATGCATGCACTTCAGCACATTTGCACTGCACCGCACCAGCATAGCTCAGCTCAGCACGGTACAACCCAGAGTTAATCTTCTGCGGTGTTATCAAGAGCAAACATTCAGACACAGACACCACAACCTTTAGGAACATCCCTGAAAATCCTGTCAAAGTCAGTTACCAGCAATAGGTTTGGACCGTTGCTTACGAGCCTCAGCCCTGTAACAGATGTGAAATAGAGGCGACGGGCTGACTCAGACCTCTCCTCTAGATGTCAACAATTCCTGCTCCTTCTCAGGGATATACCGATCGAGGCTACGGTGCCAACAGTCTCCCTCAACCTTCCCATAACAATACATCTGCCAACGACTTTGGTAGTGCGCCAGCCAATCCAGCGCAATCATCCCCCTTGGCGCAATCCTCAGCACAACCACCACAGAACCGCGGACGATTTAACGAAGAGTGGGACGCCAGCCAGCGAGGCAGCTCGATCGTAGACGGCCATATGCAGCGCCCCAGTTCCGTCATGTCGTCTCTCGGGGCGACATTGATCCCTTCGCGTGGGGGAACTTTAAAGAAGAAAGGTTCTATCAAGAGATCCGGGTCCTTGAGACGCTCGGGAAGCCGCAGAAGCTCGAGGGCGGGCAGTGTGCGTAGCTTAGCCCTCCATACAACTGGAGCGGAGGGTGATGAGGCACACAGTGCGTTCTTTTCGCCAGTCCCAACCTCCGGAAATCCAACAGAGATTCTCGCAAACCGATTTCAATGTATGTAAACTTATTGCTTGTGCTTGGAATGGTTTAGGGTGCATCTTGAATCTTGCTAATACGTGAACGCATAGCATGGCGGAAAGTCCTGAAAGACTTGATTACATATTTCCGAGAAATCCAGGCCTCATATGATCATAAATCCAAAACTCTCCTCAAGATTTCCAACGTCATCAACAACACCTCTACGCCTCCCATGTTTCTGCAGTCTGGTGGAATTGATGATGCGCTACAAATCCTGCGCGGCTACCACAAAAATGCCATTGCCGAGGCTAACAAGTCAAAAGACATTGAAAACGATGTTATATTGTCTCTTGTTGGCCTACGTAATGATTTGAACCAAAAGATCAAGGAGATCAAAAGTTTGTCTGGAGATTTCAAGAATTCTGTTGACAAGGAGATGGAGAATACCCGAAGATCTGTGAACAGCCTGCAAGAGGGCCTTGGACAGGCTGATACTGATCCTTCCCAAATGACAGGCAAACAAGATCCATATCTACTCAAACTTGCTGTGGATCGCCAGATTGAGAAGCAGATTGATGAGGAAAATTATCTTCACCAAGCTTATTTGAACCTCGAGGCTTCGGGTCGAGAGTTGGAGTCTATTGTGGTAGGAGAAATTCAAAAGTCATACAATGCGTATGCTGGTATTCTCAAGCGGGAGGCAGATAGTGCCTATGATGCGATTGAGGAGCTTCGAACAGGTCCTATTTCAATGCCGAAGGACCATGAATGGTATGCTTCCAACCCCTGAATCATACTCGGCAAAAAATGTACCATTTATTGCGAATGATGACTAATTGAGTTCCCAATATTTAGGCAGGAATTCGTCGAAGCCGATGAGCACTTTGTAGACCCCAAAATACCCGTTCGAGAAGCTCATAACATCCATTATCCAGGCAGAGACAACTACTTGGCCCAAGCAATTCGCGAGGGCTTATTAGAGCGTAAAAGCAAGTACCTCAAAAGGTAAGTTATCCTCCGAATATACTCAGTATGGACATCGCTAATATGAGCACAGTTATACACCCGGATGGTAAGTCAAATTCACTTTCATAAAATCACCAAGAAATACTAACTAGATTCGAGGTATGTTCTTTCTCCTACTCACCTCCATGAGTTCAAGTCCGCGGACAAAACTCAAGCCCCTATCATGTCTCTCTACCTCCCCGAACAGAAACTTGGATCCAATTCCACTCGGGGCGCATCTTCAAACAAATTCATGCTCAAGGGACGCCAAACGGGCTCGATGCATCGCGGTCATTCTTGGGTATTCAGAGCGGAGTCCTATGATACGATGATCAGTTGGGTCGAAGATGTTCGAACTTTAACGGAAAAGTCGCCCCAGGAACGCAACGCCTTTGTACGCCAGCACGCCCGCAGTGTCAGTAACACATCACAAAAAGCTGGGTCCATAAGTAGCGACGGTGTTATGGATGAGGAGGACGAGGAGCCATTTTCGGCGAACGCTTCATCTGTCGTCGCAGCGACACCAACGCAAGACGGGTCTAGGCGTCCTCAAGCAGGTGGGCGATTCCCCTCGGATCTTCAAGTCAACACACAACGTGGCTTACAAGCTCCCCTCTCGGCATCTAGTGGAAGTTCGAATATAGGAGACGCCAAAGACTCGGGTATGGTCGCCACTACTAGCGCGCTTCCTGACAATGCAGAGGATCAGTATGGAGGAGAAAAATTTCAATCTCATGCCGATGAGGTCGACAAGCGGGTGATGAAGGATGGTGTCAATCCCTACACTTACGAACCCATTCAGGAGACAATCGCTCGACGCGAGCAGCAAACTGCTCCAACAGCAGGGCTAGGAGGAGTGGCGATAGGAGCTGCTGGATTTGAAGCATACAACGATCAAACCCTACTTGAGAAGGAGGCAGCTCAATACGATTACTTTTCACAGCAACAACTCGCTGTCCAGGCCGCAAGAGAAGCTACCATGATAGCCGCTCCGGACACCGATATCAAAAGTTCTAGCCAGGCCCCCCAGGAAACTTACGTTCCAGCCCCAGTCACGATGTCTGCCGCCTTGCGTAATGTCTCTGAAACTTCCCAACTACAAGACACTCTGGCCGGGGAGACTCCGCTTGTCGAACCCCGTCCTCCCTTTGCGAATGCACCAAGACACGAAAGTGTCCAGAGTATCAGCCAACTTCATGTCCCAGGCGAATTCCCTCGCAGCACCACCGAGCTAAAGAGTCCAACCAGTCCCATCAGTCCCCCCGTGCCTGTCCAGAAGGAATCGTAGGGAGCTTATTTTCTGTACATTTTATTTGTTCCCTTTCATGAAGTTTTATTTGTGGGACAGCACTTTTTTTCCTTTTGGGATGTCGGGAAAGGGGCGGGCAACAGGGCAGGATGGGGGGAATATGATATCAGGCTTGGACTGGGACTTGGACTTAGTGGATTGGAGGGGGTGTCTTGTCTTTGTTTTCTTTCTTGCCCTTTTCTTGTCTTTATTTTTTGTGGCATGATTTCTTTTTCTTAAAACAATGATACCAGTTTCTCAACTTTTTGAAGTGCCTACCCACGTTAGTGTGACGTTGCTTCACTCATCCAAAAGCAGAACACTCCAAGAAGCCCACAAGCGAGTTTCCTACGCGCGTGAGAATCCTCTCTATTTCTATCTCCCTTTCAACTCAACTATTATGATTATAACCAAAGCCACGCGAAAACCCAAAATCTAGCCAGCCAGCATGCCCATATGTCACTTTTTTTTCGCTGGAATCTTGGCCTACCCGACCCATCCCGTCCCGTTGCTCAACATAACCTAAATACATAAATACCATGCCATGCCATGCCGCGCAGGCTCTTGGACTTTGCTTCGAGTCCCTCCATCCATCCAATCCAATCCATCCCCAAGATGTAATCCTACCAACTGCACCAACCTTCCCGGAAAAATAAGTTCAAAGAGAGAGGAGCAAACGCCGACGCTATAATGGAGAAGTAATGTGGTAAGAATATAAATGATGTATGTATGTGTGGGAAGAATCTTTTCCCTCGCCCCTTCAATGATCGCTAAGGATGTCATGAGTGGTGAGAGACCTGAGATTCCGCAGCTATAAGTTCAGATGCGGAGACAGTCTTTAACTTTGTTCGTCTCCTAGGAGGGGCTTTAGGAGGGAGTTTCTTCCCGTTTTCCAAATTAGATAATTTGGTCAAACGAGACATGGGAACAGGTGGGGGTGGGTATCGCCTTCCTCTCCTCGTAGTGTGTTCAGTTCTGTGCTCGGATTTTCCTATCTCGGATGGGGTGAGGTTGAGTGGTGGTGCGTCTTTGACGTGCCCGTTTGTGTCATGTGCCGGTTCGTCGTTTCGACTTGGTGTTTGGACGCCGGGTTTCTCTGAGACGGCGGCTACGTCAACGACGCTGATGGAACTGCCTGTTTGTGAAGGGGATAAGGAGATGCCAAGGATTTTCCGTGCAACTTCTCCTTCTTGAATATCATCGTCTCGGAGCCAGGGGACCTTGGCTACGCGGTCTACTAGGCGGATTGTGGTTTCATCTGCGGGTTCCCAGTGAGCAGTTCCTGATTTTCTCAAACTCCGAAGAACTTTTATTATTTCGTCACGTTTGTAATAGGGTTCTTCGTTGAGTTGGGAATGTGCTAGAAGTGGATATAGAACTCGGAGGTAGGTGTGACGGAGTGAAATGAGCTCGTCGGGGAGATCTAGAAGGTTCCTTATTATCACATCCAAAAGCACTCGAAGGTCGTTGAAATAAAAGTATTCGTGCGTGGCGCTTGTGGTGAAGAGCAAGTAGAGGAGTTTTAGAATGAGAAGTTGGAGGGAAGTCTCTGTTTCGCGATTCAATAGAAGTATTATGTTTTCCCCAAAAGTCTTGTAGGGATGTCCGTGTATGCCCAGTAGTTTGATAACTCGATTCGTCAAAGGAGAGGATGGCAACTGTCCTTCTACGGGGGAAGAGGTCGCGGCGACCATGTACTGCTCGTTTAGCACCAGCTATAAGATAATGTTAGAATTTCGGAATGGTTCAGCAGCAGCAGTAGCAGCAAACACTGACCAAAACTCTAATGACGGGGTAATGATATGGGTCATCGACATCATCAGATAGTTCTTCAATTATTTGAAAGAGACAAGTGACAAACTCATCATCCACATGCCCCAAATCTTCGGCATCTAATCGCTGCATTCGTGACGATTCGTAGAGGACTTCTAGCAAAAGTCGATGTAATCGCGGATCCTCCCTCCGGCCCTGCTTGATCAATTCAATTAACCGTTGAAAGCAGCCTTCCTGGACCATCTTCTCAAATGTGGCTTCATTCTGCCGTCCATCGAACAGCAGGAAGCCCGTCAGAAAGTGCAGGGTCGCAGGCTCATCCTCCTGCAGTAAACAATGAATAAGCTGAATCCGAACATACTCCTTATTCAACTCGAAGATCTCGCTTCGGAGAAGCTTCTGTATGCATCGCGCCACGTCATAATCGGATTGTATGTACTCGTCTTTGAATTTCGAAACGAAGTGTAGATAGGAGCGCAGGGCGTTATCGATCAGTCCATGGGACGAGCATTTCGTACCGACAATATCATCGAGCTCTACATCACGGAGGAGTAATCAGCTGCGATTCGTTCCAAGGCAAACTACCTGCACTGCGCAGCTCATGCGCTAGAAGGAGGGGAACACGCACCGTCCCAGAATTGCTGTTCGTTGTCGAGGGTGTACTCAAACTCATCCATGATAATCCACTATCGGAGCACGTTGCGGCCGTCGCAAAAGCATTCCGAGAGTTCACAGCAGGATTGCGATGCGGGGGTAGGTTTCTGGAGTTTTGAGGACTTCCTTATGATTTAGTAGGCTGTTGAAGTGTTTCTCGTTTCTGGGGGTGGGAGTGGGAGTGGGGCGAAGCTAGAGTACAAGTATGGAGAAGGGAGAGGAGGTGAATGTATGGAGGTGTTTGAGGAGCGCGAGAGGGGTTCAGATCCCTGCACATCAAGCCAAAGAGAGACCTTCCGAGCCGAGCGTGCCTCCGTGCATACAGCGCTATAAATGGGTGCCGTCAAAACTCCGAAATCTACACTTTTTGTAACCCTGTAAAAAAGACCTAACTTTAACCTACCTAAATATCCTACCACTACTACTCCTACCCCCTTTATTTATCTATACAACATCTTAATTCGGTAAAAGTAAGGCTATTCGCTATAGTAGGCCCTCGAGGTAAAAAGCTACGTTTAGTGTGACAGACGTGCTTCAGGTAGAACTCAGAACAATTAACACTCTATTCTTAGGACAAAAGACGAGGAAAGAAGGAGAGCTCGAGAGAGCTGGGAACTAAATACAGGTCGTGCGCGCTAGCGCCTCGCTAAGCGAGCATGTGACATCCAGCCCTCGTGACCATAACCGTCACATCACCCCCCCCTTTAAAAAGAGCTCGCCCCGAGCGTTGAAAATCTGAACTAATTGTGAAAAATACCCTTTTGCCAGGCATCTGGATGGTCAGGATCGTCCGAATCTACCTCCGCGCTATCGTAAGCATTGTCGTTCATAGCTGCTATTACTACTCTGCCTGGTCTTGCAATCTGCTTTCGTACTGGCTTTGGGAATGCCTCCCCAGCTGGTAGATCCCCCAAATCTATGGCTGATTTCCTTCCTTGTGGTCCTGGTGAGAAAGGACGGAGTATGCAATCGTTGACCCAGTGTTCCAAGGAGCCACATCGTACACACCTGCCTTCAGCTCTATATTGATCTCTACGCTCAGGGGAAATAGAGCGAGCGCGTGGAGGAGAGGATGGGTCGATGGAATTGATGCTAAAAGCATTTATGTCCATTGGTTCGCTGTGGTGGTTGCCAGAGGAGTAGGACTGTGTAGGTTGTGTAGACGAAGAGAAGCGGCCTGCTAATTGTTGTACGACGCGTATGAATGTAGTATAATCGCGAGGTAGGTTGAGTTGTTGAGAAAGTCGTCCGCGAAGAGTAGAATTAAGGCCATTCCTAAAGGTGGAAATTTTGTTGACATCTGGCCAGTCCTGACCTCTTGCTTCGTAAAGGACACGCTCAAACTTGGCGATATATGTAGGGACTGAGTCAGCACCTTGCTTGAGGGCAAATAGCTTGTCTTCCGCCTCCTGTACCTTGTTTGGATTGTCGTACACGCGCGCGAGCTGTTCGAGGATTGTTTGGTAGTCCCAGCTTTGGGTGTCTTCTGCTTGAGAGAGCTGTGGAAGGACCATGGCTTGGACGTGGGAGTCAAGGTTGAGGTAGACGTAGTAGAACTGCGCAATAGCGTCTCCAATAGCTGTACCGTCGACTCGTAGCTTTGCTTTGATTGAGGGAAGCCAGGTGTCGAATTTATGAGCCTGGCCAGTGAATTTGTCAGGGTCTGGGAGGGAAGGTTTAGGCTTTGCGGATGTTCTTGACCGGAGTAAGTGAATCTCGTCGCGCTGTCGCTGGACTTCAGCTTGCAACTCAGCGATGGCGGACTGAACTTGAAGGGCATCCATTGTAGAGAAGTCGAAAAAAGAAGAGGTTTCGTCGTGTTGTAAAGTGTAGGGTTCTTGCGCACAAGAAAGTGGTAGAAATCGTGAGAATTGAGACGTAAGATCGTGGACCTGAACTTGGACGTGAACGTGAACTTAGACCTGGGATACTTAGCCTCAACTAAGGGTCTTTTGTAATGTGACAGACGTGCTTCAGGTAGAACTCAGAACAATTAACACTCTATTCTTAGGACAAAAGACGAGGAAAGAAGGAGAGCTCGAGAGAGCTGGGAACTAAATACAGGTCGTGCGCGCTAGCGCCTCGCTAAGCGAGCATGTGACATCCAGCCCTCGTGACCATAACCGTCACATTTAGAGTCTATATCTAAGCTAAAAGTCCCTATTAAACGTATTAAAAAGACTCCTATAAATAATAAAGTCTCTACTACTAAAAAGGTCCCTTAACACCCTACTAAACCTACTAAATCTATTCTTAAGGGGTCTATAAAGTATACCGCTAAGTAGAATACTATCGAAGAGAATATTATCGAAGAGGATACTATTAAATAAGTACTAGACTCTTCTAAGGTCGAAGTAATCAAGGAAGTCGTTAAATTATATAAGGTTACTATATATATAACGATATATATTAATTCGAGTAAGATAAGACGTCTTTATAAAAACGACTAATCTCTCTAATAAACTCTGCCCCTACTGTGACGACACGCACAGCTGATGGACCGCGCAAGAGCACGACTACGTCAGGTATCACGAGTGGTGAGATTGACACTGTGGAACTGTCTATTCGAGGATTCTAAGCTAAGGAGAGAAGAGAAGAGAGCAGAGCTCGGGAGCCAGATGTTCTTATATACAGGAGGTTGTGCCAAGCTATGGCTAACTGAGCCGGGCTCAGGAAGTGTAACGAATACTCAAACTGGCTAACTAAACTTGGCTGGGTGTTCGCTGGTTGGTATGCTATGATAAGAAGAAGACTATCGGGTTGTTCACTTGGAAGTGAACTCGTTACTTGTATCAAAGATGTCAAACTAATATGATAAGATTGATAACTAAGTTGAGCACGAAGCTCCTATCTAATGGCAGACGTGCCAGTATTATATAGAACCCTCGTTCCCATGGTCGCCATGGTCGAACAGTCGCCCATGGTCGACACGGTCGACCGTGTCGGCCATGTCGCTGGTCACGTGATTCCAACCCAAGGAAATCCCTGGATCGTTTAGCTAGCCCAAACGATCCCTTATTTGCTATAAGTCTATTGATGTGCTTGACCTGTCAGGACGCCGCCTGGTCTTCACTTATCACGTGTGCACGTGATTCGTGACAGGAAGCACGGTATCCGCTGGGTTCCAGCCAGGGGCTGGTCTGAGGTGTAGTGGCGGTTAGAACCGTCACACCTACTATAATAGATTCTAGGTAGAAATTAAGAAGAAGGTAGAGGAGTTTAGTAAGCGGTAAGGCTCTTTATATTCGCCTTTTTTCTATCGAATATAAGCCTCCTAGAGTGCTAAATGTCACAAATCACGTGTTAGCACGTGGTTAGCGAAGACCAGGCGGCGTCCTGACGGGTCAAGCACTACCAGAATACTTATAGCAGATAGGGATGCCTAGGTTAGCTAAGCGATCCAGGGATTTCATAGCAATTATATCACGTGACCAGTAATGGTCGTTTGGTCGCGGCGACCAGCAGCGATCATGAGGATGAAGGTTCTATATAAGACTGGCACGTCTGCCATTAGATAGGAGCTTCGTGCTCAACTTAGTTATCAATTTTATCATATTAGTTTGACATCTTTGATACAAGTAACGAGTTCACTTCCAAGTGAACAACCCGATAGTCTTCTGCTTATCATAGCATACCAACCAGCGAACACCCAGCCAAGTTTAGTTAGCCAGTTTGAGTATTCGTTACACTACTTACCAAGCTAAACCGAGTGGTGGTTGTGGATATATGTGGTGGGGGGGATATTTTGGTGGGATATTTAGGTGGGTTAAAGCAAGGACTTTTTTTGGGTCTAAAAAAGTTTGGATTTCGGAGTTTTGACGGCACCCATTTGTAGCGCTGTACCTACTAGTATTCACGCCACAATGTCAGTGCACACAGATCTCGCGAGGCTGAGAATAGATGCTGAGTATCACGAGTAGCACGTGGAAACCAGGGAATCATTCAGGTCATCACCTCTTTTTTTTTTTACGTAGGTGGGTATACTTGTACACCCATCACTGCATCATTGCCTCACCAGACTATGTTACACAAAACTTCACTACACAATGTCGAAAATACCGTTACGTAACTTCGTGCATTTCAACATGATGTGGACGCCGCCAGACTAATTAACTCCAATAAAACCAAAACACACAGCCTCCAATCCTCTTATCCAAACTGGAATCCACCTTGACCAAATTTGAAGTTGAACTGTTGGCCCCCGTGACTGTGTCCAAATGGTGATCCACCTCCGAATGGCGATCCCTGGAATGGGTTGTGTCGTTGCTGCTCATGGTCGTTAGGGTCATCTCCTTGGTCGAATCTTGCTTTCAGCTCAGGATCACTGAGAACTTCATAGGCTTCGTTAACCGAGGCCATTTTCTTTTTTGCGTCCTCTTTAGATATTCCCTGGATGTGAGCCTTATCAGGATGATGAATCTTGACCATTTTTCGGTAGGCCGATTTGATTTGCACAGGATCCGCATCTCGTGGTAGTCCCAAACTCTTGTAATAATCCTTAGTCTTACTTCTCTTGAGTTCAATTTGAGCCTTGTGTAGAAGTTGATTCAATTTTTGGGCATCTGGGTGGTGCTCCTTTGCCGTGTTCAAAGTCTGGATTGCAGCTTCAAAGTTCTCAGCCTCCATGTGTCTTTGGGCCTTGGAAATAAGTCCGTGAAGCGAGTTCTCGTCATAAGTGAGAGACTCATCACACCATGGAATTGCCTTCTTGTAGTTTTTCATCTATTCACGTCAATATCAATGACGGTACTTTGCAGGGAATCACATACCTCATGGTACGCCTCGCAAACCATTTCGACAACTTTAGTAACCAGCGCATTTGGAGCATGTTCTGGAATGGTTCCGTCCGCTCGGAAGTCTTTGACATCATCCTTGATATCCTGCACCAATCCAGCGTCTTCCTCAGCAGGTAACAAGGTCTTCAAAGAACTTGCGTATTGGCTCTTTTCAAAATGTTTATTGACTTTCTCCAAGGCCTTGTCCATGTTCTTCATCTTTCTATATAGCTTCTTACATGGTTTGGAATCTGGATCACCATGTAGACATTGTCTCAATTGATCCTTTCCATGTTCCTGATCGGCCAATCCGTAATAAGTGATGGCAGCGATCTGCATATGAGGTTGAATGTCACCAGGTTGCATTTGCAAGATGTGCTTCAAATCGCTCATCCCTTCCAGAACCTCCCCACGCTGGAATCGACAGTTCGATCGAGTCTTTCGCAATGAAAGCATCTTGCTGGCTGTCAGAATTCCAGCGCCAGCCTGTGTGATACACTCTTCCCAGTTTCCTGTCTTTTCAGCGTCAAAGGCTAAAGCGGTTGCCCCCTTGGCCTCCTCGAGTTGAGCGAGTTCATCTGCTGAATTGCCATGGGCCAGGAAATCCTTCGTTGCCGCGTCCCAATCTCCAAACTTCGCCCGTATCTTCGCACGTTGGAGCAGAGCCCCTTCAAAGCCCGGTCTGATGCTTAGGACTTTGTCGAAGTCCTTGGTCGCTTGCGCGGTTCGCCCGAGTGATAGGTATGTTGCTCCCCGCTTGAAATAAGTCAAATAGTTCTGGGGATCTCGGGAAATGGCAACATCGTAATAAGTAAGAGCATCGTTGGTCTCTCCTTTCGCCAGATGAGCGTTGGCAGACGATAATAGTGCGGAGATAGGCAAGTCGGAGGGGATGTCCGACGACGACACAGCTACGACCAACGAGTTGGAAGACAGCAGTGTGGCAGCGACTGCCAGGACCGATAGATTGACAATCATGGTGAAGAGATCATGCAGAAATATCGAGGGCGTGGCCGAGGGGTCGTAGCGGTTGAGTTTAGTGGCAGGATGAAACCGATAAAGCGATGCCAACCAACGTTGGAGGGGTCTTTACTCGGTAGTGAATGGCCAATGAGTCGCAAATTGGAAACAATGACCGCGCTTGAGAGTTGTATTCTTGTGAGATGCTACAGTGGTCGGAGTGCAAAAAGGGGAAAGAACAGAAAAGAGCGTAGGTTGTAGTTTATGTTGAAGTTGTCTTCCGATGGGTTGAGTGGGCGAGCGCATAGAACAAGCTGGCCTCTTTTAGCACCCTGCAATCTCCCTACCTTTCAGCCTCGCATTGCCAAGACCTCGGATCTCGAAGGAAGGCTACGCTCGCTAAGGATGCAGTGTTCAGTATCTCCGGGTGTTTACGCATCAACAACCCTACACGCCCTCTAAATTTAGCATCACATCTACACATCTACACATCTATACATGACATACAATGGCACACCTCTCCCTCTCCCCAGCAGCCATATTCTCGCCATCCGTGGCCCGCCAACATGCCGCTGCAGCCAAAGATTGGAACTACGTCGACAACTGGCTGTCGTCAAAATTCAATGGCAAAACCCCACCCGCCTTCGAGCGCAACAACGATACTCTGAAAGCGCTCCTCGCCCTCGCAGCTCTCAACGAAAGCGCCGACGAGGAACAAGAACTGCTAGCAAAAGTAGAGGCCAAGTCTCTCCGTGATCTGCAGGCGAAGGAGGACGCCGGTCCAGATACCGACCTTCTACATTCTCTCGAAGACTCCTTGACGCGCGAGGGGGAGAGCAGTCTCGATGCGCTATCATCCTTGAGCGTCGCACTCAATCAGCCGATACCTGATATGGAGGCCATGGGACGCAAAATCATAGATTTGCATGTTGCTTCTCATGATATGGATCAAACTGTGGACCGCGTGTCGATTCTCGAAAAGTATTTGAAAGCCGAGTTGGAGAAAGTAGGAAATTTGGTCGAAGAACTCCAAGGGGAGGCGTACCAACCGCCTCCAGACTTGATGAAGCAAACTGTAGATTACCAGCGGAGAATTAAAGGCTTGACCTCCAAATTGCCCGAATTAAAGGAGCGGGTTGCCTCCTTGGCCGCTGCTTCAGGGACACCCATCACAATCGAAGAGATACAAGCTGAGGAGATTAAATACAAGGCTTTGATGGCTAAGGTTAAGGACCTGGAAACAAAAGTGAAAAGTTATCATGGTCTACCACAAGATACAGATCTAGCAAGACTTGAATTGGAAAGTCTCAGGGTGGAGTTGAGGAGTTTAACGCGGAAACGTGATAGCATGTTTGAGGGACTTGTAGAAAGAGAAACACCCAGAAAGTGTGGGTAATGGAAATTAGAATTCAGCCAGAAACTCCACGCTTGACTAAGATGACCTGCAAAAAAACACAACTAATGTAGATGACCTCTACTATCGTTTGGGTCGTCCTCCGCCTCCCAATCTGCCAAACTTGCCGAGTCCACCTGCAGGTGGCTTCTTCGTTTGGGTAGGTGTATCTTTAGCCGGTGCTGACGGTCCATGCAAACGACTCAACTCTTTGAATGCTTTTCCATCCAGTCCCTCCCCAGCTCGTGCATCAAGCATGCCCAGACTCTCCTCAAACTCTCCTCCCGGTCTCTGAGATCTTCTTGATCTTTCTTGCACACTCTTAAACTTTTCCAACAGTTCATTCCACTTGATCCCTCCTTCGTCCCGACCTTTCAGCCTGCTGGATCTGTCGAAATTTGATGGGCCAGCGTTTGCCGGTGCGCTAAATGAGGTATGAGCTTCGGTGCTCTTTTGACGAGTATGATGAAGAGAAGTGAGTGCTTCCACCACACTGTTATTACGAGATGAAGATACGTACGTTCGAGGTGCGACGTGGAGGTATCCTATCGCACTCACACTGTTTAGTCTATTCTTCAGAGCCGCAAAAGCAGCAGATTGGGGAAGAAGCATCAGAAGGCCATAAAGGCATTTGTACAGCTGAGGATATTTTTCTGGTTCGAGGAGTTGTAGACGCAGGTCTATCTACGTTAGCTCATTCCAGGCACCAGAGGAACTTTTCATACAAGTGAAAACAGGGGACTCCAGTAGCTGCACAAGTTTATCGATCTGGATGAGCATGTTGACAGTCATCTCCAGCTCGGCGCTGTGGACATTAGCCAAGCTCGGTTAATTGGTACCATACTCACAAGATCTGAAGGAGATTATATGCTTGCTCGTATGCCTGGGCAAGTAAACAAAGAGAAAATGTAGCGACAGCATTATAACACCATGATCTAAAAAGGGCGACGAAAAATGTCTGGCCGTCCTGCAGAAGGTTAGGTCTACCAATATCAATGGAGTTCCTTCGGAGAACAAACCCTGGTTTCCAAATTTCGAAGTCTCTTACGCAGATCGGCTAGTTCAGGGGCTGTAATTAGATTATTGTTGAGATTCTGAACCATAATACTGGCAAACTCCACGTCTTCTTCTTTCTCGATACAATCTGCAAGCGTTCGGTAAATTCGTTCGGGGCTTAGGCTGACACATAGCTGTCGAACGATTAGATTTCCTCGTGTCTCTAGTAACTTTCTGTCCGTGGAAAAGAGCTGCAGGAGATTCTCCATGAACGATGTAAAGTATTCATCCCCACTATTTCTTGAGATTTGTGACAAAAGTTGTAAATCTCTGGTGACTACCGCTTCCGCTGGGTCCGACAACGTCTTTAATAGAGCGGGAAATGTACCATCATTGATGGCTAACACCTTGCGAGGGGCTTTCTTATGAAGCATGAGCAACCAGGTAAGAGCCGCAACCCTAGTTGCTTCGTGGTCATTCAAGAATAGTAAGGTCAGTGAATTGACAGCCGCTGCATAATCAAGGTCGACCTGTGGGCGATCTGGAGGAGGAGTGGGTGTAGGTGTTTTGTTATAAGGAGGAGGTGGTGTTTGAACTTCGGAATCCCGTCGGTCGGTATCTCTAGTCGTGGATGTGGAGCCACGAGGATTAGAAGAAGATTCTCTTCTCTCATTATCTTTTAGAACTGTCGTAGGTATTCTCGAAGGTCCACCTGATGATGGTTCTGAGGAGCCGCCTTCACCTGAGAGAGATACTACGTAGTCCATGAGAGCAGTATTCACCCGAGTTGCTGCTTGTCTGATTGGTTCCACACCACTTGCCATAGCTGGCAGAAGATGAGCGAGTATTTTCGGTGCAAATGGAAGCACTTCTTCGGGACAGATATCGAGAAACTCTACAATCCACCGAAGTGATTCCTGAAGGCTGTCTTCTTCTGCTTCACGTTAGAATGGCCATCTGGGTTGAGAAATTATACTTACCCAGTGGAGAGTCAAGGTTTGCCGTTAATATCTCGAGTATTTCCTTGTGGTTAACATTAACGTCTTGGCCTGGCACCCAGTCATCGTCACTGCTCATATCCTTCTCATCACCAGCGGTAGAGTCATCGTCAGCTCCAGCGTCTGGGGCGACAGAGCCATCGCTATCCATAGACCCAGAACGTTTTCGTTTGTCTTCATCCCGTGACTTTCGACTTTCCACAATTCCCTTCTTGACACGGGAGATTCGTTTAATCTCACTCAGAAATCTCTCTAAACAGCCCTGGGTTGCTACATGAACATCACGATTTGGATCGCTCAGGAATTTGAAGATGCCTCCGAGAAACTGTGGAAGGTAGGAAACAAGCTCCAGGTCAGGGATAGAGTCCAGCAGATTGATCCATCCGACCAAAAAGGTGCGGGTGAATGGGTTGATCACATAGATGCGCTCTTTTAAGAGCGGGATGAAGTCGGCAAGAGAAAATGCTGTTGGCAAGTCCATAGATTCATCTCGAGATTCTTTATCAGTCTCGATTGCTGAGTCCTCGGAGGTCTGAAGGACAGAGACATATGTGGCTGCAGATTCGGAGACTATATCTTTGATAAGACGATCAAGAAGTTCAGCTCCATTCTTTACAGAGAGCTCTGAATCGGCACCAAGCTAGATAAAGGGTCAATAAATGAGACAGCAGGAACCAGAAACATATCTGAAGGACTTGACTTACTTTACATAGCGCATCAAATATATCATTGAAGTAGGGTAAAACCTCGCCCTTTGCTACCTTGGCAATATTGTACATACTCTCGCATGCATAGTAACGCACGCGAGCATCTTGATCTGTGAAACACGCAAGAACAGGAGGCACGATTTCATCCAGGTATCTTGCCAATTCCTGTTGTTCCATTAATGGTGGCGATACAAGAGTTAAAAGGGGTACGGTAACATACGGGTCCCAAGGCTATGGCTGCAGCTGCAAGGCCGATGAGTCCGCCATTCCTGGCATGAGGCTGGTGGACAGCATACGCAAAATCGTTGCACAACTGTTGAATGACTTTCTTGATACGATCGTATTCTTTTCCCGTGGCGAGATCCCGAATAACACGTTCGAGCCTATCAGAAATATCAGTATCAGGATCAGTACTGAGCTTGTTGCGCGAGCGGGGAAAGTAAAAGGCGCATACTCAAGTGCTCCAACCTTTCTCTTGTCGTAGAGCTTGTCATTTAACGCACGCTGGATAGCTAGATCCATATCTGATTTACCAGGTGTCTCAATAAGTCATGATCCAGTTCCAGATGTGGTGGATGCTTCTTGGTCTAGACTGTGTGGGTGTGGCTGCTCTTCTATTGTTGAGCGATAAAATCGGAAAGACCTACTTGAGACCCAGTTTGACAAGTTGGCTCTCTGAATGTTTTCAGATCACAAAGTCGTATATCAGAGATTTTTTGGTGACTGACTCAGAGAAACTTGTCCACAAGCTGGTTTCCTCTGTGGGTGAAGAGGATGCGTACAGAGTGAGTGCAAATGCTGTTGTCACGTCACGTACCGTCAAACTAAGTTCTGAGATCCTGGGTTATCGCTCACCCCTGCAACCGACAGGGATTAACAGCTGGGAACCTAGGGCGCTATCGCCTCCACGTGCGTAAGCGAATCAGTATGTAGGCACTTTTAGCACCGTAGGTATTCATTCAGTCATTGTGTCTGTCTAGAATACCCCCCTTTTTTTTTAATCCTTAAGCTCTGTGTTGATATACTTAGTTAAGGTCAACAATGAAAACCTAGAAATTATTGTTAATATACAAACGTAAAAAGATATATCTGAAGATATGTGCATGTGTGATAAGAGAATCACAAACAAATCTTATCTCAACACATCTAGGCTAGACTAACACTATTTTGAACGCCTTGTATAACTGAAATAGTTATACTAGCGATTCAGATAGTCAAAATTGATACATGTTTATGAGACCAAGTGATTTGGGACACATCGCTAATATAAAGAAAGGGCGTACCAACTATCAAGCTGGTTATTCTAGGAATTTTAGTACAATAGGCTCTTGGGGTGTATCCAGAGTATTAGACAAGTCTCTTCCAACGTTCTTGCTTCAGAACACCAACTTGTAAGACCTTCCAATTAACAAATTAGAATTAGAAGTGCATTTTCGTTATGTACCTGTCTACTAAAGATGTCATCAAACCCGCCATAGCACTCTAAAATCCCAAGGGTCTAAAAACCAGCCATGACTAATTTCCGTTAACAACCCCTAGTAATCGAATAACCCAACCCCAAACCCCATATCACCATCCCCAAGATATCCTTCCCCCAATCTGAATAAGACCATTCTAGGATCTAGCCAAATAAAAGCTAATTAATGTCTTCGAGCCACTACATCTAATCCTCTAAAGTCTCAAAATCCATGGTGGCGAGCATATAACAAGCAGATTATAACTTCCTAGGAGTAATCTTAACCATCAAAGGAGGTTTCTCCCAAAGTGCAAAAGCCCGTTGATCGATCCAATTCTTACTCTCAGGCTGCAATTCGAGATCGAACGCCCAAAGGACGCGAGCGAGAACGAGGCGCATTTCTGCATTGGCGAGACTGAATAGCAATTTTATTAGCGCCTGCCGAGCAAATCAGAGGAGATAGAGAGAAGATACCTCTGAGCAATACAATTCCTGGGTCCAAAACTGAAAGGTTGATAAGCCTTCCGATCATCCACCGCATACTCAGCAGCTCCCTCCCATCTCTCCGGCGCAAACTTCCATGGATTCGTGTGATTTCTTGTGCTGAAGGAGGCTGCCAAATTAGTCACAATAACCACGGTGTTTGGGGGGACATATTGTCCGCAGATCGTGTTTCCAGATGCAGTTGTGACACGAGGGAATCCCGCTGGGCCGGGTGGGTAGACTCGGAGTCCTTCTTTGATGACAGCATTGAGGTAGGTAAGTTTAGATAGATTGTGCATATTCATTGATTCAGGGGTTGAGAAGGTGGTCCGGAGAAGGTTGGTGAGCTTGTGCAGATGGTGCGGGTTTGTGAGAAGATGATAGGTCGTGCCGGAGAAGAATGTCGAGACTGGTATGATGTTAGCTATTGAACTTGATGTCAAGTTCCAGGGGAGGTACTTGTTTCGCTTCCGGTAAGAACGAAGAACGATGCATTACTTATAAGCTCGCCAGTGGTCAATATACCGTGGGGGTTAGCACGGGTTCTCCCTTTCAGATTTTCACCTCAGATTTGAGTACCCTTCTTTATCATCGCTTAAATAGCTGAAGAAATCAACTCGATCCGTATTGCTTTGTGCCAGCCTCTTCTGAACTGCCTGAACCGAATAATTGAAATTTGTGCCTCTATCTTTAAGGCCTTTCGTAGGAGCCAATTTATGGATCAATTTCCTCAAAGGCCAAGCGTGTTCGTTTCCAACCCGATGGAAAAGTGAATTTTTGAGCAGTCCGGTGATCGAAGAAATCCATGGCTATGAAGGTTATCATGGCGAGTCAATGAGATACAAGTTGGGAAGCTTACATGCAAATCTCCGCCATCCCGTGGGGTATCTAGGCCACCAAAAGATTGACCCCTACTGTTGTCAGTAGGAAGTTCTTGGGGAGGTAAAGATTAGAGGGTTCAAATATCCCGAAATCCATAAAACAATAGGTTGGAGAAGAAACAGAAGACTTGACTCTTACAAGGCAAGTTCCCCAAGAATATCAAATGCGGTGTAAATGTAACGGTGTCAGATGGGGCAATACGAGAATAGCAGAGCTTAAGCCTTACTTGTACCATTGAACAATGTTCACAATACTAGTTGGACTTTCTGACACCCTCTCTGTCAAAACCGATATCAACTTGTCAATGTATGAAACCAATAGGGGCTCTTGAGAATTCAAAGCTTTATCCGAGAAAGCAGGAGATACCAATTTTCTCATGCGACGATGGGCTGGATCTTCTGCGATAAGCTACGCGAAAACCTGAATCAGAAGAGTTCAAAGTATGGCATTTGTGGGCCGACTTACGATATTTGCAACGCCGTTAACTTCCTTGAGTCTTTTACCTAAATCCTTTGGTAGATTATTCCCAAAAATATCTGAGAATGGATGAGTTTTGGCTACAAGTCAAAAGTGAGGTCTCTTACCTGGCCACTTTGAGGGATGATGTTAGTCAGACATTCACTTGAATCCCAAGATCAAAGGGGTGAACATACAGCTTGACTACTTGTAAAAGACAACTGATCAGGAGCCACACGAACGATCTCCCCATACTCTTCATGAAGTTGACCAACCCATGCGTGGACATCACCAATCAATGAATGGTAGGTCCATGGTAATTTGGTAAACTTTGTGTACCAAGGTCCTTTGAGGCTGCGAAGTGGGTTGTAGATCAATTGGTATGCCAGAGTGCTGAGAAAACAGAGGAAAGTCTGTGATGGTCAGTATGTGTGAACTGAAAGACAGATAGCAAAAGACTCACAGTTACAGCTGCACAGCTATCAACTTATTTGAGCTCATCATCTCGGTGAGAGCGCGCCCCAAAGCGGTCGTTAAAGGTGCGTAACAGACCACAGAAGAAGAGCGCAGCGATTCCTGCAAGGGAAGTTCCTGAGCTTGTCTGCAAGAAGAAATAAGAGTAGAGATTGGAAAGAAGAGTAGAGATCTTGAGCGGTGGGGTTATTTTATAAACTGTTGCAAGTGGATATGAATCTAGCCAATTTAGGAAGTGGCTATCTGTGGCGTCGCCAAAAAGGGTAACTTTCTGATCCAGTTGTACACTTTAGAAAGTGAGGTAGTGTGAGTGAGGCTTGAACAGTCTATCATGGTAGTGAATCCTCAACCCATCGTCAGGCACCCCAAAAATTCAAAAAAAAGTCCAAAAAAAATAAGTTATCTGATAAATCAGAGGTTGGGTTCCAAAGTTTATTGTTAGACCTGATAAGCTTATAGACACCTGTCATCTTACCACCCCGAGGCCATTGCTAATAATTCAGCTTTGACGAGGATTCTCCGTAGAGGGTTGCCCAGCCTGGAACAGGGGCGCCTGAGTTTACGACTTGCGCCGTAACCACCGCACCACCAAGGCTGTACTCACTGCACTCACTGCACTCCCAGACGTACGAATACGTGTTTTTAAACAGATGCTGGAAGTTGTTTTATTAGTAGTTGTAAAGGTGTGTGGCGCGTGGGCAGACCCATTTTTAGTAGGCGTGTCCCAGGCAACGAGGGGATATTTATTCCTACGCTTCACTTTCTAATTCTTTCACATATTACAAAAGGAAATCAATGCTTCTATAGAGATCCTGAGAAGGATAGTAGTATCCACCAAGCCCTTAACCCAGAAAACCACCAGCTTTTGTCTGCAGGAATTCCATCCATATATTACCAGATTCCCAGATCAAGTTCAACACTTAGATCGTCATTTCCATAAACTAACCACCAGCAATCACCAGATCTCATTGCACCCCTTATTCTGTAACGGTACCATCACGAACAAGAATCGAAGAATTGACAACGCAACCACTGACTAACACCCACCAAGAAACTGTAGGACCCAAAGCAGCTAGTAAAGCCTATACTTTGAGCTGGTAGTTGGAATCACAAGTGGTTCGAAAGGGGCGTCGTACATATATAGCACTTTTCCCATGAACATAAGAAGTCAACCTCAAATTCTACAGATGCAAGAGCCGGCCAGTAGCATTACAGCGAGTCTACCTAGGTAGAAACCCAGATACACTTAAACTCTCATGGCTTATACATACGTGAAAGTATTCCATAGCGCGTCCTACTAGCAATGTAATTCCTTGGAAAATTGCTCTTTCGCTTATGCTACTCTTGTTTTTGGTTTGACTAACCAGTCAAATGGGTGATGTAAAAGACCTTTATTATTAAGTCTGATAGCTAAGTCCGAGGTTGCATGCCGAAGCAAGTATTGCTAGCTAAGTACCTACGTGCTTGTAGATACCGTCGACAGTTATGAAGTACAGCGATAGAACGACAACCCTGCTACAATTGCCCAGTTCTTGAATGTAAATCCTTCTTCAGCTCATTTTCTCCTCATAAGAAAATGAGAACAGATAAACAGAAAAAATCCAGCGTTCTGTAGGTATATATTGTCTTACAAACGATATGAACGTCGTAAGATTTTTCAAGCACAGCACAAGGCTAAGCGAGCTGACAACGTAATTACCCAAAGCTTGTTGGCATGACAAAGTATATTGATATCGTAAATAGAGTTAGTCTTAGAAAAGAAAAGACTCAAAGATTTCTTTAACTAGTGTTGGAAACGGGAGTTCAAGCCAATCAGTCTCCATTATTACCACCAAAAGAATAGCTCAGCCCAGAACTCCAAGAAACCATCGCAACTCATCCTCATCAACTCTACGTCTTTTGCAATCTCAAGTTCCTATAAAAGAGCAAGAATACAGTACAGGTAATTGGTGTTTGCAAAATACAGACAGCGTTCCCTATATCTAGGTAGTAGAGTAGAGTAGGACTCGCTCAATCAATCTTTACCGTAAGTAAAAGCCAGATTCGGTAGATGGTGTCACAACGACAGCCGCGCATGTGTTGATATCTTCAGCTGCTCTTCCCTCTCAGAGTTGACCCGCTGGGGAGTCTCATTATATACGATAATTCCCCGTTTGTGACGGGGTGCGGTAGACGAGAAAAGCAGCAGTATCTTCCAAAGTCTCATCCTCCCAACTCCCTAGAATAATTTCTGCTTGGGAAGAACAAGTCATGCAGAATCATAGATATAAGGAGAACTGCGAGAAGACTCAAAACCCCACGAACACTCCAAAAAAAAGGGTGCCACAAATTCGTAATGGAACCGACGATCAAAAAAAGTGACACTGCCATCGATCATCGGCATTGGACTTCCTTAAAACCAGGTTCTGCCATGATCATGGATCAATCAGTAACTGAGGATCAGCTGACGTTAGTCACCATGCATCTCCATTACCATGAAAATCCCCAGGAAAGAAAAAAAATGAAAAATCCGAAGCTGGGGTTAGTACAAGACAAGCACACACACACATACATACTTCGCGCAAGAAGCTGAACCCCGTTGGTGGAATTCTCTGCATAAAAAGTGGGCAATTTCAAGCCATAGAGCGACTCGATGTGCGAGAGAAGAAGGAAACGCACCAGGGTTCAAGATCCAATCGACCACTTCGCTGAACCCTTTACAAATATTAAATACCATGCAACCCATCCATTTTGGAAAGAGGAGGCGAGCAGGATTGCCAAGTCGGATGTCGAGCAAGTGCAGCCCCGCAGAGCCTCTTCCCCCTCTTTCGGCGAGGATGACGGGATCTTTCCCCTCTATTTAGTTGACCCGGCGCCCTTTCCTCCTTCTTCGAGCCCACGAAGGATTTGGGCGCATGAACGAGTTTGTTCTTCTCTCCACTCCACTTTGATGTACTATCGTGTTCTATAGAAGGGATATGCAATGTGGACTCCGTATCTGTGAAGTTGCGGGCCGTTGGTCCCGCAGTCCCGCCGTTGCATTTGGCGATTTGGGCGATGCAACTCGTATCATGCCTGGCTATCGATAGTAAAAGCAGCAGGAATAAGAAAAGCAATCACTTCAATTAAGCACTAAAGTGAGTGGATAATACAGAAAACTCGGTATTTTTGTGCAAAGCAATCTAGGGCGGATACTAACCATATTCAGAAGCAGTATAACACTATCTCGCTACTCCCCCAACCTACCCTGCGAAAACCAACCCACATCTTCTCTACCCTTTAACCATCTCCCTTTAACCCATCTCCATAGTTCATGTTGGAAGACCACAGGTGGGAATGTTGGACTCTCGGGAGGTACTCGCAGAACAGGTGCATTAGGGCAAAACTACATATAGATGCAGTGTGACTGTGCAGTGCTCTGATTTGATTCAGCTCTCTCGTGCGTTCCCTGCCTGGGGCTGCAAAGAAAAAAAACTTGCATGCATGGTGGCCGTACTGCAGGAGCGCTAACCTGATGTAAGTGCAAGTGCAAGTCCAGTTTTCTTGGAGACTGGATTTCTCGTAAGAAAGGTGTAAGATTGTCAGATTAAGAGGAAAATTTTCACCGGTGAGAGTGGCGGGAAGGGACAAAACAAGGCATGGACGTTGTAAACAGAGCCTCAGGTGTAAGTAAGTGTCAGCAGAAAAAAAGGCCCCCACAGCTTCTTCTGTCGTTTTTCTGCGATTTGAATACCGGAAGGTCCCTTGAAATATAGAGGAGATGTAGACAGAAAGGGGGCAGGGCAAGAGGAACTCGACCGCTCAAATACGAAATCGAATGGATCCAACTGCCGGGCTGTTGTGACACCTAAACCAGGCATTATCACGCAATCCATCTCGATTGACCGACCACAGAAGGGAAGGAATGAGTAGGTACTAGGTAGAAGCTAGAAATTTGGCGAGAAGTACCGTGTACGAGTACTGATCGCTTCGGAAGAGCTCGGTCAAGCCCGTTATATTGCCGCTAGCGATCAAAGTTAAGGTTGCATCCAAAGCTCCAATGCATGGAGATGCCTACGAGCGTGAAGGTACGCCGGCGTCTCTCAACGCGTGACGAAGAAGCAGATGCACCAGTAAGAAGTGTGAGAGGCGCAGAAAACCCGGTGAAGATCGTGCTCGTCTGCATTGCTACCCGCGTCCTAGAAAGCAGTTTGCAGTAAGAGATCGTCGTCCTAGACTGTATCGAGTAACAGCCATGAATGATGGGGGTCAACAGAAGCCGAGATAGTTCCTCAGCTGCTTGTTTGGTGATCGCTGGATCGCTTGAGGCCCCTATCATGGCATCGCCCTCGACCGGTAACCAAAGAAGAAAGACGAGCACTCGAGTATGCCCGTACTTTATATCTGCAGTGCTAGTGCACGACGGACCTGGAGCTGGACCTGTCACCTGGGGCGGAGGACGGCATTCCTCTCCCCGAACTACGACGCCTAGGAGAAGCAGAAGCAGAAGCATCAAGCGTGGCCTGATAGGAACCCAGCCCTATACTCAAGTAGTATTAGTAGGAAATATCGAGTACGTCTTACGGTGCTTCCTGGTAGTTAATGGATGTATGGTGGAGACGCTCAAAGGCAGCAACACTGCTCCCTGGTAGCGAATGGATGTATAGACTTCATGTGTTCGTAAAGAGAGGAGCTATGGCCCAAGCAGCTTGTAGATATCCGCCGAGGAATCGAGGATGTATAGGTATCTAGATAAGTACAGACCGCTGGGTACGTAGGTAGCTGGAGCTATGGTCTTGCTTGCAGAGGCCATATTCGAAACTGCCACATATACATTGCATCGACGTAGTGCAGTAGGCAGATGTAGGTTCAGCGATACGGCATCATCTGTTCCACTGCTATACGGAGTATGCTATACGGAGTATGCTGGACGGGTAAAGTGGACAGCACTGTAGGAGGTAGTGTTCTGGCACCCATCGCCATAAGAGCTGTGGTGTTGTTGGAAAAACTCGGCTGTGAGTGTGGAGCTCGAGCCACCAAAGCCTGGGCGTGCCAATTATAGCTTTTCATTGGCGAGCCTACACAGGTACAATAGCCGGGCTCCTACTAGTGTAGTGCTAGCAGCCCTAGCTCCCCTAGCCCCTAACTTTACAGGCACTGACAGGCACCTCCTGGCGGACCAAGGAGCTAAGCCCAAGAGCTGCCGCGTCGACAGACTCACTTTCTTGCGCTCCAACTTCCTGCATTGCATCAACTACCTCTCAAGGTCACTCCACCGGCTCTCTCGACAGCTGCCATTGTACCACCCCAAGGTGAATTGCCCTGCTTCTGCCATTGCTAACATTTCCGCGACCCCCGCGCCGTTGCCCGACTTAGGTTGCCTGCTAATCTTGTCGTCCAGCTTCCGGCATTGGACCTCCGTGCGTGGCCTTCATCGCAGAACTGCAGCATCAACACCGAAAACTGCTGCACATCCCCATCCCCATCCCTATCCAAGGCGAGGTAAGGACTTCATCATACACCCACACCCATCGCAGCTCTAGTCCCCGTCCACGTTCATCCCTCCGGCGAGTCCACCAACGCACCGCGCATCGCATGTGCTCTGCGCAGCGATGCACAGCATTTGGCATGGCTGCAAGATGGCGTGGGATGGTCAGCAAGGCCGGCCTCCCTCTCCAGCTGGTGGCCAGAGGCAGAGGGAGCTCTCCACGGTGGAGGAGGAGCTGCAGCCATAGAGAGGCAGAATGGGGCAGAAAGGCATGGCAAGGCATAGCATGGCATGGGCAGACGAGAGGTCGCAGCAGTACTGTAACATTCAGGTACCTGTACCTGTACCTACCTGACGACCTCAATTGCGCCAGCTCCAGCTCCAGCTCCAGTGCCTTCGGCTTTGCCTCCAGGTCGCGGTGCCATGCCATCCCCCCCCCAAAAACTGTCAGACACGGCATCCTCCCCAGTCCTGGCCAGCGTGCGCGGTGATTGGAGATGCTCGCCTCACCCACAAACTTTCGCCAGCGTCCCACTAATTCGTGGTGCCTACAGATTTCCCATTCACAATCCTGGTGCACAGCGCGAATTCAGAACGTCCGGCAGCTCAGCATATTGTTGTTCCATCACCAGAGTATCCCAAGTACCTATCAAACATGGGTATGTTGTGCCTTCCCAACACCTGCATTCACTGGCTGTTACGGGCCTGGGACTGGTGACTCGCTTTACAGTCCTCAACTATTAGTCCAAGCGAGCGTCGCCAGTCGCCAGTCAGTCCAGCTGCTGCTCTTGCTCTTCTCTTCTCCACCCCCTCCCCACTCTGTCTTCAACTCTGTTCTTGGACACGCTTGAATACTGCTAACACTTGCTCTCCGATCCATAGCAGACGATAGCTACCGACCAAGTGTAAGTTGACTGTTTCCTCATCTGTATATTCAAGGTCCTCGCTTTTCTAGCCGAGACACACACCCACCCAGGCCGCAGATATCTGCAGCCCTGTTGTCGCTGTCCGCGCCTGGCAAACTGACTTTTGCAACCAACCTATCTACCAACCAAGCCACACCCTTCGAGGGGCCAGCTAATCAACGCAATCCCCCTTCCATCACCATTCTCTTCCTCTCCTCTTCTCTCCTCCTCGCATCCTCGCTACCAAAAAAAACACCTCCCCATCATGCTTCAATCACAGACTAAATTGGTGCGACAGAATCGCGAGAGATCTCGGTCTCGATCCCGCTCCCCTCGTCGCAGTCGTCGACGTTCATACTCCCCCAGAAGGTCCCGCTCCCGCGACAACCGTAGATCTCGTTCTCCAATGTCGGGCGCAGGTGCAGGTGCGGGTTCGGGTGGTTCAGCTTACGGAGGTGCTCCAAATAGGTCGTTTGAAGAGCGTACCGCTGCGCGAGAGCAGATGATGAGCAGCCTTCGGGAATCTTCGCAACAAGACCGTCGTGTCTACGTCGGTAACCTTTCATACGATGTGAAATGGCATCATCTCAAAGATTTCATGAGATCTGGTTAGTTTTGAGGATGGCTTCGGCAAGGAGATATAGGGGCTAACGGGGGTTATTTTGCAGCTGGAGAGGTCTTATTTGCAGACGTGTTGTTACTTCCGAATGGAATGTCGAAGGTGGGCGCCTACACGTAGCTGGCTTTTTTGAGTCTTTTTCTTTTTTGGTCATTGATGGAATGTTGGATTGACGGATTGGGACGATGTTCCGCGGGATATGTAGGGATGCGGGTAAGTTTGATGCCTTCTGTCGAATTTGGGGATCAATTGCTAACTCGACTTCAGCATTGTAGAATATGCCACGAGGGAACAGGCCCAACAAGCCGTAAACACGCTAAGCAACCAAAACCTCATGGGAAGACTCGTCTATGTTCGCGAAGTACGTATAGCACCCAGGTCTGGCGCAGAAGGCGCGCTAATCTTGCCATTAGGACCGTGAGGCCGAACCTCGATTTACTGGCCCACCAGCCGGTGGCCGCGGCGGATACGAAGGTGCTCCAGGCGGACGCGGTGGATTTGGAGGTGGATTCGGAGGCGGCATGGCTGCAGGCGGTGGTGGTGGCGGCCGTCAAATCTACGTCTCCAACGTTTGTTATATCCTTCCCCATGACATGACGGTTTGCGGTGATACTAATTTCAACTGAAAATAGCTACCTTACACTGTAGGATGGCAAGATCTCAAAGACTTGTTCCGTCAAGCTAGTAAGTTCCGTCTTTGCTGCTAACTTATATACAGTCGAGCATGCCATTAACACTTTTCTTCCTCTAGCTCGCAATGGTGCTGTCATTCGTGCAGATGTTCACATTGGTCCTGATGGTCGTCCCAAGGGATCTGGCATCGTCGTTTTCGAATCTCCAGATGATGCTCGCAATGCCATTCAACAATTCAATGGCTATGACTGGCAAGGACGCCCTCTAGAAGTTCGAGAGGATCGATTCGCTGGTTCTGGTGGTCCAGGCTCAGGATTTGGTGGCCGTGGTGGCTTCGGCGGTGGTCGCGGTGGCTTTGGTGGAGGATTCGGAGCCCGAGGTGGATTTGGTGCTCGTGGTGGATTTGGAGGTGGATTTGGAGGTGGTCGAGGTGGCTTCGGAGGTGGTGCTGGTGGTTATGGAGGAGGTGGATACGATGCCGGCGCTGGAGCACCTTCTGCACCACCAAACCCATTTACCGACTTCGCAACCGCTGGCACTGAAAGAAGTGAGATTATTTACGTCCGCAACGTGAGTTTTTGCGCTTCTGGTCGGTACTCGAGAATCAAAATACTAATGTTTGCATTTAGCTTCCTTGGTCTACAAGCAATGAGGATTTGGTTGAGCTCTTTACTACCATTGGCAAGGTTGAACAAGCCGAGATCCAGTACGAGCCAAATGGCCGATCCCGCGGAACTGGTGTCGTTCGCTTCGATACTCCTGAGAACGCAGAAACCGCCGTTGAAAAATTCTCTGGTTACCAATACGGAGGTCGCCCACTCGGATTGACTTTTGTCAAGTACCAAACTCCCGGTGGAGGTGATGCCATGGAAACTGAGGCAACCAATTTGACGCAGGATCAGATCATGTAAATATGCCACTTCACGACATATTTGCTATCTCTTCTGGGTCACTTGGCCTTTACGACACATTTCCATCACCTGCAATTCAGCTATCCTGTAACAACTTCTCTCCGAGACTCAGATGTGGGAAAGAGGTCTGATAGCAACCACTCACCCGCACCGCTTCGCGTTTCTTTCGTAATATTACTTCCTTGTCTCTGTCAATTTGAGGGTGAACTTTAGGTCTGTGCAATGGTGGATAAATTTTCTCCAATCCTCCAAAAAGTTTTCTCTCTACCAGAAGCACTCTCTTCTAGAGCAGGTAGTAGCACAATATGATGATTCCTATCCTGCTCGTTTTTCTATTAACAATTGTGAATCCTGATAACTCCTCCTATCACAAAGCAGCTATAGCTGTCATTCTTTTTGTCCGAGTTATTCACTGCACAAAGAATTATTTATAGTACCTTGCTGACTTGATGAATGTTCTTCGCGAGTGAATTACAAATCAAGCTACATCTATTGCATGTAAGTACTGACGGTCTCTTTGGATTGTGGCACAGAAGCTGATAATTTAGTGAAGTGTATGATTTACATCGACAGCAAGCTCCTTAAGAGGGCAACTGTTTGATAATCACAAGATCTATTAATAGACTTCTACTCTCCCCTGTCTTCTATCTCTACTATCAAATGGGTGAAGGAGAAATCTGTGGAGCAAAGGGTACTAGCTCGGGTTAATTTCCTCCAGCTCTTTAGCCCTCCTGCTCTATTATCTGAGGCGCAGTTCATTTACCCAGTCACCACATGGACTTTAATATTCCTTCCTACCTCCTTCCTACTGACTGAATAGAATTTCTTGCTAGCTCTTCTGAAGAATAGCTTTTGTGGGGAAGTGGCTGTGACCACAAGAGAAGGGAGGGGTTATGACATCAAGAGAAAATTGCTGTAGTTCTGTCTATTGTTATGTCAAAAGGTCTCTAGGGCTCTTATTCCATGCCCTTAGAAACATTTGTCATAATACTAGACAGAGTTACGCAGATGAGATCTTGTATCAAGAGCAAGCCTACGAATTTACATTGCACGAAAAAGGGATCTACTAAACAATCACGTGTATTGTACTCAATGCTTTCTTGGTCATATTTACTCCCAAACACGAGGACCGTCAATACAATTGACTGTGATTCATGAATTGACACCTGCGGTGAATAGGTGTTATTCACTTTTCTTATCAAGGCTCAAGTCATACCAGTGCTATTTCAATCACCTCCACTTCCTTTCTCACGATCCTTCCTTCTTCTACATTACCACTTATTCACATTCGTTCTACCAACTCCAGGCTATCTCCACATCCTCAGTATTTTTAAACAGTCGTTCCTCCAAGATCTCCCCAGTCATCATCACCTCAATACCACACACACACATACAAATTCCGCCTGACATTCATTGACTCCAACCTCGTCGCAACACACATTCGCAATCGCTACAGATATTTCCAGATTCCTCAGGTATTCTCACACATTTCAGTGCTCAGATGTGTCTGATAAAACCCGTCAAATATCTATGCTGCAGGAGGGTCTACGTTGAGGTCTCGAAACTTCCTAGCTGTTCGCCAGACTTTCCCGAAGTAAAATGTCCCCCAGACCTGTGTCTTCAGGTTCACGCTTTTGAGCCTGAATATAAAGCGGCAGAGTTTGAGTGCTGGAGATGCAAGGCAAAGAACATCGATGCCACTCTTCCAGAGCGAGAGCGTATGCGCCCAAAAATAGACAAGGCAATCATCGATTTGAGTTCATTGGAGACAACAATTGCAGAACGACGAGTGGCCTACGAGGATGACGAGCAATGTTGGTTCTGCCATTCTAGAGCTGGTTGTGGAACTTGTGGAGCCAAGAAGATCTCAGAAATCAATGCCCAAAGACGTGCCTTATGGCAGGACCAACACGAAGAACACGAAGAACACCAAGAGGATCCCACTACACCATCCACGAAGAGATTGCGAGAACCAGATCTTGACTCCGAAGCAGGAGCTAGGAAAGGAAAGCGTCGTGCTAAGAACCCACGCAAGATCAAGACTGAGAGGAAGGGTAAGAAGTCGACAAAGGCTGAGAGCTCAACGAAGGCCTCTGGCCCAGTCGTCACTCATGGTCAACAACCACAGCAGCCATACTACATCAACCCTCAACACCCTTCTCCCCATTTAATGCCTCCAGCAAACCCTCAATATGGAAATCCCTTCAGTCCAATGAGTCAGTCAAGCAATGCCTTTGCTAACAGGCAAGTTGGCTCCCCAGCTGTACATGGAATGCAGTCACCATATCCGGAACTATCTGGCAATCCATCTGGCAACACTTGGTATCCCCCACATCCCGTTACGCATCACGGTCTTCCGAGTACGCCTGCAAGTGGTTGGCAATCATTGAACAACATCAGCCCAGACAATCCGCAATCGGCGGTCCAGATGACTCCCAGCTCACATGGTACAGCCAACAATGACGACCTAGCTTTGGCCAACTTTGATCCAACCCTTTTTGAAGCTACACCACCAAAGGGAGGGTCGAAGGCTGAAGATTCACCTGGACCAAGCCAGATTCCAATGGCACCTGTAAATGATATCCCTTCCCCTTTTCACCTAGCAATAAAGTTAACCTTTATACAGAACATGAACGCAAACGATTTCGAATTCAATGGAAATGGTCAAGATTTTGTTCTTTTCGATGGCAATGATGTTGGAAACAAGGCACCTTTCATTTTTGGAAATCCCTCCCATAGGAACCTTTTCGCTAATTTCGACTTCCAATCCACACCATCTTCTGACAGGGATAATCAATCTGTCGGCTCACCATTCGGTTCATACCCCCTTCCGTTTTCTCCCGAAGACCCGGATTCTCAGATAATGTCCCCTTTCGGACAATACCCTGAGCTTCCACCTGATATGGGGAATTGAGCAACTTTTTACGTGATTCCACCCTCCTCATTATTAACATACGCCCTGGTATACTTGCAACCTGCCTATACGTCTAAATATCAATATTCCCACAAGTATCGTTATTCTCCCACGCTCATTCTTACCACGCATGATTCACATCTTGCAACCAGCCAACACTTCAGAATCACAGCAACATACGTCAGACATCCACCACCCCACAAACACATTCACATTCATATTCCGACAATATCTCTATCACACCATCCAATCAGTTCGGTTCCGCAGATCGCAAAGGCACAATTGGTGTGAGACATGTATTATATCACAACGATACGTGGGAATATTTTTTCCTTTGTTTTCTCTCTCCATTGTCGTTTCCATCATTTCTGTACTTTTTCTACGGGCACGGCAGGGGTCGATCGGTTTTCCACACGGGGCTTATACCAAGAACTCAGGTTGATCCCGATTCTTTACAGCTTTTCGCGTTTTCCTTGTTTCCTTGTTGGGTTCGGGGCGTTCAGGCGGTATGGCATACGGCAAGACATACGACGGCATGAATGGAACGAGAGAGCCATTTTCGGTATATGCTAAGCTTGTTGGAACGATTACGGTGCAGGATGGAGGACTAAGATCTACCATCCGGAGCATTCGTCTTATTAGAGATACGGATGGGGAGATCGCTTGCATAGACCGGAGTTATCTTCTCTCTCTTCTTATCTTTACTACTTTTCATTCATGGCGTTCAGGGGCGGGGGAGAATGGTTCATCAGACAAGATTCCGATCGCTGGATTGTTTTTTAGACTGGTGCTGCCGCGATGGCACATCAGGCAGTTTGATCGAGATAATATTTAGATGGCTGGTGCCGCGAAGGTATCGCCAACCATAGACATTGGTGAACTTGGGGTAGATTGAGATTTATTATAGATTTCTGGATCTGAGAACATATTGGGTATCCAATCTCTTTTATTTACTACCATTTCCTTTTCTTTTCCTTTCTTTGCATAGCGTGGCATGGCATAGCGGGTTGGCGAGTTAATATTGTTATGGGTTTTTTCTTTAGTTACACACGATGACATTTTCCTTCCTTTTTGACAATCTGTTTGCAGGCAAATATCTTTTCTGTATTTAGAAGCAAATGTGGCTCAGAATGAAGTCTTACAGGTATGTTTTGGGACTGGTGACTGTACTTGCGAGTTCAACCTACGTAACCGTAGCAATGGGAGTCAACCAGTTCTCTGTGATACTGACTGGAGTTCCGTCACATATGTGAATAAACGTGTGCAAAATTATTGACCAGAAAGCAATCATGGAAATTAGCCACCGTAGAATTGGACTTGGTACATCCCCAAACGCCTTTTCCCGCACGCCAAATGCTACTGCAAATGCCACACGCCTCTTCATCCCCTCATCACGACATGCTTCTCATCCACTAGACAATTCACACTCATGCCTTCTTAGCCTCCCCACCAGCACCCAGCTTCTTCTTCTTAGCCTTCAGCTTCTCCTTGGCCTTACTTCTATCCCGCTTCTTCAATCCGCTCATCTTGCCCTTACACACCTCCGCATACCGCGTGAAGAACCCTTCTAAGGCATCGTATTCAACGATTGTAGATAGCTTTATTTTCTTCCCCTCTGCGCGGGCGGCCTTGGACTTTCCGTTGGTGGCTCGGACTATGATTGAGGTGGGAGAGGCGAGAGATTGGTCTGGGAAGGGTGTTTGTGGTTCGGTCGCTTCTTGTGGTGTTGGTTCGGCGGAGGTGCCGTACGTCACTAGAATGATTGAGTAAGTGTTTGTTGTCAATTGTAAGAGGTACGGGCGCTCATACTGCGTTTTTGGGTGAGGTAGATGGAGCCGTGAGTGGAGGACTCAAAGAGAGTTGCTAGTTGGGCGAAGAACTGTTTGTTTGTGGTGTTAGCTGTATGTTTTTTGTTTGTATTTTTGGAGTCCTATGGGGGAATTGGCTAGAATTGCAATGTACCTCATCGTTGTTCAGGTGTTCTTTGGCCATAATTGCGGGCTTGTGTTGTCTGTCAACCGTCCCTCCGCGAGAACGATGCAGTGATGCTTGAGGTCAGGGAAGGCTGTGGTGGGGTGAACAGAAAGTGTGGGGTGAAGCTTCGGCAAAATTGTGGGGGCGCCGTCCATTTTACCTATCTTCAGCCTCGGGAACTTTTTTTTGCTTCTAGAAGAGCAGACTTTACAATGCCGCCACCAAATAAGCTAAAGCTTCCAAAGCAATTGATTGATCAGCTCGGCGGAGAAGGTGATTGTAACTCAAACTGAAAGATGTAATGTATGCTAAGTACCATTTACAGATGCCCTTTCTGGACGTCGAAGATCCGGTGGTGGCCGTCCTACAGCAAGAAAAGACCTTAGAAAAGCTGCGAGAGCAGAGAAGAAGTCTTTAAGAAATGGACCTCCTCCTTCGAAGAGGCCCAAGATACAACACCACCGAGAGCCAGAAGAAGAGGAAGAAGAAGAATATGAACGACCAGCGCCTCGAGCCACAAAGCCACAACCCGAACGAGAAAAGGAGCCAAAACCAAAATCGATTCTAAAGACCACAAAAAAGGCTGATCCGATACCCCGCGCCGATTCCCGCTCGATATCTCCGCCTCCCAGGAGGATACCGCAGGCTGTGAAGGACCAGTTGGCGTATGAGGACGAGGAAATAGCTGCGCTGGAGAAGAAATTGGGACTGAAGGGGAAGAAATTGCCTCAGAGTTTTACAGATGATGGTCTGGATGAGTTGTTGGAGGGCTTGGATGGAGGGGAGGATGATGATGAGGATTTGAGCGAAAGGAAGAAAAGAAAGGCCGAAGGGGACGAATGGCTGGACAGAAAGAGGAGCGAGGCGCGGAAACGGGCAAAGGGTCAGTCAACTAAATCTATGCCCGAGGATAATGAAGAAGAAGAAGAGGACGATGACGAAGATCTGCTGGATGGGGAGAGCGACGAGGAGTCAGATGATGATGGAGCTTCAGATATGTCCTTGGATGGACCGGAATTCCCAGATGATGTTTCGGAAGATGATTCTATGGATCTTGGGGGAGATGGCGATCAATTGTACGATGATGATTTTGGTGGATTTGATGGCTCTGGCGATGAGGAAGACGAAGAAGAGCCAGCACCAAGAGTTCGAGAAAATCCATATGTTGCGCCTACAACAAGCGCCCAGCCGGTGCAAAAGTACATTCCTCCCTCTTTACGAAAAGCTGCATCTTCAGATTCAGAGGCTTTAGTTCGATTACGCCGACAAACCCAGGGATTGGTCAACAGATTGACTGAGGCGAACTTAATTTCCATCCTTGGAGAAATTGAAAAGCTTTACCGGGATAATGCAAGACAACATGTCACCTCGACGCTTGTCGATCTTTTATTGACATCTGTCTGTGAACCTACGAGTTTGCCAGATACGCTTATCATTCTTCCCGCTGGATTTATTGCTGCAGTCTACAGAATCATTGGCATGGATTTTGGTGCTCAAATCGTTCAAAAAATAATCGAACTTTTCGATGAGCATTATGTATCTGCGAACGATAATATAGGTCCAGGTGCTGCTACATCCGATAGTAGTAAGGAAACATCAAATTTGATTATGCTGCTTTCCGAATTATACAACTTTCAAGTCATTGGAAGTAATCTGGTTTATGATTACGTCAAGCTATTTTTGTCAAATTTGTCTGAATTAAATGCTGAGCTTCTCTTGAAGATTATTCGAGCTTCTGGACCGCAATTACGGCAGGATGATCCATCGTCGTTGAAGGATATTGTTCAAATGTTACGACCGGCTATGGCGAGTATTGGAGAGGAAAACATGTCAGTGCGGACCAAATTCATGATTGAGACGATCAACGACTTGGAAAACAACAAAATGAAGACCGGTGGAGCAGCTTCTGTAATCACATCAGAGCATACGATCAGAATGAAGAAGACTTTGGGTACGCTCAACACACGAAGTATCAAGGCAAGCGAGCCATTGAGAATAGGCCTCAATGACATCAAGGACTCTGATAAAAAGGGTAAATGGTGGCTCGTTGGTGCTAGTTGGTCAGGCAATACCGCCGAAGAAGACAAAGATATCAAAAGCACAGCTACTGTTGTCAAACGTGTTGAGGATTCTAGTACATCGGATCTCCTTCAGCTCGCAAGAGAGCAGCGCATGAATACCGACGTTCGTCGAGCAGTATTTGTCACGATTATGTCTGCCACAGACTTCCAAGATGCGTACCTCAAGCTTCTAAAACTCAAACTCAAAAAAGTACAAGAATTTGAGATCCCAAAGGTTTTGATCCACTGCTCTGGAGCGGAGAAGATCTACAATCCATACTATACCCTCATTGCAAAGAAGATATGTGGAGACAGGAAGCTCAAAACTGCATTCCAATACTGCCTTTGGGACATTTTCAAGAAGATGGGCGAGTCAGACGGTGACGATAATGAAGCCATGGATGAAGACGATGAAGGGATGGATACACGACGCATCGTCAATCTGGCCAAGATGTTTGGAACTCTCATCGTCGAAGGGGGACTCAGTCTTGGTGTTTTGAAAAATCTCAATTTGAGCTATCTCCAACCAAAAACCAAGACTTTCATGGAGGTTTTGTTCATCACTATTTTTCTACAATCTCAGAAAGCGGCTGGGGATAAAAGAGATAAGAAACCTGTTGTCAACGTCATTTCGAAAGCACAGGACACGCCACATCTCATCACTGGTTTACAGTACTTTTTGAGGAAAGTTGTCAGTAAGACTGATATCGCGGGTGGCAAAGAGGAGAAGGCGACTGTGAAGTGGGCGTGTAAAGTAGCGAGAGATACCCTGGAAGCGTTGGTTGCGATCGATGCTCCTAAACCTTGAGCTCGTTTCTCAACAAGTTGTTTTGATGTTGGGATAACAAGATATCTAGATATTGTAATGAGATGGGCGATTTTGAGAATAATACCTCTATCATAGTGGTGATATGAGTGTACAAGTGTTGATGTGAGTATCAATATCTCTGGAAGTTTAAATTTCTAGTATGTTCTGTTCACGTTTCTAATAAAATACAAGTAATTGTAATCTACTGGCGCTGTTTGGTTACAAATATTGCCCCTCTCGCCCCTCGTCGGTTAAAAACGGAATCTTGGCACTCCATTCTTGAGTGATGCCTCAAGTGCCTTAGGCCCCGGCCGGAACAAATATCCTTCCCTTTGGTTCGCGAATAGATTCAACCAGATTGATCCAACATACAACCACCCTTCAAAATGTTTCGAAGTTTATTAGTGCCCAGAGTGGCAGTCCGTTCAGCTTTCAAGCAACAGTCGTCGTAAGTTTTGGCCCAATTGGCCCACCGCTTTGATCCGGCACCGCAAGCTGACGTCGATTTTTTAGCCTTCCTACAGTAGTTGCCCCTTCAGCAATTGCAAGACTGTCAAAACGAAGTTATGCGACGGAGGCCGGTTAGTTGCCAAGATGGATGGCTGCAGTTGGATTCAAGCTGATATGTCGCAGAGCAGGATGATCTGGTCGTCATCGGAGGTGGTGTAGCTGGATATGTCGCTGCCATCAAGGCCGGACAAGACGGCATGAAGGTACACAGTACCCAACATTGCAGGAGATCTGCGAAGTTTCTAACCTCCAGATAGGTTACGTGTATCGAAAAGCGCGGCACATTGGGTGGCACATGTCTGAACGTTGGCTGCATACCTTCGAAAGCTCTCCTCAACAACTCACATCTATACCACACCATTCTCCACGACACAAAGGCGCGCGGCATCGAAGTTGGTGATGTCAAGCTCAACTTGGGAACAATGATGAAAGCCAAGGAGACTGCAGTGTCTGGATTGACAAAGGGTATCGAGTTTCTTTTCAAGAAGAACAACGTCAAATATGTCAAGGGCACAGCATCTTTCGCCAATGAGCGCGAAGTTAAAGTCAATCTTGCAGATGGAGGAGAGCAAACCGTTTCCGGAAAGAACTTCATTATCGCTACTGGTAGTGAGGCTACTCCATTCCCAGGTCTCGAAATCGATGAGAAGAGAATCATTACAAGCACTGGAGCTATCGCTTTGGAGAAGGTCCCAGAAAGTATGGTTGTGATCGGTGGTGGTATTATTGGTCTTGAGATGGCCTCAGTTTGGTCAAGATTGGGCTCCAAAGTTACTATTGTTGAGTTTTTGGGACAAATCGGTGGCCCAGGAATGGATGCCGAGATCGCCAAAGCTTCGCAAAAGATCTTGAAGAAGCAGGGGATGGAGTTTAAGGTCAACACAAAGGTTATGGGTGGTGATGTTAGCGGGGACAAGGTCAAGCTGCAGCTTGAGTCTGCTAAGGGCGGCAAAGAGGAGACGGTAAGACATAATCACAGCGGAGAGTCGCAATGCAACAAATGTACTGATGAAAATATGCAGATTGACGCAGAGGTCGTTCTCGTCGCCATTGGTCGACGACCATACACCGCTGGTCTCGGGTTAGAAAATATCGGCCTTGAGACAGACGATAAGGGAAGACTGGTGATCGACCAAGAATACAGAACCAAAATTCCTCACATTCGTGTTATCGGAGACTGCACGTTCGGACCTATGCTTGCTCATAAGGCTGAGGAGGAGGCTGTTGCGGCAATTGAGTACATCCAGAAGGGTCATGGCCACGTCAACTATGGTGCCATTCCCTCGGTCATGTACACACATCCCGAGGTGGCGTGGGTTGGACAGAACGAGCAGGAGGTCAAAGCCTCGGGTGTGAAGTACAAGATTGGCTCGTTCCCTTTTTCAGCCAACTCGAGAGCGAAAACCAATCAAGACAGCGATGGATTGGTGAAAATGATCGCCGATGCCGAAACGGATAGAATACTTGGTGTTCACATTGTTGGGCCAGGTGCTGGTGAGATGATTGCTGAGGCGACCTTGGCTATTGAGTACGGTGCTTCTAGTGAGGATATTGGACGAACGAGTCACGCTCACCCAACCCTCTCGGAGGCCTTCAAGGAGGCTGCTATGGCAACGTATGGCAAGGCCATTCATTACTAAGTTGTAGGTATCGGGAATTGTTGCATTGTAGAAGGCATCGCAAGGACGGTTTGGAACTCTTGAGTTGAGTGCGCTCAGTTTCCCCCCCCACATAATATGATTCCCTTGTTGTAAGATATATTACATTAAATGCATATTTTGATGACGATGTTTCTTCTGGTTTTTGTTACGAGGTTTATTTCGCGACGTGATGTTGCTGATGTTGAACGTTGAGGCTCCAGCTGACGGAATGGGCTGATTACTTTGGATGGGAATCTGGTTTGTCGGTCCAATGGATATGGAGCTTTTGATCCGGATCACGCAACGCTAAGTTCAATCCATACCATCATTGCCTAGTAGTGCAACGTGACAGCTCCATTCTAGGATTTCTTTTTCTTTGGGGCTCTCATTCCTTGGGTAGCTTTGTATCTGCCCCCCTGTTTCTGCATGTAAAGGTGCGGACAAGGATGCTATAGAAACATGGCAGTATGAAAATCAGTTTCCAACAGGTCGAAATGCAAGCAAATGCAAATGAGAAGTGATCGCTGGTTTCGCAATACTGTACCAGAGGATCCTGGCATATCTTGGAATGTTGTTGTTGTGTTGACTTTAGTCAGATCTCAAATTGCTTGGAAAGTTGAGGAGTGCTCCTGTTTTAGCCGAGAAATTTCATTGGGACTTCAAACTTGTGTTGATGTCAGTGACTCTGAAGGACGGTCGTCTTTTTGTGGGGTTCGGCATGCTGCAAGCTGCTTCCTTCCTGGACTTGTCACGATGAGATGGGCATGGATTAGGCCTGTAAATATAATACACGAGACGGTCACAGCACGGAGCTCTTTACTTGGGATCGTTCATTAAACTTGAAGCTGTCAGATTATTTACTTCTACGGGTACATTTTCAAGTAGGTACCTAGGTACCGGTACCGTATGTTCCTAAGCCCAAGAAAATCTAGAATCCCTGTTTCTTCACCTGCGCCGCGTTTTCCTGGAGGGTCAGGTTGGCATTTGGGTCCACGAAGCCACAGCCCGTCTTTCCATTCTGGTTCTCAACACCTCCGCCCACGCCAGAGCAAACACCAACGTTGGTCCTGCCACTGATGCCGCTGACGGCTCCTCCGGCGCAGCATTTTGAACCGCAGTCCGCGTCGCTGATACAACCGCCTGTGCCAGCTGTTAACCACACATACCTCATTGCATTGTTTGGCGCAGGAGAATTTACCAACGGTGAACTGGCCTCCACTGCCCTTTCCAACAGCCCCGGCGCCTGCATTTACCGTGGTAACTGCGCGGGCGGCAATGCTTGGGAAGAAGGAGCCTGGTAGGGAGAAGGCTACGAACGGAACTGTCGATATTTATTAGTAAAGGAATACTGAAATAGTGGTCAACGGGGTCACTAACTGGCAATAAAAGCCGCAATGCTAGTAAGGTGAACCATTTTGATGAAGGAAGGTCTAGTAAATAAACGACGCCGGGTCGGTAGAATGGAAGAAAGATACAGAGGAGAAAAGACTGGAAGTGAGAAGACAATAGAGATAGAGACAAAAAATCAAAGTCATTCAGCTGATGGCAGACATTATATACGTCGAAAAGCTATGGTGAGGCCATGGGCGATAAGAATACGAGGAGCTCCCAAGTTGACGAGTCGTCTGATATGTGGAACTCGACATCAGATGAGTTTCGGACGCAAAACCTTAAAACAAATCATCGCTGAGTTGATCGTGCCAAAGAGCGAGATAAAAAGCTTCCCCACGGCCATACCAGGTCGAGACGGCCCAAACGGGGAATTCTTGATTCTTTCACTGTTACAGGATCATCCGGTCTTTGCCACGAAGTCCTGCCGGCTACCTACCGGTAAGCGATCTGAGCAATTTGATAGCGAGACAGCGTCAAGATGACAGAGATGAATAGAATTACGGAGAGATGCCTTGGGCACCTTAATCATACCGCAGTGTGGGCGGATGCGAGGATAGCCGTACATTTTCATTTCGAAGAATTCGAAGAAGTCGAAGAAGACTTTTTTCAAATTCTCCTCGTATGTCGGATTTCCAACCGAGGAAATGTGCCATCAAAAACGGGTTACGGTTTGTTAAGATCGTCGCAGATCTTAATGAACCGTAGACTTGTCCACGTTGTTAACCTTATTGGTGTACTTAATTCTGGTTGGTCTAAAGTGTTCCTACCTTCTTAGAATCATGCGGAAGATGTCAGATTTCTATTGTAAGATTTACTCTTAATAACACACAACTTTTGATTGCAATATGGTAAATTAGGCTACTGAAAAAGCTCCTTTAATAACAGAGTAACGATTTAAGCCAGACCCAACAGACCCAGACCCAAACTTGAAAAGAAAAGCTTCGGAAAGGTTTCATGAAGTATGAAGCAATCGTGAAGTTAGTTCAAGCTCAAAAGCAATCATAAAGTGAAAACTATTGAGAAATGTTAGTAGAGAGGGATGGATATGTTGAAGTGATAGATTTGAACTTACCGAATACCGCCAGTCAACTCCGCAAAGCCATGGGGTAACTAATTATTTACACACAAAGAAGATTTCGAATTTATAAAAGCAAAAGGAAAGGAAATAAGACCCAGATCCCTGATAAAACGCAGAGCGAGAGACCACGGTGATTGAGGGAATCAGTAAAAAGCTCGTCTTCGGCTCATGATTCCACCTCTCCCTCCGAAAACGTTGTTGAAGCCAAGGCTATTGTACCACGAAACTGTTCGCTGGCGAGGAACATATTCCCTATGATCCGGCATGTCAGAAAGCTACGTGAAGTAGAAGCACAAGTGAGACTTCTTGAGAAGTTTTTCGGAAAAGGAAGCCTTACTTACATTCTCGGATCGTAGTAACAACCACCTCCGTATGCTCCTCCACGGCCAGAAAACCCTCCAGAGTATCCTCCAGCATATGCGTCATCACAAAAGTCGCAGAGAGAGCAGGTACAGCCGTAGTAACCCGCATCCATACCATATTGGCTAACGATACATGATTGACAGATGTGTTGCCCGGCCGTAATGTCACAGTCGCAGCAGTCGTAGCTTAGATGGCGAGGTAGACCGCGGTTAGCGCCAAGTTGAGAACGAGGGCGAAGACCGATGTAGGGCCCCAATCGTGACATGATATTTTGCATGCCAAGCATGTTTGAGCGATGAAGAGAAACGGCCATTTTAAAATTTGTCAAAGATAATTGAGGTGTATGATGAGTTCTTGGGTGTATTTATGTTGTGAGAGTAACTCTTTTGATGATGGTAGAGATTCATCCAGAGTTGGAGAAGGAACGGGCCTTCTATATAGAAAAAGGGAAGCCGTTGTGGAGAGACCGTTGTCGGCGATTAGGCTACAGTAGGGCTTTCAAGTTACAGCTTTTCTGTGAGACTACATTAAAGTTAACCATCCACTGGTGTGCAGCTTTGACGACTCCGCCATAACCGTGATACAACGAAGTGCAGATTGAGTGCATATAGCGCTGTCTACCTTGGTATCAAAAGGCGGAGTAATTCGCTGGTTTAATGACTACCAGTTACAAGTCTGCCCACATCGAGCAATGTTCCATGCAATGTAGCAAGCCTGTGGTCTTATGGGAGGCCTCTTTTGGTGTCATCGTGCCACTGCACCAACTACGCTGGGCGTTAGTATATCAAGGGTTGTGTGGAAAAGCTAGCAAACATGATCCAGGGAACGAATGGTGTGCTTGACCGCCAAATAGAAGAAATCATCGTCCAACTTCAACAAGGAACTGAAGAAGGACGAGTGACCTCGAATCCTTGTCGTAAGCGGCCTTGGCCGGGAGAAAGAATCAACCTTATGGCTTCGGATCTCGCAAATTTGAGAAGATGTGTTGGCTGAACTCAGCTTCCACAATGTTTATCTATTGCCTTCCCAAAATCTGCAATCCTCGACCAAATTGAACTGCCTAGGCCTTCTCCACGGCTGCGTGGCGAGAATACGGAAGGACGCTTGAAAAAAAGGCCGGCATTCTCTCGCCTGCCACGAATGGTTTTGTTTCCACGCATGCCTGGGAAGGAATGGAACTGAGGGGCGTAAATCGAATGCAATGTACTACCCTCAAGAACGTCTATAGGATCAAACAAGACCCACTGCCACAACTTGTTTGACTCTGGTGAAAACCCATCCCATGAACGATAAAAACAGCATTGGGTATCGAGGCAGTGTTTCTCCTTATTGCAGCTCGGTTGGGGAATGTATCTGGCACCACAACCTCGGATCGCCTTCCGTTACTGAACCGTAACCATGTCCCAGATAACAACGAAGGTTGCAATACCGACATAGAAGACTCCACGGTAAAGGAAAATTATGTTTTACAGCAGGAAAACATTGCCTCGAGTGCCGCTTTTCTGATCTCTGGAGTAACCACAGCGAAAATCGGAAGACAAACAACGACAAGTACCCACATGGTTGGTGGTCCAACGACAGGGATGGAAGGCATACATACGAGGCTGCCTATGGAAATCACTCGATATCTCTCAGGACTTCTCCCTGGTGCTCAGAGGCTCTTCCTGTCGCTTGTGACATGTTGAAAATCTCGACCATTTCTGGATTTGGTCTTTGAAATGAAAAGAAGAAAATTGAACAGGATAAAAATTATTCAACAAACTGACAACGATGAAAGTTATGAAACATACAGAATAAGATACATATGAATAAAGCACCTTCGTATTGCACTACAATACGAGAAAGTTGTAGAGGAAGGACAAGCGAGCAGTTCCAAATATGAAGTCCAGGGGTATCACGTGGTATCGGGACCTTGGTTTACCCGACCCGAGACTCCTATTGAGTAGCGGTGGGGGAGCTCGAAGTCCCAATTGGGGTAAATTTGTATGAAGTGCCTGTGCTCGACCTCCCCTCTCTGCTCCACCGTCGAACATATAATCTCATGATACCCTTTGTTGAAGCTCGATCGAGTAGACACTCTGCCAATTGATCCATCATGGCGACCATAAAGACCAAGCGTGTCGAGACACTGTTCTCTCGGAGACAGGTCGAGGGGCTCATTGCGGAGGGGAAATCAATCATCATATTTGAGCAGAAGGTGCTGAAGGTCGACCCATGGATTCGATATCACCCAGGAGGAGAAAAGAGCATCATGCACATGATTGGGAGGGATGCCACGGATGAAGTGAATGCGTGAGTCGTTCGCTGTCTCCTCGACAGATCAGAACTAATGATGAACCGTCAGTCTTCACTCCATCGAAGCTCGAAAACAGATGGAACGATACCGAATTGGGCGTATAGAAGGGAGGTGGCAAAACTTTGTGCCCCCGATCCAGGGGGGGAAGTTTCGGGCATATATCGAAGGACAATCAGACGACGATCTCTCAGAAACGTGTCCACCTAGTCCAGAAAGCTCGAGATCGCCCTCACCAGTATTCGACACGGACACCTCGACGCTGCGGCAACGTGGGCCACCAAGAAGGGAGCGGGATGTCTCATCGGCTTCGTCGGTATCCTCTGCAGAGCCCGGTGACGGGATGTCATGGCTTGATGCCCAAACCAAGGAGCACATAGATTTGGACCACGCCAAATACCCGTCATTGGATTCGATAACTCAGGATGAAGTGGTCCGGAAATATCGTTTGTTGGACCAACGTCTCAGAGCCGAAGGACTGTATGATTGCAATTATACAGCGTATGCGATTGAGGGCTGTCGATACACCTTCCTGGCGGCCATGGTGATCGTTTGTTTACGATGGGGCTGGTATGCTACCGCGGGCATTTTTCTCGGCTGTCTGTGGCATCAACTTGTTTTCACGGTGCATGATGCAGGCCATATGGGCATCACTCACAATTTCACAATCGACTCGACCGTTGGTATGTTTATCGCCAATTTCATTGGAGGACTATCCATGGGATGGTGGAAAAGAAATCATAACGTCCATCACATTGTCACCAATTCCCCAGAGCACGATCCCGACATTGAGCATATTCCTTTCTTTGCCGTGTCTCATAGGTTTTTCAACTCTTTGAGGTCATCCTATTATGATCGGATTATGCCATATGATGCTTTTGCCCAATTCGTTGTGCGCTATCAGGCATATCTGTACTATCCTATCCTCACATTTGGACGATTCAACCTCTATCGTCTATCATGGGAGTATCTCATTCTCGGCCTGGGTCCCAAGAAGGGTCCTGCATGGTGGCACCGATATTTTGAGCTTGCAGGTCAAGTGTTCTTCTGGTATTGGTATGGTTATATTGTTCTGTACAAGACCATCCCGACAGCTGGGGCCCGATTGGCTTTTTTCATGATAAGCCAAATGGTGACGATGCCTCTGCATGCGCAAATTACTCTGTCGCATTTCTCGATGAGCACAGCCGAACTCGGTCCGCATGAATCTTTCCCCCAGAAGATGTTGAGAACAACCATGGATATTGAGTGCCCTCAATGGCTGGACTTTTTTCACGGAGGATTGCAGTTCCAGGCGGTACACCATTTATTTCCCCGGATGCCAAGGCATAACCTCCGACGCACACAGAAATTGGTTCAAGACTTCTGCAATGAAGTAGAAATTCCTTATGCGCTTTACGGTTTCGTGGATGGAAGTACCTCAGTCATCAGCAGACTTGATGAAGTTGCAAGGCAGGCATCGATTCTTGCCAAGTGTCAAAGGTCCATCGTAGAGAAGGGTGATGTCCTTGGCGAAATCCTTCACGGACATTGAGATCCCTAGATCTATCGTTAGTTTAATTTCCAATACCGGCTCGGCTTCTCGTGTACCAAAACTACTACAGGAGATAAGTTGGTTTCCGTTGAGAATCACATTCCCAGCAATAATAGAGCCCAAAATCACATTGAATAACCGATCTGCAGGGGCTCCACCTACTAAGTAACAGCAGGTATCCTTTCCAACCATTTATTGACGTGATGGCGGCATTTGCCATGCTGCGACCTGCAAGTAACCGCCCCGGCCTTGCTCCGTTATTCCTACGATGTTCCATGCCACGTTTTTGAGCCAGTGAAAAACTGCTCGTTGCCCATTGATACGTGTTCTGAGCTAATGTGCATCGAAATAATACTGGGCACCAAAAGATCTAGTCCCGTGCAAGTTACCGACTACCACCAGCAATGAGGCGTCAATCCTCACCGCTTTAGTATCCTTGTGGCCAATCTTCTGATAGGGTAACCAACTAATCATGGGAAGGTTATCAGGTCATCATTATTTGGTGGTGTGTAATTACAGCAGCTCGGTTGATCTGGAGCTTTTTATACCTTTTGCAAGTGACTCTATGATATCTCTACTTCTGGCACTGATAACAGAGGCGTAGCCGGTCAACGGCCAACGGTCAACAGCTGGTCGGGTGGATCCGCTGGGAAGATGCGTTTGAATTTTGTACCTGGAATCTCAATGTCTATTCCTGATGCCACCGATATCAGATATCAGTTTTTTATACCTTTGGATCAAACCTCACGTCCGCTTTCTGTCATAAGGCAAACTGTTGAAAGATACATATTTCGCCGGCTTAATATCCGTGAGGGCCGCTGGGAATAGTATCTTGCTTTCCACTTGAGTGTCGATTTGGACGAAGCAATCTTTGATCAAACTCGGGTAGACAAAGTACTTGGGTGGGAATTGGGTCTGCCTAGGTCTACCTAGGTAGCCCTGCATCAGAACCCAATCCCATGTCCGTTTCCGTTAGCTGACCGAAAAAGAAATAAGGGGGAGACGAAGAGTGTACGAATTTCGAATTATAAGTATTCGAGTGGCCTGTTAATGAAGGAAAAATCCGAATACACCAAAGAGATACCTTTCTCAGTACAAGAATTCCTCATACATCGAAACCATCTCGTGCAATTGGTTGCGTTTCAAAATCTTTGCACCAAAGTTTCTCGGAATCTTGCTGCCAACGTCTTATTTCTACACATTCAAGTAATTTCACGATCTGCTCAGCACCATGACACGTGGGAAGCATACCGAGAAATCTGCCGCAAGGATCGCTCGCGCAAAGCCAGGCGTAAGTCCAGCAGAGTTCCAGAAGAAAAAGACATGAAGCTGACCGGGCCCAGTCTCGACAAGCAGAAAACGCCAAAATTGCCGCTCAACGAAATGCTACCGCGGGTTCGCAAGGAGGAAATAATGGAGGATATCAAGGATCTACATGTACGGAACACAACCGTTTCTGCTCGAGCACCGAACCTTGCGAGTATCACCGGTAACCTTAACGATTCAAGAGCGGGTCACGGAGAATAGTTGAGCAACTTGGGAGCACTAGTTGGTACCAAGTGCCCACGAGTGGGCGAATTGAGCTGTAGCCGGTGTTTGCAACGATGTTTCGATGTTTTGCTTTTTGGGGGGGCGCAAGCGGTAGAGGTTGCGAAGACGGACTTGTTTTGCTTTTTTCTTTCTGGGTTTTCTTGGCAAGGGTCGTTACAAAAGCCAGAAGCAAACTGTTTGTCCGGGTATATGTGGAGCATGATGAGGAGTTGTTTTGTTTGTATCCGAGTAGAAATCTTGGAGGAGTAAAAGATGTGCTCTTCTGGACCTTACGATCTCAGATTTGCCCTTCTTGGTTGCCTTCCATCTCGTGACATAATCCCCTTTTTTGGGCTAGAAACTCGAAGTCCAAGAGTCTTCCTGCCGGTGTCTGATATCAGACGAGCAAGGCAAGTGTTCCATCTCAAGTCCATGGCAAGTTGTTTGCCTTGACCTGGTGGACGTCTTGATCACGTCAAACTCGCTTAGCCGAGATATCGCCCCATACTTGGTAGGTCTGCTGGAGCTACGTGCAGGATAGGCATGATTATAAATCAGGACACCGCCTACCCCCATTATTGACATTACACTTCTTTACGTGGAAGCGCCAGTGATGGATTTAGATCTTGATATTCTTGTGGAAAAAAGAAAAGTAGAGAAAGATTTCGAATTCAGACACTATAAATCTAGCTCATTAGCATCGGCACCTGTGCGCTTGCTTTGCCTCGTTTGAATGTTTGTTACCATAAAAAACGAGACAGCAAGATAAGAGGAGAGAAATTTTGAATACATACGTTCTAGGATTCAACGATACCATAGAAGCAGTGAATTTGACGTCACATCCCTAACACGTGATTTGGCGTGGCTTTCGTGTGCACTCTGCTCTTACCAAATGCGCTGTCTCTGAGAAGTTACCTACCCGAGGGTTTGGTCACGTATTTATTTTTAAGTCACGTAATTTTCTTGATGTATACTATTATACAGACATTTTCTCAGAAGAAAGAGCTAAACGATCTTTGTTTTCAAGGTAAATTACTAGTAAAATTTAGCTATAACAAACAAGATATTTTCTATTACTTACGAGTAAATGAATAGAATTAATCTGATTTATTTACAATAATATATTTTTAACCTTTAGCTACAAACATTTTGTATATCTTAATTGTTCTAGGTATTTGAGGTATCGTGGGTAAAACAGTTCTTCTTAGCCAACTTATATAGTTAAAGCTGTAGGAAACTAGAAGATTAGCTTAATTGAAACAACACTAATATATCTCTCATAGTATCTTTGAAAAAGAAAGCCGGAAAGTTCTCGTGCCCCGAAAATAATACTTTCTAATATGTTAAGAATATCAAATAGTAGTATATGACTACAGAACTATCTAAGATTTTGCTGCATACGGTTTCACCCCAGCCAACTGTAACAGCTTATCAGATAAGACGGGTTCCACAAAAGGGAGATCGCGATGGTAAGGATCCTTCTTCCCAAATCTCAATATTTCAGCCGATCTCCAGAAGTTTCGATGAGGCCAGTGAGTCTGAAAACAATTAGCAAATCAATTTTCGGAAGTGAAGGTACGCCACTCACAGTACGCTCTCTCTTTTCGAAGATTTCTTTCTTTCTTTGCAACTCCTCGGGACTTGATAACGCCGCTGGAGTATAGCAAGCATCTTTAATTCGTCAGTTTGAAGACTCATCTTGAGGAAATACTGGGCAACCTACAAATAACAGCCCTCGTCTGCTTTCCTTCAGGCAAGATAATGTAATGTGCCGTCCTCGAATCCCACACGATCAGATCTCCAGCCTCACACTCAACCTTAATAGTTTCGCATCCCCTCTTCTCAAACCACTCAATTTCATCATCGTCAAATCCATGCCAGTCATCAGGTACTTTGCCCCACTTCTCCTTCTTATCCATACTATGACTCTTGAAAAACTCATCGTTCAACTTGTGAGAACCCTTCATGACTACAAGACCACCATCGTTGGGACCATTATCAACAAGGTTAATGATCCCTTGCGCACATTGAAAGCCACGAATCGTACTATCCTGATCCTGATGTGGCCAGCGCGGGGACTTAGGACGTGTAGAATCGGGAAGTGGAAGCGTCATATTGATGCCATCAAACGAGACGAGGAGTTCTGACGTGCCCCAAATTTTGGAGAATGCATCGAGGACCCCAGGTTCCATTCTGGCGTCCCAGACGAACTTCTCGTGGGAAACAGAGTAGCCGTGATACATTCCACCTCTGTTCACAGGGTTAGAAAAGTCTTCATTTGACGAGGAGGTAATCCTACTTCATATGCGCCGGGAGATGTTCTTCAGTCCATGTGGCGGGGTCATTGCGATCCAATCCGAGGGGAAATCTTTCGAGCCATTTTGTCATCTCTTCTACGTATCCTGCTGCGCGCTCTGTAGGGACCGCTTTCTTGATGATCGCAAAGCCATCTTGGAAGAGTTGGTCTCTCCAATCCCCATAAGTCTCGGAAACATCAGGAAGAATAGCGTGTGGCATCTTGGAATGGTTGTGTGTAGTGAATTGAGGAAATGTAACCTAGGTTAGATTACTCCGGTGAATGGCTGTGTGAAAGGATTTGATTAGAGAGCCAGAAGAAGTGAGATTAAAACTCTAAGAGGTCCTGCTTATATATTGTAAATTGTTGAAAATGTATTGCCACAATACAGCTCCTAATAAACGTGTGTTGTATTGAACGGTTTGCCACGATTTGTTGAAATAGTATAAAGACATAGCTCGAGATCTTGCGCCGCGGCATCAACCCCCACTGTCCAAGATCACATATGTATTCCGTTCCTGATATCCCAGGTTTGATAGTAGATCGCTCTTTAAACCACTACAGTACTTTCTACTCATATAAAGTTGCAACATGCTGATTGGGTGGTAGGTGCGGCCAACCTGCCTGTCTTGCGCCGCGCCCAAGCTGCCCGCGGCCCAACTTTATCTTCACAACAACCTCACAGCAATTGTGAGTACTCCACGACGCAACTCTTCATACGGAATTCCGAAGATATCTATATCGATGACAAGGAAAAGGATAAACATATCCCATCAATGTCGTGACGGACAATAAAAGCAGCCGTAGAAACCCCGGCAGTTCGGATTTGTTGCCCTTGCTGTTCCACTTCTTTTTGGCTGATTAATTGGACTGATTGAAAGCATGATTCTGGACGTGTTGAATACTTGAAAGTGCTAGTTCTTATAGATTCAATTTAACTTTCTGAGGCATTCAAGGTTTCTGGGATGCTCACTTGACTCATCCCAGGATGTTAGAATATGGATGGTCCTGTTCTGCCGCTTTTAATGTCCATCGTGAGTCTTCATAGTAGTATCTCTGTGCTCTATCCTAACCCCAGAAATATATGCAGTACAGAGATAGCGAAGGAAGTGATGATAAGAGAAGTGGGGCTTTGGGTATATCAGTGATGACAATACACGGAATCTTGCAATTAGAAGAGGAACGGCACTTCCGATTGTGCTCTTCTGTTTATTGAAGTTTCCTCGGTTCTGGAGCCTGAATCAATGCAACATGGCACCTTCCCGCCCAGATGTTAGCAAAACAATCCGCAACAACACTAATCCAAAATGGTGGAAAGATCCGGGGATGATAAAGTTGAATTTGATGATTGTTTGCGTTATCACAGCTCAAATGACTTGCGGATATATTGAGGGAGTCGTAGGCAACTTTCAGGCTATGGAACCCTGGTTGAAGGGTATGTTGACTTTGCACCTTTCTCAGCCATGCTAAATGAGTCTGATGAAATTATTTTTCAGATATGTCGAACCCGGATGCTTCTCGCATAGGTCTCATCACCACGATCATCTTCGTTGGTGGACTCATCCGCTCCTTTCCCGCATCTCCTGTTTCCGATATCTATGGAAGAAAAGCGGGATTGTATATCGGATCAATGTTCACTCTCGTTGGTGCAATCATCCAGACGTCGGCCTTTGGCTATGCCCAATTTATGGTCGGCCGTGGGCTTATTGGAATCGGAATAAGCTTCACTTGCGTCGCTGGGCCTTCCATGGTTGCCGAGTTAGCGCACCCAAGGCAGAGAGGAACCGTTCTCGGATTTTTCAACATATTTTGGTATGTGGGAGCAATTGTCGCAGCCTGGGGATCCTTTGGCTCTGGCCACATGAATAACTCTTGGTGTTGGAGAATCCCATCGCTCATCCAATGTGTTGCACCGTTCTTCTTGATCGGAATGCTCCCACTCATGCCAGAATCTCCACGTTTTTTGCTTTCGAAGGGGAGGGCAGAAGAGGCAAGGAAGGTCTTAGCAGAGTTCCATGCTAATGGCCAACTTGACGATGAATTAGTATTGTTTGAGGTGGACGAGATCAATGTTTCACTCGCAATAGAGAGTCGATATTCCGAGGCTGGGTGGAATATCCTCTGGAATAGTAGCGCAAATCGTAAGAAGATATGCCTTGTAACTTCGTCATTCATTCTCTGTCTGTGGTACGTGTTTAGCTCAACCATAATCCACATCTGAAAGATCACTGACCACGAATAGGTGTGGACAAGGTGTGATCAGTTATTACTTCAGCCCTTTACTCACCTCCTTGAACGTCACTGGTACAAACAAACAAACCGGAATTAATGGCGGGATGCAGATAGTACGGAACTTTTCTCTCTGATACCTCTTTCGAGCCACTGTCTTTGGCGACCGAGAGACTCTCGTCGTTAATACCACAGGCTCCCGATTCAACGAGAAATACCGTGCTAATCTTCTTGTAGTGGAACTTTCTGGTTTCCATCGCTGGGGCTTGCCTAGCAGACAGGATCGGACGAAGACCACTTTGGCTCATATCCCTCTTTGTTATGCTGGCTTCCAACATCGGAATAACAGTTACAAGCGCAGTGTTTGCCCAGAATGAGGCAAAAGCTGCCGCATACATGGCCGTGCTATTCCTTTTCACTTATAATGGCAGCTTCAACATCGCCTGTAACCCTCTGGCGTACGCTTATCCGACTGAGGTTTTGCCATACAGCATGCGCACGAAAGGACTTGCCATCGTGGTTGCTGGTGGACAAGCTATGTTGATTGTCTCGCAATATGCAAACCCAGTGGCAATTGAGAATATCGGTTGGAAATACCGGTTATTTTTCATGGGAATGCTGCTCCTCTTCATTCCTATGGTGTATTTCACCTTTCCTGAGACGAAAGGACTTGCACTCGAAGAATTGGGCAGATTGTTTGAAACTGACGAGGCTTTAGAAATTGAGAAGATAGAAGGCATTGAACCAGAAGAGGCAGAGGTTGTTCCTATTGAGATAGACAGCAAAGCAAAAATGTAGAGCAACGGCAGCGCGCCGATCATAGGGATAGAAAGGAGGCTTGACGGCTCAATTTGAGCGCAAGTCTGTATTCCTCGTATTGCAGATGGGGCGCTTGCCGAGTTCTTCATGTCAATACCAATACCAAGTATCTTCAAGCACCCTTGAGCGTGGGGAGATACCTTCCATTGTGACCCATGACGCCATCCCGTATTTTACATCAGTATTCCATACATATTATACATTTCTTCTGCCAGCTGGGATCATGGCTTTTGACCCAGTGCGCCAGGTCCAATCTCGCCTGGCATCTGCTTAGCTCCCTCTGCCTTCAATTTTTCCAAGGTTTGATTTCGATGATGTTCCATGACCCGTCGCTTCTTGAAATATGTGACCTGTTGCAATATTAGCTCTATTCCTGACCTTGTCCCTTTGGGATTGTATCCCTATGTCCAGAGAACAACCAGCGAAAAAAATCACGCACCCAACTGCTCGCACAATTTGCCTCGAATTTCCTGCCTTCGGTCGAACATGCCTTCTCCGCTTTGCCTTTCTCTGTGATACTGTCGACGATTCCACTTTTGTCTAGACACTGAAAGAATTCATCTCTCCCCTCCCAGCATTTTGCGCGTTGCGTTCGATCGGGGGCTATGGGTGCGCCATCCGACGATATCTTCGGAGGAGGCGGCGAAGTAGGAGTGGTGCTAAAAAGTCCCATCTTGGATATTTTGAAGGCCAGGCCAGGCGCAATGACGATTGGGGGAATTGTGAATGTTATCTATTATGGAGTCAGCAGAGAAAAAATACAACGGAAGGCATAGCAGTTACCAGTGACTACGGTTATTCAATCATGAAAAGAGGCAATAAAAGATTCAATTGTACGACAGCTGTTAGTTAGAAGGAATCTGGTGATAACAAAGTAGTTACCGATCTAGGTAGAAGCTTGGACTTGACAAATGCACTCAATCAACTTGGAAGTCATATCGGCTTCGGCACGATACGGGTCCCGGCATCATGTCATCCCTCGGTACCACCAAAAAGCTGTCATAGCTCACCCGGGGAAGCCACTTCACCTCATTCGTCAGCGCATCATCTGGCCTCGAACGCATTTCAACAACAGATCAGCAAAGACAACACTTTTATATCCCCACGAAAGAAGCGAATCACAAATTCCAAATCACAAACCACCAATGTATCCACCATAGCAGTACTTGAAAATTGAACCAAATGGCGCGACGCCGACGGCCTCCGCGACCCGGTGCTCTCACCGAGCTTCCTCCCCTCAAGATCCTGTCGCAAATCCTACTCCTACAAGCAATATGGTACGGAGTCGCTACGGGACTTATTCTATTTACCGCGCTGGTAGCAGGCAAGCATTTTAGTTTCGATCTGGTGTTGAGTTGGCGGAGTCTGAGGGGCGATACGACGGTAGGATGGATGTTGGGCTTGGTTTGGCTGCTTAACTCTTTTATTGGGTACGTGTTGTCATTAGTCTCAAGATGTACTTGGATCGAATTATGAATTATGCTGGGTTGCAGATTGCTAATAAATCTTCTCATGCTAGCGTGATATCAATGCTCGTTTTCATTTCGCGAAGCAAGCTTGTACCGGATTTCGCGATTACGCTTCACTTCATCCACCTCGTAGTCACATCCCTCTACTCGCACTCGATACCCCGGAACTTATTGTGGTGGGTGCTGCAGATTACCAGCGCAGGATTGATGACAAGTTTGGGTGTATGGAGCTGTCAATATCGGGAGCTGCGTCCTATTAACTTTGGTGGATCAAGCACAACGCAAGCAAATTCCAGCGACGCTACTGCAGGCCCTTCCTCTGGCGAAGGTGGTGATGAAGAGCAAGGCTTTGGGAGAGGGAGAGGAAGAGGGAGGGGTAGAGATGGCGCTGGAGAATATGAGATGGTTGGAATGAAACCAGAGGCGGAAACTGGGTAGAAAATTTACTGGATGTTAAGCCAGTTGTCACAATAGGCGTATAGATTGGCGGCGGCATACAATGGAGTTTGGGCTGGGCCTTGTAATTTTACTTTTGTTTCGAGAGGAACGAATCTTGGTTAAGAAGATAGGGGGTTATGGGATACCCAAGGTGTTTCAATAATTTGGGACTTTAAATTTGTTCTTCTTTCTCAAAGGATGGAGTTTTAGCCGATTCAAAACTCTGTATGTGCATAGGCAAAATGAGCCACCGCATAGTGGACTACAAGTACGTTCTTTCCCTCCCCCCTTTTGCTGCCCACATCTCTTTTCCAGGACCCGTCGGCAGCCCATTCAACTCCACACCTTCATCGCCCGGAGTAAAGATTTGTGAGCCACTTATACTCAACCTTCTCATTCTTGGCTTCGTGCGCATGCTTGATGACGATGTTGAACCTGGGCTGATCACGTCGTCTATACACGGAGGACCTCCAGAACCGTGGGGAATGGGGCAGCTTTCAGCAACAGGCGAGGGGAAGGTTTCTTCTATTGGAGTTGCTAGTGGGCTTCCAAAAGTACTCTTCACATTTCGCTCTGTAGTTTGCCTGTCTTCTGCATTTTCAAGAGGGCTACCGAAATCTTCTGGCGTGCAGACTTCTGATAGCAGACTGGCTCTCCGATGTCTCTTCGGTATTCTCATTGACGAGCAATGAAATGCAGGGGGCGTCTGCATGGATCGCAATTGGACCTCGGCTGTGGAAGACGCCCCGCTGTTCGGACTCTTTGCGCTTGATAGTTGAGGTATTGGTTCCCCTGTGGAGGCCGGTGTTGCAACCAACCATGATGCAGGACTGGATGGAGGCTGCAATGGAGTTGATGCTGTTCCCGCGTCTCTTTCAAGCTGCGCATTTGGTATGTTCATACAATTAGGAACAGCGAGCGCTGCGGCTAATGGGTCTGGCACCTGGAATCTTGGACTCGAATTTCTCGAATCTGATTTTTGTGCAGTGCCCCTTTCTGGAGTAAGATACCCGCTGGCAGGTGTATTGTAATAGGGCGTACTCTCAGCGCTACCACAAAGTCTCTCAAAGCCTGTCTGGGACTTTGGGCTGGCACTTTCTAGGTCGAGCCAATATGGTCTGGACAAAGCATGAGCAGCCTCTTCATGACACATTTCGTTTGCCGGGGTCGTGTTGTGTTGTGTGCTGTCCATGCTGCTATGAATGTCTCCTCTCTCTTGCGCCCTTCTTCTTCTTGCCCTGCCCTCATGAGTTAATGATAAAGTGGAGGTGCAGCTCTGACCGGACTCGGAAACCTCAGACCTGCGTAATTCTGGCGTTACGGTTGGATGACAGTTTCCAGAGTGCCTGCTCCCACCTACTCTACGTCGAATGGACCTCCATGGTTTTATCACAAGCTCTTTGACCGGCTGGACAAATACATGATGAGGCTCAGACCGAAGGACTGGCTGTAGGCGATTCTCATGTGGCTGATGACATCTCGCAGATCTGTTAGGCAAAAGAGCATTGACAATTTCATCGTCCATTGGTGAGTTCAAAGGCGGATCCGGCCTGTCATATCTCTCTAGAGAACCCCTTATCGTCATTCTTCGGGGAAACGATAAAGAGTGAGCAAATGCCTCGCGGATATAATCTCGTCTGCGTGCTGCTGCGGCTGCTTCATGGCCGGCATGAACTGTATTGCGTCGCGACATGTGTCCATCACCGCCTGTACTGTCAAGGGAATAGTCCGAGTTTTCCGTGACATTGAGTGGTCTGCGTTTCCTGGACTGCCTTGGCCGAGCTTCTTCTGTATCCGTTTCCGACTCTGGGTGATTCTGTGTTGGCTGTGTTGGTGATAAAGGACCGTCATATATCGCTGGCCATAACTGGACAGGCGAAGTGTTACGAGGTTCGTGACCAAAGCATGGCGAATATCGAAAATGGCTGTGCAATCGTAACGAGCTGATCAACCCTGGGTCTGGGAGGATTGAGGCATCGCATTTGTCGAATGGCGCGTAATCCGTAGGCGGGGTACCAGTTATTTGGTCGGGTGGGAGAGTGAAGCAAGATCCGAGAAGTTGGATCGCAATCATGTGTGCCAAACTGTTGACATTTGATGAGTCTACTAGGTAGCTTTCCGATACCGCTCGACGTCTCTCATGATATATTGGTTTGGGGCATCCATCAAGCTTGTTAGTCGAACTATGGGTTCCAAGATCATTGTATGCCAATGGTATCAAGCTCTTGAAACGATTGTACTTCGCTTCTTGAGACCACCAATATGGTCGACCTGTCTCACACATATATTGCCACTCGAGAATTTCTCGGTCGATGATGCTCCACGACAAGTCTTCGTTCGCATTATCGAGTTCTGCCTTTAGACTAGGGGGGTTGTCGAGCTTTGGGATAGGAGTATTGTCAATCGAAGAGAAATAACTGCCTGCTCTTTTTCTTGTCCTCCTCGAGTTCATATACAAGGCTTGGCTGTTCTCTGAAATGTTTTCCCCTGATGATTCTCGACTTTTGAATCGTACAGACTGTCGGCTTTGTGATTTTGAATGCCGGCGACCATGACGGGCCCTTTTGGGAACCAGTTCTTGCAGATTGGTGGTGCTCGGAACTCGCATTATTGATCGAGGCTGCGTGGGAAGAGGGGCAGAGACATCGACGGGACTTTCGTTGGATTTCATATTGATGGTGGAGGAATAAGAATTGGAAATAAATGCATGGAGGATGGGATTCTATATATGTCTTAGGAGAGAGACTGTGTAGGATCGAAGTAAGGGTTTTGAATGTCAAATTGTTTTGGTTGCTGTCGCAGAGTTGATAGGCTTCGTAACGAAATAATATTGGTTGCTCTAAAACTGTACCTCAGTCCAGTCGTCAACATGCGTGCATCCGATTTCACAGGAATCTGTGGAAAGAACTGCCGGTCTTTCCATATTTTCAAATTGATGTAGAATGGAAGGTGCGACCGGCACCACAGAACCAAGTATCTGGGTTCTCCACAAATTGCATACTTTGAGACATTCATCGTACATCAATCACATTTTCTCTATTGTGGCTTATGTTTCGACCATTTGGTCTGATGTTCCATTTCAGCCTTGAAGAGGTGGCTAAAAGTAGAGAAAGGGGGCAATATCACGTGATACATCAAGTATAAAGTCACGGGACCTCGGGAACTCAACCTCTCACATGATTGAGCTGTTTGCTTTGGCCGTCTGTTTGCTAAAGCGGTCATATGTAAAGATTAGCTGTATGAAGCCTCAATTTCAGTCACGATGATCGAAACGTGACACTTTCCTTGCCTGTCCCCAGCCTGTCTCCAGTCAAAGCAGCATTAGCTCTTGTTGTCTTTGGGTTAACAATCACTTGAGATAATAACATGCAAACCCGGATCGATTTAGGGTGTTAATAAATGTTTCAGCATTATATGTTACTATTTTCGCCTGCGTTAAATTGGAAAACCAATAAGCAAATTGGAGCTTGACTGCCGCTTTTAATGACTACCGCAAAATCCGGATTTTTATCCACACTCCCTCCTACGTACAACCAAACCCCGAGAATTAGTGCCACTTATTACTTCAAATCAATCAGGAAAAAACAAAACACCAGATCAACAGATGTAGTCGTTTTTTCTTGAAGCGCATCTCAGTAGAGGTCTTGCAGTACCAATGGCAGAACCCACCATTTGTCGGCACTGCCGTGCGATACCGCTTAGTCTGTTTTTCGAACCTCCACAATCAGACCTGAGGTCTTTCGTAGTGCACCACCACTCATCGAAAACTCTTGAGAGCTCAGCAGCTTCAGGATGCAATGTGTGTTCATTTCTTTACTCAAAAGTTACACCAAATAATCCAGACCCTAAAATGCTGTGTTTCGGAGCAAAATACGACCAGGTATTATTTCCCTTGCGAAAAGCGATTACGTTCTCGAATGACCAGAGGATTTATCTCCACTTGAAATCTTACCAGCAAAAGCAGTCTAGAATATCTCCAAACTACTTGGCTTGCAGGATTGGTGCCATTGGTGGCGATCAAAGTGTTCATGCTTTCGACATAGAAACTTCAGGTAATGTCATTCGCAATCTCATTTGGAACAATCAATCACTTGGTAGGAAATCAGAAAATTTGGATTCTAGCACCTTACATCCTATGGACAAAGTAGCTATCTCTCTCCTTGAATCATGGCCACACAAATGCTCGCAGACTCATGCAAAGTGTGGCGCGCGGTACGATTTTGGGTTCAGACCCACACGTTTGATTGATGTTGGCTCAAAAGGAAAGCATCCACGGCTAGTTCATACTGCTGCAATGTTTTCAAAAGCGGCAGAATACCTTGCTTTGAGTCATTGCTGGGGTACCAATATGCCTTCTTCTGCAAAAACAACTCTAGAAACACTTTCTCAAAAGCTTACCCGGATAAGAATCAGGAAGCTGCCCAGAACATTCCAAGATGCTATTGCTGTTACTAGAAGACTTGGTCTCAAGTATTTATGGATAGACTCGCTTTGTATCATACAAGATTCTCATGAAGACTGGCAACTAGAATCTGCATTGATGAGAAAGATCTACTCGCACTGCTATTGCACGTTGGCAGCCGCAGCTTCATTAGATTGTCATGGCGGCCTATTCGCAAAACGCTCGGAATTGGCCGTGCTAGGGACCGAGAGTCCTGCTGCATTATATCCTGCCGTTCTCTTGAAGTCCACATATGGTGGATTGGATGAACTATTTAGCCGAAGTCCACTAAACTCAAGAGGCTGGACGTTGCAAGAGCGAGAGCTTTCTCCGAGGATGATCTATTTTACAAAACATACGATGCTTTTTGAATGCAGAAGAGCAAGAGGAGGCGAACGTGGTGAATCGAGAGCTCAAGCGGCGGTGCGGTGTGGGAAGGAGGAACTAGTTCCTAAAACTCTCCTAAATTCTGTTCATTCACGGCGTTGCATGGATGAATTCCCTTTGGATGGAGAATCTGGTGACAACCTTCAATGGAGAATACAACAACGCTACCATGCGTGGCGGAAAATGGTACAGGGATACTCGCAAAGACACCTATCTGTATCTTCCGATAAATTTCCTGGTCTTTCTGGTTTGGCCTCGGAGCTTTCATTCTTACTGAATGATCACTACGTAGCAGGGCTTTGGAAAGGTGATATTGTCTCCGGATTGCCTTGGAGTTATGCCTACGAGAAAGGAACAAATACAACCCCACAGTCCAGTTATGGGCCGTCTTGGTCATGGGCAAAGATGAATGTTCCTATCAACTACGACCTCGTTCGCCCTTACCATAGAGTGACTCAAGATTCAGTAATCCCAGAACCATCGCGGCAAGATTGGCAAGACCCGGTACTACTAAACGCCAGTACTGTACCCGCAGGTCGAGATCCTAACGGTACATTGATATCTGCTTTCTTGCAGTTCTGGGGCCAGATTACATCTATGAGATGGTCGAAAATGGCAACTTGTGTTATTCAAGGAGAATCTATTCCAGTAATATGGGATTTTCTGCCGCAATCAACTTCTGACTTCTTCCTCTTCAGCCTTGGGAAAGGCAAGACCGGGTTGGTGTTAGTACAGGATCCTATGTATGAGACAACATATCGGCGAGTAGGCATTGTCTCAGACATCAAACTGAGTTGGTTTAGAGATACGGTGCTTCAGTCCATCAAATTGGTTTGAGGAGGCTCGTATGAGTTCAAGTTCCATCGAATTTTATCATCCACTGAGATCCACGATAATGGACCACAATTTGCACTCTATGTTTGTAACACCCCACTGTAAACAAGCTTCAGAGAAACTCAATGTATGGTTCACGATTCAAAGCAGCACTATACGAGACTTGCTATGGTTCCCGGGATTTGAAACTGCGTAAACCTCTTGCCTAGCTCTTTTAGCAGATAAGGCAGATTAGTTGGGCTTTATGAGGGCTCTTTGTCAACTCATCTTCTCAAATAAAGAACCAAACCGGCTACTTTGGGTTGTGCGCTAGCTCAGCATGAAAGTAAACGCATTTCTTACAATATTTCTACTCCCAGAAACATTTATCGCGGTATGTTAAACCAAAACAAGCACAACAAAAATGGATACTTACTTTCTCTCCTTTTCAACATCATACTCTGGGCGATCTAAAGTACGAGTAAGCATATCCGAAATCAGGAGTTATGGGGTGTAGCTTTATGAATGATGTTGCTGATTTTGAGGTGTCAATCAGGCATTATTTGAAAACGACGGATTTGACGAGGAGGGCGTGAGAGTGAGAAGGGGAGGGGGACTTTAGTTTTAGAATGGATAAATGAGGTGGACAGGGTAGCATTTTGGGTCAGGTTGGTGGAATTGTTGTGATGGTGATTTTATTCACTACCGCTCATAAGACCCGCTCCTCAAGTAACGCAACGCAACCTTGAGCGCGAGAACTGACAGAGCCCCCAAATCCCAGAATACACCCGAAGATTCCACCTGACAACCAATCAGACTATCCCGCTTAACTAAAACTCCACACAAATCTCAAAGCAATATTGATATCCTAAAACAAGACAGCCAACGACATCAAAGCTGGTAACCTGCCCGCCTGGCCAGTCAGTTAGTGTGTGCTCACCCATAAGCGCCATACATAAAACCTGTTACCATTCCGCCGCTCTGCTCAAACAAAACTCCAGGTACGTAAGCTTTCTATTCTATAATACCCCTTGAAAAATCCACGTCGGGTTTATCCTAAGGGGAGCCTCCTGTCGCCGTTGCGCCAGGAGGCCTAACGGTTTTGTCTTTTTTTTACTGGTATATCTTCTAGTTTTTTATTGTTGCCTAGATAAGATTCCGTTAACGCATTAAGTTCTAGGCCTTCACTCTATCACTAACCGCGATTGTGTTTACATTTAGGTTTCTTATATTAAGGGCTAGTATAAAACATAGCTTGGAAACAAGTCTTGCTTTTGGCAAGGAATTAGAGGAGGAACCAAGAATATCATCTTAATCCCGCCGTCCTGTTTCTTTCAAGGATTATTAATCCAAGCGAGTAGAACCTCCTTGGGTAAGACTGCGCCCGCATTCCCTAGGCAGCATACTAATTTGTAAATATACGAACTGAAAGCTAACGATGGTCAAGGTTCGGCATTTAGAATACGATTCCAAGGATTCCAAGATTCCATTCCAAGGTAGAATATTCCAAAGGATATATATATTACTATTTAACTAATAAGAGAGCTCTATTTGTAAAGTGAGGACTAAAACTATAATTATTACCTACGCCTAATTAATTATTGTCGTCTCCTACATATAACTCTAAAGCCTGAATCTCCTCTCCTTTGAATTCTTTTAATATATCCTTACTTATGTATATAATATATATAGGGGCGATATTATTAATAGTATTACAAGTAATTAGTATTCACTCTTAGTATAAGCACGTGCTCTTAGTGAAAATTAGTAGTACTATACGTACTTACTCTATATATTGTTTAAGCTAGCTATAATACGTGATAGATAGTAATGCTAAGGCCTCACCTAGGCTTCCTATTAGTCGCTCGGACCGGAACTACTATTTTACAGGTCACGTAAGTGTTCTAATAAATTCCAAATATTCCACCCCTTACAATAGAATATTCTAATAGTTATACTATTTAGAATAGAATATTTCATAAGGGGGGTCTTAGAATGGAATGGAATTACAAATGCCGAACCTTGACGATGGTGGACTAGATAATTAGGTCATTCCCGGACGTCAATGTGGTTATTGTGTCACAAATTGCTAGGCAAAGGTGTCTGGGTTGAAATATTCTTAATTCTCGTGTCTACGAAACCCCACGCCATACTACACTGCAATCTTATTCAAACTCACAACTCGCAGTTTGTAATTATTCTTTTCAGAATATGCCTCCGTTCGAGTTTCATTGGTAAATATTACTTTCCAAAACCACCCATGTTTGTTTTTGAAGTGCACCTAGGAGGCCTTATCCATCTGCAGCCTTCAAGTTTTCTTAGATGCCTCTGTCTTGCCTCCAGACTTTGACATGCCCTCAGAGAACTTTTTCTGGCATTTTTCAGAGTCACAAATGAACTCAGTGAACCTTTTTGTGGGTGGGTACTTGCGTGCCATCGCACTCGAGATCCTTGCACTTCTCTTTCTTTTCGTAGTCTTTCTCGAGGTGTTTCCTGCAACATGTGTAATGCGGAATGACCCACTTGCACATTTGCTGTTTGAGCCGGGTTTTGCTTGTGTATGTGATTGATTTGGTGGTTGGTTTGGTGAGCTTGATGTTGGGCTCTGAGACGGAGAGCACATGTTTTATAGAAGCTTCTTAGCTAGAAGTGAGTGTATTCAACACGCTTAACCATTCAATATACACTAGTATAGCAATAAGACTCCTTTCCATACACATTCATGAACAACTCTGTATTTAATTCACCATTCTCACTCCTTGCTAATCTTTACATCTAGAACGAGGTACAGTACTTTGATTGTTTGGTTGAGAAATTGTGCTTATCAGATATGATTATGAAGGAATCTGTTCTCATACGTCCCCTCTTACTTCCTCTTTCCACCAGAAATTTATTCTGCCGCATCCCGTTTAGAAATCCCGACCACGTTGCCATCCCAAGGTTTTTCAATACCATTCAGCTTATCCAGCACAAAGCAAACCTGTACACATCATCCTCCTTTTCCCAAAAAACCCACCCCTATGATATGCCACTACCATCATCACGTTAAGAGCTGCTGGCCCAAAGACTTCTCACTGATCTTCAGCTTCTTCATCTGGCATTCAATACACCCATTGAAGTGTTCCACCTTATGCAATATGAGGCTCTCCTGGCACCGATCTGGTGTCATCCATGGCTTTCTGATAGGACATGGTTTGTGCTTCGGATCCTGTGTTGTGTTGCATTTGCGACAGACTACTTTCGTTGAGGTACACATTTTGGTTCAAGAACCCCTTTCTTGTTGTCTATTATGTGGTGTGACTGTTGCTGTTGTGGTGACTATTGCTTGTGGTGTCACAATGAGAGTAGAGAAAAGAGTTGGGTGCGAAAACACAATAATCTGGAGGAGGAGCCTCTACGTAGGCTAGCGCAAATGGACTGGGGTTATTATGGGTCAAATGATTCATTCACCAGAGAGTTTTATGCCTGAAGCTATTGCTTCTACTGAGCTTCTTGATTGGGTAGCGACAAGAACTCCAATGGGCAGTATAGTTATAAACCCCCTAGATGACACACCTTCACTATTCTATCGATTTCAAAGGATTCAAACAAAGATTCTACTAAACATCTCCTCTACTCCAATAAATGATAAACAATCGCAACTAGTTTTGCCTGTCTTTGCTCTGTGTTCATCATTTTACACAGACACTTAGAGATTTTTACATTGTTTACATTACAACTGAAGACGCCAAGAAACCACAGCTTTAGAAGAAGATCTACTGTTCTGCCAGTAATGGTTCTCATCAAGTCGTAGTGCATAAATTACAAGAACTCACTAAGCCCATAGTACATTCGCTTCCACAATCTCCACTCCTTCATGACAAGCTTTGTTCCCAATCATTGGAAAGGATCCCCAAAACCCCATCTGCATCCAAAACTTTTGAATCCTCAGGTAACGGCGGCGGACTGAGACTGCGTTAATAATTATTGAAATATGTGCCAAAAACAGAAACTGTAGATACACGTGAGAAGTGTTATGACTCAGGTACCAGGATCTTATTCTCTTAATAGAATTGAATATCCCAAACAGAGAAGCCAAGTTAGCCAACCTTGTACTTCCTTTTGCCCTCAAGTACCACTCAAATCATCATTTACCAGGCCTAACCAACGAAAACCCACATTGACTCGACGTCCATTCATCCTTATGTCTAGCTGGAACTTAGTAAAGCTGACTCTGATACCCAGCACCAATGTGTGCAATGCATTTGTCACAATAAACTTCTGATTCTCGAGTAATTACCTTTTGTTTTTTCATACAACCATTTTTGTTTTTGGAGTCCTTGAAGGGTTTGAAACTCGGAAGTGAAGTGTTTGCGGAGCGAGTAGTAGGTCTTCTCCAAGGTGCACATTGTGGGATCGCTGCTTTGATGCTTTGGTTTTATGACTGTATCAAAAGAAACAAGGTCTATGCGAATCTTGAGAGTTGAGCTCGTCTGCTTTGATGTTTCGTAGTAGATGGCTATGGGATTGGGAAGCTTGGGGTTTGTGGAAATCCTGTATGGTTTGCTGGTGTAATATGTCAAGAGAACTTTGGCTTGAGCTGGGATAACTAATGTATGCTACTATAAAACTCTAAGCGAGGCCCAGACTTTGTGTTTTCCAGACACACCAAGATGAATGAGAGCTCTTCAGAAACGAGGATACTTTTTATTAATAAGCTGTTTTTGACCAGTTCAAACTTTTTCCGAGTCTTCACGGCCACAGCTAACAGATAACTTTACAAGATCCAATTCGCCTAGCTATAAGTCCGTCCACAAAATTAGCCAAGTGAATTCGTCAAGCCCTTGCCGGACTGCTAATAACGGTATTCATCATTGCGCAAATCAATCCCGTCTCCAACATACCGGTGCAAATTGAATCTGAGCGCAAGCCATGAAGCTTCCACAACGAATACTCGGCGTGCTTTCGTACTTTGCTTCTTAACAGCCCCTGAGATACCTCATGTCTCTTGGTCCTACCAAATCTGCACCGCCAGAAGGCACCATTATCATAGGCGCTGGTGTCATTGGCCTTTCGACAGCATATCATCTTGCTTTAAAATTGAACGAGTCAAGCCCGCCATCATCTTCCAGTTCATTATGGCCTCCAGTTGTAGTGGTGGATTCTTCTGAGGACGTCTGCGCCGGCGCATGGGACAATCTACAGGTGGTTTGGGTGATTTTGGTTTCGTCTCAGATCTATCACCCTTAGGATCACTGTCGTATTGTCTCCATAAAGAATTTGCGGACAAGTTTGGTGGTCGAGAGAAATGGGGTTTCAGCGACTTGGAGATCTACCGCGTCTCACCAAAGAACTTTTCTGGCGACCTGTCGCCCCCCGTTAGTTGGGGGCCTGCTCCGCCAGTGGAAAAAAGAGTATCTGAACTTCCAAATTGGGTGACCACATCGGATGACTGGAAAGTTCGGTCCCTCGCTGCAGCCCCTCATGCAGCTCATGTGTATGTAACCCAAGCCACAAGGGTTAAAGCTCATTGTTAACATAGAATCAGTGACCCCCGAAAATTTGGTCGGTTCTTACGCGAGCTATGTTAAGAGCTTGGCGTGCAATTTTATCTCAACTCGGAGGTTACCTCAATCCAGAAGAACGACCAAATGCACGCATTCGCGAGTGTTACTATTAAGGCTCATGAGAAAAAGTCTCGCACTTATACTATTCCCTGTAATTCTATTGTCATTGCGGCCGGTCCTTGGTCAGGTCGCGTCTTCTCGCAACTCTTTCCCAACAGCCATCTAAAGCTACGGATCAATAGCACAAATTCGGCTGGTAACCACGCCACAATTCGCAACCCACGCTGGCCATCCTCAGACGACGAAAACGGTGTCAGTCAAGTCTTTCTCAATAACTTTCTCCAAGGCTCAGATCGCCTGGACATCACCTCCTACCTTGGAGGGATGCTATATGTTGGAGGCTGGGGTGCGAATCCAGAGCCCGTACCAAAGTACGCGGACAACGTCGAGGCTCAACCCGACCAGATCAGGGCCATGTTGGCAGTAGCACGTCCCTTTCTTCGTCTTGAACCCGACCAGGAACTAGAAGTACTAAGTACTGGTCGTTGCTACCGCCCTCTGGCAGAACCTAATCATCCAATTATTGGCAAAGTTCCGTGGTGTTTGGTTGGTGATAATACTCCTGAAACTGGTCATAATAATTGGACAATCCATGGCGGCTTATACATCAATACTGGTCATAATAGTGATGGAGTCACTCTTGGACCAGGCAGTGGAAAGGTTTTGAGTGAATATATTTTAGGACTGCCCCCTTCTGTTACAGTACCAGTTGTCGGGCTGGATAAAATATCTTGTCAGCAATCCCACCTATAATCTTGAATCGTTTGTGTTCGGTTATCGCTACAGAAAGGCCGCAACGGGAAGAAGTAGGAAGTAAGCAGCAGCAAATTCGAATTTTTGCTTGAGTCCCCTGGCATTGAACTTGATCAACTTCAGAGGGACGTACTGTACATGGCTCTTCGGTATCTGTCATATACGGGTTTCATACCTTTGAGGTAATTTCATACACTTTCAGTATTAAGTGGACATTCATTACTGAAATCTTGCCCCAAAAGTTCGAAAGTGCGTTCTACATCGTTCTTTTTAGTCCTTTAATCTCAACGAGAGATGATAAGTCGCTTGCATTTTAACGCGAGGCCATTTCCAACAATCTCGTAGCAACATGCGCAATAAGCACGATAAAATGATTCTCACTTAAGGACCTGTTTGGCTCGCGAAATTAAATGGTGAAGAAGTTTTAATAGAGTGAGCCAAACAGGTCCTAAGATTATTTCTAGATGAGCGACAGACCAAGACTCAGTAATGTTTCGTACTCCTCTCCCCCGCCCCACTCCTCCATCCATTCCTCGCAATTGCCCACATCTAATCCATCTAAGCAGCTAAACGTACCCAAATTCATGGGTGAAGAGTTATCTCTCAATCTCTCATCAAGATCCTCTCACCCTTCCCCCAACGGCGCCAATGCCATAAAACCAAAGCGGACAAATTGCCACATCATAATTTGCATTTTAGGGAAACCCCAGTGTGTATTTACGTTACATTCGTAGCAAAAGTCTCTCGAGGAGTCAAATGGAGCTCGTCATATATTCTATAGAGCTACCTGTCATTCACTCTAGTGAATATAGGAAGCTCTAACTCTGGACCTCGCTTAGAATGTTCGCCCCCTTTTATCCCTTTCTACCCATTCAATATTCCCATGAGCGGCCACCACGAACACTTGGAGCTCCAATATCAAATCCCATTATCCGCCCCCCTTCAACCAAAAGATATATTCGATGACAAGAAGCGAGGTATTCATCCGCTAAAAGCAGGGGCGGGCGGGCCCTGAAAACCAACACAATATTCTATCCTAGCTTAAGAAGAAGTGTACTCGGTGAGTAAACCAGCTCAACAGCAATCTTCACAGGAGGCTTTTCATGTTGTCAAACTCGTAGGCGCCTTCTAAAGCAGATGTCATGAAGGTATTATTGACTAGTATTGACTATCTGTGATTCGTAGAGGTACACACCCTCTCCAACCTCTTTATCTAAATCCAACCAACACCGCCTCTCTACAAGCCCAGAAACTTGAAATTCCCCTACCTAGATTCCCAAGCGGCTAGAAAAACACTAGGGGATAACAAGCTTTTATGTCAAGATCTTTGCTCGTGTCTTAAACGGCTTGGCTTTTCCAACAACTATATATGACATGCATACACGTGCTGAGCCCTGGTGCTGAATGCGTTGGTACTATCCTGTACATAAGAATGTTGGTCAGATTAGAGTAGTATGTCTAGGTACCTGCCTCGCAACCATAACAAAGGGAATCAGACCATGGATGCGTTCAGAAGATCCTAAGGGATCAATGCAATGAGACGGGTAGTGTGGTGCGTCTTGTTGGTATTTGACTCGGTGAGAGCGGCGGGTTGGAAGGGATCTTTGATAATCGCGGCTATGATCTTAGATGATTTTGTGATGACAATGAAATGTGAGGGTGACTACAGAAGGTGGTGATATATCAGGATTCATTTTATCAGAGGGATTATGGAGTGTAAAGTCTAGGATGACATGAGGTGTGAGGAAAGAACAAAACGGCGAATATGGAGGAGCTAGAAAAGAGACATAGTTGTTAAATCTTCCAATCTCAACATGGACAACGAGCAACATGCCCTCGCAGAAACTTCCCTGGAGTCTCGATTTCCGTCCTCCACTATCTGCAAAGGGAGGGGCTATTGATGAAAAGATAGCAACATTCTTCGCCATAAATAAAATGGACTACCAGGAATTGAACTATATGACTTGCAGTATCCAACATCGCCACCATACTTCCAGACACAACCCTTGGAAATATGCATGTCATGCGGCCGCCAACTGGGCCAACTGAGGTACGTACTGGGACTATTGGGTATGAATATTCTCGTATTTCAACCACCACTTTCAACCGTGTACGAATAGGAGAGCTTTAAATTCGAGCGCCAACAAGTACAACTTCCCAAGTAAGATAGGGATATATTTTTCCTTGAGACACTCGTCTCACATTGACGACAATGTTACCTAGCTAAACGAGTAGCACATCGATTAGGCATCTTTCAACAGAAGAACACAAGCTAGAAGTTGGAGCTCATGGTAAGCAACCATGACTAGAAGAGTAAACAGCTCGGGCCAACAAAACGAGGCTTTGTGGTATGTAGCAGTCCAACAGCAAAAAAACAAACAATTAGAAATCACCAACACAGAACAGCCTATTCAAAGCAACTAAATCATCAACACACTGTAAGATTCTTACCATAATCTCCGTCAGCAACCCAGCCACGAGATTTTCCACGAACCCAAATTCTCGGGACCACGCACGCACGCACAAATGAGAAAGCGGGAAGGGGAGCGGAGGGGGAATAGCCAACAACCAAAAGTATCACCGTAACCCCAAACCCCAACACCGAGTACAGCCTTCTTTTAGATGAAAGAGAAAATGAATGCAACCTTACACTAAACGCGCATTCGTAAACAATTCCCTTTTAATAAATATTACAGCTATCCGGCGCCGAATCTATGCTATGCGGCTCAATTTACGACCAGCTTTGTGTGATTTCTTGATGTCCGTGGGGAGGACGAACCATCAATCTCACATCAGCAGTTTGGAGGGGATACGAGGAATGAGAAGGGTAATAATAAGCCCCTTATCTTATTTTACTATACTTTACGGCTGAACTACTGGGGAAGATCTCATGCTTAAATTGGTCGAAATTGATGAAATGTAGCAGCGTATGTAAAAATCACGCTCCCCCTTAACAATAGAAGTTTTGAAAAACGACGGGAAAATACTTTTCCTAATATACGTTAGAACGTACGAGCCATCTAATCCAAAGTACTATAAAGGTTCCCCATTCTGTTTGGTGCAGCCCAACTCCAAACACCGTAAAGAGGTTCCTCGCCGCTGAAGATATCGTCACGCCGCAATGTGATGAATGCTTATCGATAGATCTACAGTACCACCCGCACGTCCATCCTCTTTCCCCTTTCAGGACCGGTAAAAGAAATAAGTTTAAACGGGTGAGCGAATCCCCATGCTGCGATTGGCCCTCTTGCTCCCAAATGTCCCATGGAGTTAAAACCCCATGTTCGGGGGAATAAGCCCGCTTACTCATATCATCCTTAACCGTCACCGAAGACTGGATGCCCTGTAATAATATACTCAAAAGACTAGCCTTGTGATTTGTGCGAAAGTCTGAGGCGAGGCGAGGTGCGTGGGATGAAGGACATGGGATGGATGTTCATGTTTCCCTCGTGGAAGCGATGATGCAAGACATACTCCGTATATTTTTTGACTTGTGTTTCCGCTGGATTGGTGGCTGTTGATTTCCTGCGTGTCCAGGTAAGGTTATTAACAAAGTTTTCAATTTGAGTTTGACTTTGTCTCTCTTTGGCTTTTTTTGCTTTTTTTTCCCGCTCAATATGTGTAATAAGCTTAGACTTTCTGACAGCTTCGCATTCCATTGGCTTGTATGGAATAAGGTGTAATTAGCAGGACGGTATATGGAAGTGTGCGGGGATGATTTTGGGGATGGGACGCTTTACTTGGCACCGTAAAGCGAGCTATTTTTCTCTCTCGGGATTATTTCATCTAATAGGGTTTCTAGAAAGAGGATGTTTGAAACTATGATGAGGATTTAGGCGTCTAAGCCTCGTTCAGATGGAATGTACGAAGGTGTATCTCGCAGAAGGATCTCTCCTTTCGGATTCGTATCGGTAGACGTTTAGGTGTCAGACTTAGCAGTATGGAGTATTGTTTGAGGTACTGTAGTACTTTAACATGCACCACGGAGATAGGCATCTCAAAAGCCCAACGTATTCAGCGAACCGTAGTCTCACTTCGCTTGGTGTGTTGCCGTTGCTGTATTGTTGTCTGCAATCTCCAATTCATACACCAATTCACAAGCCGCCTAAGGATCGATAGCATCTGCGATGGGGCTACGGACCGTAAAACAACAACACAAACGACTCCAGTGGCCCCACTGACCAAGGACCCGGCGCAAACAGATGATGATGATCCCAATCAGCCCATCGTCAATCAAGACTTTGCCAAGACCTGTGCCAAGTCTACCTTAAACGCCTCTTCGAGAAGTCAGCAAAAAAGCAAGCGCACATCATTCTCTTGCTCTCCGCACCGAAAGCACCCATTTTGGGCCGCGTCATCCCGGTTCCACAATTGGCGGACCTTGGCATAGTGGAGTGCGGTGGAGTGCTTCTGGCGTGCAGCGTGGAAGGACTTTGTTTGGTCGTGCTTGCCTCAGACTCTCAGTCGGGCACTTGTCAAAGGGAATGGCGCGGAGACATGTGGAGAATGGGACCCCCATGCTCCCGAGAATTTAAGCTTGTTACTACGTACGTTGGATGACGCCAAAGCTTTGTCACTTTGGCACTGCAACCTCTCACCTCTCACCTGGCCTGGGGAGGTGTTGATGATATATGGTACACTAATGTACGGAGTAAACACTCACGAGACTCGGGTCTTGGTGTGTGCAGGTGCAGGTGCAGGCGCGATTCGCAAACGAGAGCTCGTGAATGTGCTCGTAACGAAGGTCTGAGTTTGATTGCTAGACGAGGGGCAATTTGATTGGTATTGCGCCTCTAAAAGACTTTCTTCATTACAGTACATTACCAAACCTTATGCAATAAGCTTCATTTACCCCCCAGCTATACGAGCAGCTTTGCAACCGTGGGACGAACGATGTGCGAGGAGCGTTTTGGTGCTACTCAACTTCTTCAACAGATCCTCTTCCTTGTGCGACTCGCCTAGCTGCGCTGCGCTGCACTGTACAGCTTGCTGCTCGTAAC